AGCATCTCTTTAGCTTATCCGATAACCTAAATTTTAGTATAGTCGCTCCCGCGACTCCCACAAGGTATCCTACGGTGGACAACTACCAGCACGCGTCACCGAGTGTCCTAGACATAATGTTATTCAAGGAGGTCTCGCTCGACATCGAGTCGATAGAGACAATCCATGAACTAGACTCAGACCACAGGCCCGTCCTGTGTAAACTGGGCCAGAACGCCGGCGCGGTCCCTCCGACCAAATCCGTAGTGGACTGGCATCGTCTTGAGGTCAAACTCAAGGCCTTGGACCCCCAGGACTTAGTAGACTTACCTGAGACGATAGCTACGTTCGATGACGCAAATCGGGCGATAGCGAGTCTCCGCGAAACTATTACTTCCGCAGTCACAGACTCGGAACGGACGGTGAAACTGTCGGGCGACCGACGGTTTAACTTTCCGCCCGACCTACGACTGCTAATTAGACAGAAAAATGCAGCCAAACGCGCCTTCGACCGATACCGATCGGAATCGAACCGAACCCTACTTCGACGCCTTCAGCTAGAAGTAAAAGATCGTGTATCGGAACACCGACATACAACGTGGGACAATCTCCTAGAGGACATCGAGCCATCGCACACCGCCTACTGGCGGTTGGCCCGCAGTCTGAAAGCAGACCCCCGCGAATCTCTACCGCCGTTAGTTAGACCTAATAGCGCTTCAGTAGCCCTAGATGACTCCGAAAAAGCCGAATGCCTTGCGGACAACCTAGAGCAGCAATGTACGCCATCGCGCGAACACACCGATACAGTCCACCTAACGGAGGTTAACGGAGGTGGACCGCGTAATCGAGACTAGGGCTGCGCTTCCACCGGAAGGCGAACCTTTAAATTCAGTGACCCCCGAAGAGGTCCAAGATATTATTAAAAATCTAAAACCGAAATCCGCCCCGGGCCCAGATAATATCAGTAACAAAATTCTTAAAGCTCTCCCTGGGCCGCTTATCTGTTTACTGTCGACCATCTACAACACTTTACTCTCCAGTTGCTCCTTTCCCGACGACTGGAAAGAAGCCACGGTTATCGGCATTCGCAAGCCGAATAAACCAGCCAACCAGCCCTCTAGTTATCGTCCCATCAGCCTCCTCAGTTGCCTGGGGAAGCTCTACGAGCGGCTTTTATTAAACAGGCTCAATGAACACGTGTTTAACAACGGCCTTCTGCCGGCGGAACAATTCGGCTTTCGAGCTAGACATTCCTGTCCCGATCAACTATTCCGCCTAAAGGAACATATCCTAAAAGGCCTAAATCACCCTAAACATATTAGTACAGGGGCTCTTTTCTTCGATGTCGCAAAAGCATTCGACAAAGTCGGGCACAACGGCTTGCTTTACAAGCTGTACACACTCAAAGTGCCAGATAGGCTCGTACACACCATTCGGGCCTTCCTGTCAAACCGCTCTTTTCGATATCGAGTTGAAGGCACCCTCTCCACAAGCCGCCGCCTCACGGCCGGCGTACCACAAGGCTCCTGCCTCTCACTTTTGTTCTTTACGCTCTACACGAGCGACATACCCAAAGACCCCCACGTCAATCTCGCGGTTTTCGCAGATGACACCGCGCTCTTCTATTCAGACCGCAACCTTAGAATACTAACCACTCGACTCCAAAGCGCCGCCGACCGCCTCGGCGACTGGTTCCGCAAATGGAGAATAGAAATAAATCCCGAAAAGAGTGTAGCGATTCACTTCACACGAAGAACTTACCCGTCACATCTTTATAATGGTCCTCGCCAATGCAGAAAGTTGGGGCAAATATCCCTTTATGGCCAACCGCTCCCCTGGGAGAAAAAGGTCAAATACTTAGGAGTCACTTTCGACTCGCGTATGTCATTTACTACGCACATTAATAACGTTCGTAATAGAGCCGCGTTCGTCTCCGGCCGGCTACACAATTTAACTAACGCTAAAAGTAAAATGCCCTTCAGGCACAAATTATTATTATATAAGACCTGCGTACGACCTATTATGTCCTACGCATGCATGATCTTCGCCCACAGGCACCCTACTCGCTTGTACAAGCTGCAAATAGTACAAAATAAGTTCATCCGCCGTGCAACCGGTGCACAGTGGTATCAACGCAACGTCGATCTGCACAGCGATTGCAGACTCCCGACGATTCGCGAATATTTTAAAGACCTGACCAAACGGTTCTTCGATAGAGCCGAACATCATCCCAACCCTCTGGTGGTAAGCGCAGCAAATTACCAACCCGACACAAACGCGAACGTCAACAAGCGTCGCCCGCGAAACGTCCTCAGCGACCCGGTCGAGGAAGGGGACTTAGATACGCCGGACCCACCGCCGGGGGTCCCGCCGGATAACACTACACCCACAGCTAGTGTACCAACAAACACAATAGTTCGCACTCGCCTCCGAGCACGGCGAGACCAACACAACGCGTACACAAGGTACACCCGCGTTCCAGGGCGGTTCTCACCGCCCCCAGCCACCGATTAGCTAAAAACAGTCGACGGCCATCGGGGTCTTGGTCCGCACCGCAACTTCGATGGCCCTTAGATGACATGTCGTAGTTAAACGCACGCATGAGCACATGCGCGGCCCTACCCACAGCGGAGGGCCCAAACCCGTGGGTTCTGGCTAGCCCACCGGTTCTGCGTCAGAAGAAGCTTTAATAGTCTCGGGACTGAAAGCAAAAACATCAGTTAATACAAGATACAACAGGTTGGCCACCGCTGCTCTAAGGGATAATGTATAAAGGTGTAAATTTTTTACACATTGTTACAAGAGTAACGCCCGGTTTCTGAAACACTGATCATCGTAGATGTCAACTAATCAGCCGTCAAATGGCTTTTCAAATATCATTTTAGTTGCCAATAGGATGGTTAAACTCTCTGAATTGACCAGAAAGATCTTCTTAATGATCAGAATGATCGATTCAAAGAGTTTATCCATCCTCTTGGCAACTCCAATTCCAAATCCAAATTTAATATAATGGATTGGCAACTCAAATGGCATTTAAAAAGCCATTTGACAGCTGATTAGTTAACATGTACGATGATCAGTGTTTTAGAAACCGGGCGTAAGTTAGATAATAGCATGAAATTGCAGTTATGAGCTAAAAGTTCACGAACGGGGGATGCTTAAGTGAGTTATATAGTCTATAAAATAAAAACACATCTATTCCCCATTTCACAAACATTTTCAGCACATATATTTTTCTGCAAAGTTTTTGCTGCATCAATACATTATTCTATTTAATATTTATACCGATTATGTAAAAGCTTTCGTTTAATTGGGTAAAACATGGTATCAATAAGACATAATAGATCTAAGATATATTTGGATTGATTAAAAAATCAGTGTGTTGTTAAAAAAACATTTACAATATTTTCAAGTAAAAAGACACAAATAATAACTTTGAACTAAGACTGACTTAAGAAAAATGTTGAAATAAAATATGAAAAATAGAAATGTAAAGAACCAGTTTCAATGTTTTTGTCACCACTTCTGAACTGTATTTAGAGTTTAACACTAATAAATTGGTGAGTTGGTTTAAAATAATCTGCAAAATTTAACAAACAAACATTGAGACATTGCTTTGCGAATTTTTTTTAAATATTGCACATCAACCTTTGGAATGAGACAATCGGCTTATTAAAGGCTCCGTATAACACTATCTCTGCCGCACGAATCATTAACAATCGGTAGTTAGTCAATCAGGTTATGTTATCCAACATTGGTAAAAAAATTTAAAACTAATATAAAAATGAAAATTGAAAGATAAAACAAATCAAATGAATAACTATTTACATTTTTAAAATGTCATTCTCACACCCGGTTTCTGAAACACTAATCATCCTAGAATTTAACTAATCAACTGTCAAATGGCTTTTCAAATTTTATTTAAGATGCCAAAAGGATGGTTAAAATTTACTCTAATTTTAAAATTTTAAGTAATTTTTCTTTTGTTACGTTATGGAAATATAACTTCTTACGTGCGTACATAAGTACCACACAAACGTTTTTATAATATAGGCAACAGTCTTTTTAATTCAGCCAATGTCAGTAAAGCATAGTCATCAGGAAATTTACCAGGAAATCAATTTACCAGATGACCGTGCCTTCTGTATGGCAATAATTGAATATAAATATTTAGACAGTGGCTTAAGAAAAGTAATGAAATGATTATAGGTAATAATGGTAGGAATGATTATAGGTAATTATTCTGACTATCAATATGTGAGTGTGTAACCTAGAAGAAAGATATTTGAATTTACAGACAGTATTATAAATAAACTTAGTATTGTTATATTAATCAAATTAATTTTTGTTATTGACTTCGGTAAACGCCTTATCGGACAGTTTTAACTCTAGACATACTTGATAGCCGTCCCTATTGGATTGAGAACATGGTGTGAGGACTGGAGTCGTTCACATATACAATACTCATTCTATAGTGACCTTGACTGGATTGGAGAGGAAGGTCAGGCATTGTTGGCCCCTACTAATGAAGTCAAGGACTTAGGAGACGGGTATAAAGTAATAAGCACCGACAGTGCATTACCACTGCTACTCAATTAAGGAGACGGGGAGAAAATAACATAAATTTAAACACAAAACATTCACAAAGATTTCAGTACTGTTGTTTGTTTAGTGGAACATTCTAGATTTGAGTGAGCAATCTTATACAATGTCTTCAATTTTAGGGTATCTACACACCCTACGTTTATAATTCATTGCTCGACAAGGAATGGGGTGAGACGTCTCCCATCCCTGGATTTTTTTTAATAACACTGCCCTTACCTTACGATAACATTATCCTATCATTGTGTTGTATGGGCGTTTTACATACATAAACATCACGTGGAGATCCGAAACAATTATCATACCAACAGGGAATCCTTCAAGTCAATACCTTGGGTACTTTGCCATGGAGTCGTCAAATTGTTTCCACTATTGTCTGACTATTCGGCGAACGTCACTCCGCGGATCCGAAGCCACTACCCGTACTCCGGATGCTGGCTCTTCATGTGCCCCTTGAGGCTGCAGTTCTGTATGAACGCCTGGCCGCACACGTGGCAGCGGTAGCGCCTGTCGTTTGTGTGTATCCTCATGTGGTCCTTGAGGGTCTTCAGACGGGGGTAGGACTTCTCGCACACCTGCCGGAAAGGAGACGGCGCATCACAATAGAGCGAGAAGGAGTAATCCCACACGTGCCGAGAAATATACGGCACATTAAGATGCAGCGAGGACTTCTCGCGCAGTTGCCGGAAAGAGACGGCACGTTATGATAAAGCGAGAAGGACTTCTCGCGCACATGACGGAAAAGAGACGGCTCGTTAATATAAAGCGAGAAGTGAAACTGATGGGACTCTTCGAGCAGCTCTATATGTGCGAAGGTTTTGAGAGTACACTCTAGGATTTTTCGAAAAGAATATAACGGCCTTTAACATCACAAAAAGTAGCAAACCAACAGACGCAGAGGGTCGGCATTAGTGCAATTTCTAGCGAGTTCTACACACCTATAGACAGAGCAGCACGGGCTGGGGAGACGTGAGAAGGGAGAATACTAGACAGTATGTTTAAAAGTAGCTGCAGCGACCGCGCGACGGATAACTGGCTCCCGTCTCTTTCACATTTCATTGGTTAAGCAGAGATAGCTATATATCTGACCTTGCACTTGAAGTTGCGCTCCTTCGTGTGCGTCGGCATGTGGTTGTTGAGCGCGAAACGGGTGAAAAACTTGTGCCCGCAGCAGTGGCACTCGTACCTGAGGACATAATTAATTTCAAAGTCAAAGCGAAATTCAAAATTTGTATTCAACATAAGCTTAAATTTAAGGTCTTATTGAACGTCAAAAGCCGCCGACGGTTCACTAAGCTAGACCTGCAAGAGAAGCACTGGCAAAAAACTCTGCGGTCATATAGTTCTTCAGGTGGTCCTATTAAAAAAAAAAAAATCCCCCCCCCCCCCCCCTACTCGGGCACCTGTAGTCCTTCAGGTGGTCCTTGCGCCTGTGTATGGTGAGCGAGCGCCTCCTGTCGCAGAACCACCCAATTCCCCCCACCTCCGCGCACCTGTACATAGTCCTTCAGGTGTTCCTATTAAAAAAAAACAATCCCCCCCCCCCTGGGGCACCTGTAGTCCTTCAGGTGGTCCTTGCGCCTGTATATGGTGAGCGAGCGCCTCCTGTCGCAGAACCACCCAATTCCCCCCACCCCGCGCACCTGTACATAGTCCTTCAGGTGTTCCTATTAAAAAAAAAAACAATCCCCCCCCCCCTGGGGCACCTGTAGTCCTTCAGGTGGTCCTTGCGCCTGTGTATGGTGAGCGAGAGCCTCCTGTACCAGAACCACCCAATTCCCCCCACCCCCGCGCACCTGTACATAGTCCTTCAGGTGTTCCTATTAAAAAAAAAACAATCCCCCCCCCCTACTCGGGCACCTGTAGTCCTTCAGGTGGTCCTTGCGCCTGTGTATGGTGAGCGAGCGCCTCGTGTCGCAGACCCTCTCGCAGAGGCCGCACGGGAAGCGCAGCGGCTGCTCGCCGTGCACCTCCACCAGGTGGCGCAGCTTCTGCTGGTAGGTCATGAGGCGGGCGTCGCACTTGGGGCAGTAGACCCGGGCGCGCTTCCTGTGCACCCGGTCCACGTGCAGGTCGCGGTTGTACTGCGGGCGAGGGTCAGGGTCAGGGTCGGAGTCAGGGTTGGGGAAAGGGAAAAGACAACTTTCGCTTTGAATGTAGCCCGACGGTGATGGACCATAATAACAATTGAGCGACAGCATTGGAGTTATATAACGAACACCTGTAGTAGTTTCTTCTTTAAGCTGCTGGACACCCTTCATCATCAGTATTTCAGGAAAGAATTTGCAGTGGTTTCTTCTTTAAGCTGCTGGGTGGATTTTGACGTAATCATCATCATCATCATCCTCATCATTGCTGAATCTGTTGTAGCAACTGAACATAGGCCTTCTCCCATACTGCGACAAGTCCTGCACATGCCTCCATTGACTCAGGATATTTGTAAAGAATGGCTTTACCACAGTATTTTAAGGAACTGTACCTCCTCTAGAGCACAATGCTGAGAGTGTGGCTTAGCGAAGTGATATAAGGATAGCCCCTCTAGAGCACAACGCTGAGAGGGTGGCTTAGCGAAGTGATATACGGATAGCTCCTCTAGAGCACAATGCTGAGAGTGTGGATTACCGAAGTGATATACGGATAGCTCCTCTAGAGCACAATGCTGAGAGGATGCTTAAAAAAGTGATATTAGAGTAGCGAGCTCCTTCAGAGCACAATGCTTAGAGCGTGGCTTAGCGAAGTGATATACGGATAGCTCCCCTAGAGCACAATGCTGAGAGGGTGGCTTAGCAAAGTGATATAAGGATAGCCCCTCTAGAGCACAATGCCGGGACGCAACCAACGTACCTGGGCGCGGAAGGACTTTCCGCACGCCTCGCACGGATAGTCGCCGCGCTCGTGCCTCTGCTGGTGCATCACGAAGCGCCCCCTGTCCACGAAGCCGAGGCCGCACGTCTCGCACACGTAGTTGCTGTAGTGCACGTTCATGTGCTTGTTCAGCGCGTGGAAGTAAGGGAAGCGGGAGTCGCAGAGGGCGCAGCAGAGCTCGCCTCCATCGCCCAAGTGGAACGGCAGCACGGGGTCCTGCAGCCCGGGGTAGTACAGCTTCCCGTGGCCCGCCACGTGGCTCTTGAACTCGTCGAGGGTTCGTATGGAGGCGGGGCAGAGGCGGCAGTCGATCCGCGTCAGGTCCAGCTTGACCATGCTCTTGTGCTCGGTGACCTTGAAGCGGCGCGGCTGGTGGTGGTCGCCCGTGTGCCGCCGCAGCATGCCCGGCTCGGCGAAGCTCTCGCCGCAGTAGTAGCAGAGCAGGTGGTTGTGGCGGCACTTGAACGGGCAGGCGAACGAGTACTCGACTATAGTGAGTATGTTCGTCTCGGTCATGTACGAGGGGTCCCGCTCGCGCATAAGCTGCTGCACTTTGGACATCGGCAGTCCTGGAAATGGGAGAGAAAGCGTGTAGCATCGACTTATCTATGTGTAGTTTCTTTAGGTTTTCGGCCGGTGTCCTCGGACATAATGTGGGCAGACGTAGCTATCGCGCAATGAGAGAAGAGTACAAATCAACAAATCAACACGGTATGGTAACACACTGACGAAAAGAAGGACAGTTCCGTGACACGTCTTCACTTGTCGGCGTCCACCAAAAAGTGTCGCCTCACGACTCTGTCGAAGCGCACCGGCCCCGTAGTTGCGTGATTTCGCCGCTAGGGGCGCGCTTGCGTTCCGTTTAGCGACCGTACTCATGACCGGATACGACATATGAGTGTATCATAGACACCTCCGACATAGTTGTCTTCTTTATATCGAAGATTCATTCGACGACGAGAATAGTGGAATAGTTTCGACGACGTAGTGAGTAGTGTACCTGCCTCCTGCGCCAAAGGGTGTGGGTTCGATCCCCACTACTGGAAAAATATTGTGTGAGAAACATAGTGTTTTTCTAGTGTCTCGGTTTTTATATGTATATTTATTTATATATTTATTTACAAAAGAAAATTATGTGTATATAAGTATGTTAGTTATTATCAGTTATCTAGTACCCATAGCGCAATCGTTGCCTAGAGAATGTTGGGTAAAGATGTGTCCTAAGATTTTTATTTATATTTATTTATTGTATATACAAAAATTTCGTGTGAAGTCGTTTGTCCGCGATGAAGTCATAAACTAGTGAACCGATTTTAATAAATTCTGCACATTGTTTGCAGTTTTATCTTACTGGAGCGGTAGGATAATGTATCTTATATTATCTAATATTGTTCTGTATGTATTTAGTTGGTAAGCCTAAATAAATAAAATTAAATTTATAAAAATCTTAATTTCACTTGTAAGGTAAATCGATTATCGGCTGGATTGAGTAAGTATCCGATAGATGGCGCTATGTTAAAAATCCAAACCCAGACGTTTTTGGCGCAGTGATAGTTGCGTGGGCCAACTAGTACTATCCTTACTAATATTATAAACGTGAAATTACTTAGTATTATAAACGCGAAAGTTTGTATGTATGGATGGATGTTTGTTACTCTTTCACGCAAATACTACTGAATGGATTCTAATGGAACTTCACAATAATATAGCTAATACATAAGAATAACACATAGGCTATAATTTATATACATATTGTTATGCAGATGTGTTACCAAACTTAATTCCGTGTATAATACTTGTATAATACTTCCACTACCTACATACCAGTCTTCTGCGAGGCCGTTGTACTTTCTCGAACGAGCTGGCCCATTCAAACAGCACCAGGTTAGATGAGATACATCTTTAACAACTTTTAGGTTGCTGTGGTCTTTGGAACTTCCTACCCAACCCTTCGACACAAACCATAATCATAACCATCAGAGATGGAAGTCTGTACTCACTCTCGCTCAATCCTTGGTCCAAAGGGGGTGCTTCACCATTAGCATTCCCAGGCCCCGGGTCCACCTTCTCAGCGTCCGAGGGTCTATCCGCGCATTCGTGGGCCTTCGGAGCCGCTTTTGTGCGCGTCTTCGCCCTCTTCGCCGGCTTCAGTGGTAGATCGTCGTTGGAGGAGTAGTCCTCGTTCTTGACGGTATCGTCTGAAAGTCAACGGAGAAGTTAATAATTCGTCGAGTCAATTTCGAACGACGACTCCATGGCGCAGTCGCATACTTCGGTGCCGGAGGTTGTGGGTTCGATTCCCACACGGGTCAACTATTTGTGTGACCCTCGAATAATTGTTTCCGATCTGGGTGTTTATAAGTAATGTAAGGTGGCAGGGCCCCGCAACCAGTTCTCCTATTGCGCGAATGGGCACGCGCATCCGAGGAAGTACTACGGACGGACAGACGATCGATGAAGTGGAAATATTATACTTTCCCTCTTCGTTTGGTGAGTGAGGTAACCGGTGCCCACTTTTTTAGAGGATGTTGTCAACGCATCTGCAAGCCGGCGGGTGTTGTAGATGTCAATGGGCGGCGGTATTCACTTAAACTCAGGGAATCGTCTGCTCGATTGAGAACTTATAACATAAAAAAAAAGAATTGCATTCGCTGCGATAGCTCAGTGTCCGCGTGCCCGCTTTTTAACTATGACGAAAAGAGTTTTTAATACAGTTGCTCAAAGTGGGGCGTATCGTAGGGACGTATAGCGTTCGGGATGTGGGCCATTACATACTCGAGCTTTTTCTTACCTTTTCCGAACTCATGCGTTCTCTATCCCAACTGTCAAAATAATGTCTATTATAGGGTTAGAGATAATTATATTGTGTTCCCTATAGTGACGAGGAGATGAGATAAATACTACGCTACTATTATATATATTATTTATTATTAACTCTACAAGATATTCACATGACATTGTGCGTTCGCTAGCTACTTGCGATGAACTGTACTGCGCGGCACAATGTAAGGTGCATGGGACGTTCGACTAATATATCCAATTACATTGTGTCGCCACACTATTAAAAAGAAAAAAACCAACCATGAAGATTTTACAAAAAAAAATTCATAGAAGTTTTTATGATTCACGCAAATATTTCTAAAAAGAAGCTATTAATGTGTTTCAATATCAGATTTAATGATTTGATTCAATGAGTTAGGTTCGGTTTCATTTCATTTCATCTCATTAAATTTCATTTTCATTTCATATCAATAAAAAAATCCACTGAAGACTTGGCTGTATGGGCATAGTTCCCTTTGCCTACCCTGAATAGGTGAAGAAAACAAAAAAAAAATCTCTGCTTATATTCTATTACGGTTGGCGCCATTTTCCAAAAATTTTCTTTGTATTGTGTATAACACCTTTGACAAATATACATGAACAATCACACAAAATTAATAAACACAAACAGTAAATATGCAACCAAAAACTTCCCCAGTTAGTAAAAAAAACTGTACCAATTTCAACATATATGTGAATAATAACTTTTATAAGAAATAAATGATTAGTCAGTTGAGTTTATTACTTCATTTGTTCGGAACTATATTAAAAATAGTTGTTCAGTACACGTGCGGAACCGTCATTGCAACTTGTTCCGACTGTCAACCCTCACCTTCGGCTGCGCCTCGGCTTGGGTAGACATTTGTCGGAACTCTTTGCAATAACAGGCTTTCCGCACTCGTAATGAAATATACTGTATGAGCATAATCTTCTTACCATTAGAATAGACTGTCATTCTACTTCATCTGATATACAATGTTCCCAGAATTGGCAGCAGAATTCACAATTGCAAACTTTTTACATAAAAGTCGCAGAAATTTGTAGTAAACAAACCACCCTTAACATTTCCCAAGTCTACATACAATATCATAGTAAATGAAAAATGTTACATTGATATCTTTTCTGAAGCTATGAGCCTTATCACCACCTTATTACCACCCTACGGGTGTTGCAAATATCCATGGGCGGCAGTTATCACTTAACATAAGTTGAAACGCCAGCTTCTTTACCACCATCCACATAAAAAAAATCAGTTGTATCGTGTACCAATATTTCGCAAATCTATTATTATTGTTATTGACTAAACAACACTCACCGGCATTGTCGTCAGCGAGAGCGTCTACCACGGTCGATTCTGTAATGTTGTGGAGTGTATCACCTTCGTGCTCTTCTTTGACCAGTTCTATCTCCAGGAGGCTCCCACTGTCGACTGCGGAATGGCGCTCTGAAAAGATGGGCCGCAGTCTTTCACCTGGAGTCTCAGCAACAACAGTTGAAACCACTTTAAAACATCTGAGAACTCGATGAACACATACTTCTAAAAGCTGACATTGACATGATGTAGTAACTTTTGAATTTAAACTTCTTTTAGCATGCTTGGATAAAACTATGAAAGTAAAATTGTTGCAATGAAAGTTGGTTGCAATACAAACAATTTCAAACAACTTAATGGTATTACCATTGCAACCAATAATAACCTTTCATGACATTAAGTTTTAATTAGGTCTTTTTCACATGTAAAGAGAACTAGCAGGGGGCATTATAGTTATTTTTCTTTTGTTAAAGAAGTATAACTTTTTATGTGCATACATAAGCACACACACACACACATATTTTTTTTATATTCAATTTGCCTTCTGCTATCTTTTGTGTTACTGCATGTAAAAAGGGCATAAAATAAAAATTTTTGCATTAATAGAAGAGATTATGAAAGGCATACCCTCACATGCTGCATCATCCATCCTCAGCTGCAGGAAGGCTTCTTCGCAACGGAGGACCTGTTGCCTGAAGTTGAAGGCTTCTCTGAGCCGCGTAACACAGGTGGCACAAACCAACCGCTCTGTTGGTTTGCCATCCATATGTGACAGCTGAAGATATTGAAGTATTTTTATTATCAATAAATGTATAATTTGGAGAGAAAGAAAAGTTACTTAAAAGTACCCTTCAAGATCTACATCAAATTGTATTTTTTTAGGAATGACCATAAAATAAATACAAGTGTATTCACCCTTAAAAAATAATAAAATAATTGTAAATAAATAATGTCTTATATTCATAGACTATGGATAGATAGTAGTTCCTGCACTTGAAACATGAACAAATGTGTGGGTTTTCACTTGATTAGATACAACAAATGCGATATAAATAGGATTATTAGTGTTGTTTTTGATTATTTTATTGCATTCAAAACAGTCTTCATGAAACATTATCATTCTGTGTATCTGCAACTAAGTTTTAACAGCAAAACAATTTTCGATACAGTAACCATGACTCAATACTGTGGTAGGGCCACGCAGCAGCCTCGGCTGTTGCACGAATGGGTAGGCCCGTCCGGGTAAGTACCACGACCTCACAGAAGACCAGCGTTTATGACAAATACTTTCGCGTTTCGTCTGGTGAGTGACAGCCCAAAAAAGGTTGTCAACGCATCTTAACCCGCGGGTCGATGTCCATGGGCGGCGGTATTCACTTAACATCAGGTGAACCGTCTGCTCGTTTGACAACTTTTCGCATAAAATAAAAAAAATAAAAAATCAATAGCCATTGCAAAACCCATCTTAATCTAATTAATCCATTCAAGTGTTTTAGGGCACTCGAAACGAGTTAAATATAAACCCTACAAAATTTGTCAAAATAACTTGAACAGTATTCAAATCTACGTAGACCTACATAGAAGTTCATAGTGATAAGACTCACCAAAAGTCCGAAGCAGTCCATCATCATGTCCGAGTATACCTCCTTCACCCCCATACATTCGTATTCGACGTTTAAGAGACGACATTTCTTCATCGAACCACAACATCTGCACAAACCCGGGTCGAAAATGGGCCCTTTCCCCTTTATCACACTCATATTGTAAGATTTCAAGGTGGCAACAATAACATCCTGGCTGTATTAATTTGGTTTAACCATACACCGTATGTCTAACATTCATTTATGATTTTTAGACACAATAACAAATAGGTAATCCATATAAACATTAAAAAAATGTCCAAAAGCAATAGAGTTGGGCCTAGAAATGTAGAAAAAATATCGATAGATCGATATTTTTATACAATATATCGATATTCATTGCCAATGTATTTTGATCCGATATATCCCTATAAAATATTCTAGATGGAAATCGTATCAAAAATTATATTTTTTTTAATTCGAATCCGGGAAGAGTCCATATATTGAAATATTTAATACTTGGCATACGCTTTTTTAACTTCTTCTTCTTTGTACCAATCTAAGAGGTTGGAGTTTGGAGGTCCCTAACTAATATAATTTATTTCAGATAAAATACGTATAAATAAAATCATAATCATTTCAGATAAAATATAGCCGGAACTGGTAATTTACATTTTATAAATAAAATTACTTCTACTACTTATCGATGCGTAGCTAAAGCTGTGTCAGCCGTATGACATGGGGCTCCCGAACCCAAGGTCTCTGCAGGCCCCGAATGGGTGAAAGTAAAAATTCCACAATCACATAAATTCTCAAGTCGTACGACCCAGGAAAAAAAAGAAAACTTATACAATATCATCTAAAGACTCATTCTCCTACATGAAAAATTAAGTCATACTATAGTTTTGACTATGTTTGCGCAGTAACTGCACAAAACCAATTGCAAGAAATCAAATCTTTCTGGCGAGATGTAATGTTAAAATTACTTTAGCATCGTGTAACCTACCTTTAACAGGCTTATATCACGTTAATTATTGTGTATCTGGAAATTTCGTGTCTATTTTACATTTACTATGAAATAAATTATTTTGTGGCGACTCATTTGCTACTGTGTAGCACCGCTCTTATCTTTTACACCCTTACTCTCATCGGTCTAGCATTACCCTATTATTGACAAATTGCTATAGCAACGAGTGACAATAAAAAGATGGTGGTTTTCTCAACACGGCTTGTTCTTTGTACTGCATCTTAATTATTCCCTCCTGCCGGCTCCCAAACTGGTGACCCCGACGTGATGTGATAAATATGCGCAACATCGGAGCCCACGTCGCTACGCTCTGCAGTTTCGCTCGGAAACAACAATTTCCGCGATAATCGAGGTTTGTTCCATTCTGCGACGCCGCCTAGGTACACTTCCTTCTTTTTGTTTTTCCCTCCGTGCAGAGAAGTCTGCTAGGGAGACTAGAAAAGCCACCACAGGAAGTTAAAAAGCGCGCCACGCGCGTCAATCACCCGCAACATTGTGTCAGGTGACTAACAGCTCTCCACTGATACTTCGCGACGGATGCTGCGTTTACACTCGTTCAAGTGAAAGTTTAGTGCTATTTTACACTTAAGATAGTATCATTTTATGTTGTATTTAGACTTACTTTACTTTTCTACCAATTTTATTATTACGTTTGCTGCGCAATACTGAAATTGTTTCGTTTGTGTATTTACCGATTTGTTCCACTGCGTGTATGTGTAAAGCGTTTTTGCGATTTGACCGTTTCTGATTTTACCTTTAAACCATGGCGAGTCAAGGAGAATCTAACGTTTCAGAGGGCCACGTTGGCAACGAGGGTGATGCTACTGCACTAGTCGGTGGCAGTCCCATTTACGTAAACAGGGTCGCAATTAGGACCCCGCCTTTTAGCAAGGATCGGCCCGCATTGTGGTTTGCTAGCCTAGAGGCGCAGTTCCACATTAACCAAATTACCGTCGAAATGACGAAGTTTCATTTCGCCGTGGCGCATTTAGATACCGAGTGTACGAAGGAGGTCGAAGATATTATCACACATCCTCCCGAGTTGCAACCATACACAACTTTAAAAAGCGCAATTATATCTAGATTCTCCGATTCCTTCGAGGAGAAGGTGCGGCGCTTACTAGAAAAGGAACAGTTAGGTGACCGCAAGCCATCTTCGTTCATGCGACACTTGAAGAGTCTGGCTGGGCAATCGTTCCCCGCTGACTTGCTGCGATCAATTTGGGCCAATCGGCTTCCCCGGCAGGTTCAAATTGTGTTGGCCGCACAGAAGATCCAGGACTTGACGGAGTTGGCGGAGATGGCCGACCAGTTGGTGGAGTTGACCGAGAGGCCTACCACCGTGAGCCAGGTTTCGGCGCATCATACCTTTGAGCCCACTCTCGCGTCAATGCAGCGGCAGATCGAGGAATTGACGCGAACAGTCTCAGCGCTCAGAACAAACACCCATGAACGATCTGGGAGCTCACGCGTTAATCAAAAGCGGAGCCGCTCTCGATGGCGCTCACGCCCACGTGATCAGAAGCTTTGCTGGTACCACGACCGTTTCGGCAACAAAGCAAGCAAATGCATACCAGGATGCAGCTGGACCATTGAAGGAGCTACCAAACCTTTAAACTAAGGGAGCGGTCGGACGTGGCAAGTACCGACCGCGCACAGTCCAGCAAACGCCTTTTTATTACCGATCAAAATACCAAAATTAATTTTTTGATAGATACCGGTTCGGACATTTGTTGTTTTCCACGAAAACTTATAAAAGGACGTTTCTCAAATACAGGACTTATCTCAATGCAGCAAATGGCAGCTCCATTAAAACTTACGGCACAGTTAATCTGAACCTCAATTTAGGACTGCGCCGTGAATTTCGCTGGGAGTTTATTTGTGCTGACGTGGATGTCCCAATTATCGGTTCGGATTTCCTAGCTTTCTTCCACCTCCTACCCGACTGCCGTAGCGGCACACTGCGCGATGAGCTTACAAACTTATCCGCATATTTTTGTAATCGCAATATAATGCAGCCAAGTATTAGGACCGTAAAAAAACCGTCTCGCGATTCCCTGTTCAGTCAACTCTTTTTAGACTTTCCGGAAGTGACGCGCCCACCTACAGCTGACCGTCAAATAAAACACAGCACTTTTCACTATATAACGACAACTAGTGGGCCGCCTGTCACGTCGCGTCCTCGTCGACTAGCACCCAACAAGCTAAAAATTGCTGAGAAGGAATTTAATGACATGGTGTCGGCGGGTACTGCTCGCCCATCTAAAAGCCCCTGGTCGTCACCATTGCATTTAGCACCCAAAAAGGATGGCATGTGGCGTTCTTGCGTAGACTACAGGCTCTTAAACGCTCGGACAGTTCCCGATCGGTACCCTGTGCGTCATATAGGAGACTTCAGTCATAATCTGGCTGGTTCTAGTATATTTAGCACATTAGATCTAGTAAAGGCCTACCAGCAGATTCCGGTAGCTGGTCCAGATGTTTGCAAAACGGCCATAATAACGCCATTTGGTCTTTTCGAGTTTCCCTATATGTCATTTGGGTTACGCAACGCTGGCCAAACCTTCCAGCGTTTCATCGATGAGATCTTGCGCGGACTAGACTTCGCTTTTCCCTACATTGACGATATTTTGGTATTCTCACGGGATGCTGAAGAGCACGCCAAACACCTGCGCATAATCCTGCAAAGACTGGTGGACTATGGCGTCGTTGTCAATGTGGATATAAGATAACCAAGGATGGTATCTGCCCACCTGAAGAGAAGATCGCTGCTCTCCGCGAGTTATCGCTTCCCAAAACAGCTCAAGGTTTGAGACGGTTCCTGGGGATGGTAAATTATTACCGCCAATTTCTTCCCAAAGCCGCCAAGCTGCAAGCTCCACTTGTGGATTTTTTAACAGTCAGAAACCTAAAAGGTTCAAAAGCTGTGCCCTGGACGGCAGACTTGGAGCGTGCTTTCTACGAGTGTCGCGACAGTCTCTCAGAGGCCACCATGCTTGTACATCCGCAACGAAATGCTCGTTTAGGGTTGTACACGGAAGCCTCCAGCACTCATGTTGGCGCTGCCTTACAGCAAAGGTCTGATCAAGGCTGGCAGCCGTTGGCATTCTTTAGCAAAAAGCTAACACAGAGCCAAAGTACATGGCCCGCGTATTACCGCGAACTTCTCGCAGTGTACGCGGCCGTACAGCATTTCCGGCATATACTAGAGGCACAACACGCGACAATCTACACGGACCACAAGCCGCTTCTTTATGCTTTCGTCCAACGCCGTGAAAAATTGCCCCCTGCTCAACTTAACCAACTTACGTTTATTTCCCAGTTTACAACTGATATCAAACATGTGAAGGGGGAAGACAACATCGTTGCTGACACAATGTCCCGCATTGAGGCTATCACGCTCGATGACGATTTCGCAGCCCTGGCAAAAGCTCAGCAGACGGACGACGAACTTAAAACCGTAAAGGTCCATTCTTCTTTACAGTTAGAGCCAACCCTCATACCTGGATCCAACATTTCCGTTTTGTGTGATGTGTCAACAGGCAAACCTAGACCCTTTTTGCCAAAACAATATCGGCGAGCCGTCTTCGATCGCCTACGTGGTCTCAGCCACCCCGGCGCACGCGCTTCCGCGCGCCTCATTAGCGACCGCTATGTTTGGCCAGGCATTGCTAAAGACTGCCGCTCCTGGGCACGCGAGTGTCTCGCCTGCCAGAGCAGCAAGGTAACGCGCCATGTCGTTTCACCGCTTGGCAACATTAGCACACCTTCAGGCAGATTCCGTCATGTTCACCTGGACATTATTGGACCGATGCCTTCTTCAAACGGATTCACTTATTGCCTAACAGCAGTAGACCGTTTCTCACGCTGGCCCGAAGTTTGGCCCATGCCATTGATAACCGCAGTAGAAGACGCTGATCAATTCACCCATGGCTGGATCGCTCGCTTTGGTGTACCGATCACTGTCACAACGGACCAGGGACGTCAATTTGAGTCCCAACTTTTCAACAGACTGATGGATTTAGGAGCCACAAAACGCGTTCGTACTACGAGCTATCATCCCCAAGCTAATGGGATGATAGAGCGTTTCCACCGCCATTTAAAGGCCGCTTTAATGTGTCACAAGAGTTCTTGGTACCATGCCCTACCTTTCGTTCTTCTCGGAATCAGGGCGGCACTAAAAAATGACATCAAAACGTCAGCTGCAGAAGTTTTGTATGGGGAACCGCTACGCCTACCAGGCGAGTTCCTGGTGGCTAGCAATTCCCCTCAGACCGTGGACGATGATTTTGTTGCACAGTTGCGAAAACGGATGGCAGAACTTCGCCCCGTTCCAGCATCACGTCACACGAATTCTAAAACTTTCGTTTTCAAGGACTTACCTGATGCTACTCACGTGTTCCTCCGCGAAGATTCCGTTCGACGCCCTCTACAGCCACCTTATACAGGCTCCTACAGAGTGTTGAAGAGATCTGAAAAGACACTTACCTTAGACATTTCTGGCCGAAGATCTGAGGTTAGCATCGACAGAACAAAACCTGCGTATATTGCACCTGACCCAGACGGCGGCAATCCGTCCCCTAACAACTTGGCACCGGAGCCCCCAATCATTCCGACTCTTTCACCTCCTATTAGCCAAACGGCCGTGCCCATTGAAACGCCCGCACAGCCTGTAACAACCCGGTCAGGTCGCAAAGTTAAATTTAAAGATATTTTAGATTTATAAGTACTAGTTTTTAATACGTTATTTTTGTTAAAGCAGAGGTTTTTCAATTTTAAGTTTCCAATGTTTATTTTTTCGTTGTGAAATTAAAATTCCATTAGTTAAAAATTATCCTAAATAATGTTGCTTGTACTTTTATAATAACAGTGTATAATTATTTGATTGTTACATTTTATACTTGTTTTGCCTTCAATGTGTACTTATTTTTCTCCGTAGGGGGGTGATGTGGCGACTCATTTGCTACTGTGTAGCACCGCTCTTATCTTTTACACCCTTACTCTCATCGGTCTAGCATTACCCTATTATTGACAAATTGCTATAGCAACGAGTGACAATAAAAAGATGATGGTTTTCTCAACACGGCTTGTTCTTTGTACTGCATCTTAATTATTCCCTCCTGCCGGCTCCCAAAATTTTAACCTCACGATTAAAAACGAAATTGTTAATTTGGTTTGTTAGCGCAGTTAGGGAAAAATATCTCTATATATAAAAATGAATCGCTGAATGCGTTGCTAAGCGCAAATCTCGAGAGCAGCTGAACCAATTTCGCTAATTCTTTTTTTATTTTTTCAAGGAATATTGAATATTGAATTAATATCATATAATTAATGAAAATATTTGTCATTGTTTACTAGATAGAGTGAAGAAGAAGGTTTATATATATAATACATTGCACCCATGAGAAGCCAGGGCGGGTCGCTAGTTGTTTTATAAATTTAAAAAGCACAATTTTTGGCGATTATTCCGGATACAGTACAAATCTGTCGAAAATGTATCATAATGGATAATATGAAAAAATTTATACTTTTTTAGCAATAATATTAAAACTGCTGGTCAATATTGAGTAACGATTCATCTGAAAGATATAAAATTAGTTTACCTTAAAAAAGTTTGTCCTGCTAGAAAATATTCGTGAAACAACGCTTTAATAAAAAAATATTCATTAATAATGAAAATTTTATAGCAACTAAATTAATTTTCACAAAAAAGATGAACGTAATGATTGTAAAAAATATAATTAACATGCTGGAACATTCAGCGCGCCTTCTTACTCGGCCCTTTTTTCATGGCTAACGAGCCACAAGAGCCAGTGCCAATAAGCAGCAGGCCTCCTGGTCTGTGGCTTATTGTGTTCCGCCGCTCACGACGTTTCGGCCGCGGAGGGTAGGGAAAACTGCGTACTGTAATACCGAGCGACCTTAGAGCGGGCCGGCCTTACACCACAGGCCAGCCCAGAGTGGGTTCCTCTTAGCTTCGCCGTGCGTGACCAAGCCATGGCTACTAAGCCCCCCACCACTTCAAGGCGGGAACCCGGTCAGAGGAGAGGTGCGGGAAAGGCCTTCGCCGACTCTAAATTGAAATCAATGGGTCAACAAATAGTCTCGTATGATTTTAACGAGTCTGTCTGGCACTCCCAGTGAGTGTAGCATATGTATATATTTATGTTACGAACAGAAGTAACCTCCACGACGTCCTTTTGAAAGTAATCAAAGTGACCATTAGAGAGTATACATATAACTGTGTTAGGGCCAAGCAAGTCTTCGACGTTGCACGAATGGGTAGGTTCCTCCGGGGAAGTACCATGACCTCACAGATAGTGCCGGATTAACCACGTAGCAAGAGTAGCAATTGCTACGAGCCCCGCGAACAGTAATTAAAAAATTCGACATCTCATTTTATGACCACCTATGATTCTTAACTTAAAGTATTTCCTCTTAAATTTAGGGGAAATATTTAGAGGTAATGAGATCACTAATTTTGTTTTAGATAATAGTTATATGTGTTTTTTAAATGATAAAATATAAACCTTTCGATGTAGAAAAAGAGAAAGATACAAAACAGATTGACATTGCAATATGACATATTATCGACTATATAATCTATCTTGAATCTGTATCTCTATCTGTCAGGCATCAGGCAGGCTAGTTAGTAGCTATATTTTTGGAGATGTCAAACATTGTACTACCAAAATAGTGTAAAATTATTGAATACCGATCAAAAATATTGGAACTATCCATGTTATAACAACTGATAATGAATGCAAATAATGGTAAAGGGCCTATTATCGACCCTGGTTTGTGCAGGTGTTGTGGGGCACTCAAGAAATGCCGACTTTTAAATGTAGAATACGTATGGCAAGGCCAAAAAGAAATATATTCTGACATGTTTATGGATTGTTTTGGACTTTTGGTGAGTAAAATTGAATTTATCTTAGACTGTAACATGATATTCAAAATCTTACCTGTGGTAGGGCCAGACCACAGTTTTCACTGTTGCTCACTGTTGCACGGATGGCCAGATAAGTCCGGGTAATTACCTCGACCTCACAGAAGACCGGCGTAAAGTAGAAGTGTTAGAAGGTTAAGGCGGATATAAAACGCCTGGTTATTTTTTTTATAACCACCCAGAAATAGAGCCCTATGTAGCAAGGCTTAGCAAGAGCCTCCACCTACCACCGCCTGATTCTAAATTAATAATACCATAGTAACATAAGTTAAGATAGTTTCCCCCCACCTCCTAATAATAATCAGCTATTTATTTGTGTTCCCAAAATGTTTCTTTACCAGTTTTTCTAATGCATTGTTTTAATATTCCTTACCTTTTCAGCTATCGCATTTGGAGGGTGCGGCTACGGAACGTCTCATATGCGCCACTTGTGTCTCAAGGCTGCGTGAGGCCACCGCTTTCCGCCATCAGGTACTCCTATGTGAGGAGCGTCTGCTCTCAGCCAAAATACAGCTGCACAACGAAGGTGAGCCATAAACATATCTGCTTAGGATGTCATTTACTTACTACAATACCTAAATAAAGTTAGTTACCCAAATCCTACATATGATGAATTCAAAATATTTATGGATTTGAAAACCATGATAAAATGTGATAAATCTGTGAAATATCTATTATCTAACCTTTTAACAAACATTGTTCAAATTTATGTAAATAATAATGTAGCAATATAAATGTAAATGTAATTATATATATAATTATATGGCCAAAGGATGGAAGGAGGAATTAACATGAGTTTTTTATTGTACACCAATGTGTGTGCGTGATGCACATGGCTGAATTTTTTCAAACAAACATCCATCCATACATACAAACTTTCGCATTTATAGTATTAGTAAGGATAGTAAGGATATTCATTATTATGATGTTCTATACCCCAGCCGATTTTTTCTCAGGAAAACAGGGGTCAGATAGAACACAGGTGGAAGTGGAAATAAACTGAACAGAACTGAACTTTTGCATTCATACTATTAAATAAGGATACATAGATTAGATTGTATACATATATTGTATGGATTGATTATATGCATCAATTTTATCTTTAAAAAACTTGCCAACGTATTGATATACTACTACATTGGGTTTGCATAAACAAACAAATAAAAATTGAGGATAGGGGTAATGACAAGTGAACTGTACTGAAATTACAGATGGCGAACCTCACGATGAAGTCAAATTCGTGCTGGACGTAAAGGAGGAGAAGGATATTGATCAAGAAAATGCAGACGTTGAGAACTATGATGGTGACAACATCCACAATGGTGAATAGAAAAGAAAATATAATGAAATAGACAAATCTTTTAGGAAACAATATGAGGTCCCAAACTTAACAAAGCTACTATTACTGTTCTATGGGTGGCTTCTTTAATTTTTTTGTAAATACATTTTATAGATATAATTTTTTTACGATGGTAGGGCCACGCAGCAGCCTCGGCTGTTGCACGAATGGGCAGGCCCGTCCAGGTAAGTACCACAACCTCACAGAAGACCGGCGTAAAGTGGAAGTATAATACTTTCGCGTTTCTTCTGGTGAGTGAGGTAGCAGGAGCCCAATTTTCAAAAGGTCAATGCATCTGTAACACTCGGGTGTAGCAGATGTCCCATGGGCGGCGGTATTCACGTAACATCAGGTGAACCGTCTGCTCGTTCGACAATGTTTCGTATAAAAAAAAATAACAACAAAGCTAGTACTACTGGTACTATGGGCGGGTTCTTTTATTTTTTTATAGACATAAACACTCATACACTAGAAAAAAACAATCTAAAAAGCAATTTATTTTTCTTACTGGTCAGATCAAACCCAGAACCTCTGTAACTATTGACAGTTTCTCAATCCACTATACAAGTTGGTTCTACATCGGTAGTAAATAAAACCGGATTGATATTACTACGTAATGATAATTTAAATTAATGAGGAACAAGACATGTAAGAATGACCCTCCCGCTGCCCTTGCATATTCCCATTAATTTTCATGTGATTTTTCTTGATCTTGACATCCCATGTGAGTTTGTCCCGCGACCACGTACACTAGAAAGGGTTCAAAACTTTGGGAATTAAAAATCAAAAGTAAAACGCAACAAAACCCTTAAAATAGTTTAATTCAATATGTATAATATTCGCATAAAAACAAGATATATTATAATTAAAATAGCTTGTAGATATTATTTATTATTGGATAAAGAGCGAATTGATTATTCAGACGTGGACGAGGTCACGACCCCGCCGGCCAGACCTACGAGGGGTTCTCAGAAGAAGAAGTCATTGAGAGCCAAAAGGGGAACCAAACCAAATGCAGAGGAGGAAACCGCCTCGAAGCGGGAGCTGATGATGCGGATCCAGAAGATGAGGAAGAAGATGGAGGAGTACGAGGAGAAAGGTCGGTACAAACTCTCCCGAATAGCCTGTTGGAGATCACGAGGAATGTTCCCCTTACATAAGTGCGTTAGATTCGAAACTGGGACAACTGATGAGCCGTTTGCATAGTGAATGCAAGTCTTATAAATGTTAGTGTTGTGGAAGTCCACTTGTGCTGTCGCTTGAATGACTGACTCGACAGGAAAATGATGGTATACAAGCACCTACTTTGCATCACTAGAAAAGTTGCAAACGCGTCCCCTACGTAATCCCAAAGGTTCTCTGTTTTGAGATAACCGTGGTAGGGCCTAGCGACAGCTTCTTCCGTTGTAACAGTTGACAAACACATGGAATGTATGAAGTTTCACTTTATTAATGATACCTGATTTTGTACATCAATCCACCATAACGAATGGTGTGACGAAAGGGGCATGTAACAATAATGATATCATAAAAACTGTTCTGCACCGCTTAAATATATTTTTCCTGGTCTACCTACTCTCTTGGATATATAGACTTGCGGTTCAGGTGAACAGCCTACGTGTCATCTTCTATTTATCTCTCGTATCATGGCTAATCGAATAAAACTTCCCGCAGGCAGCACGCGAAACGCGGTAGCCGCCCAACCGGACAGCGACTCAATGGCCCACGAGAACACCATCACCATAGTGGAGTGCTCGTACGTTTGCCCATTCGACACGTCCTTCAGCGACTACTACTGCGTGTACTGCCGGCAGCAGTTCACGGACCCGGTCGAGCTGCGGGCGCACACGATGGGCCACGACCCGTCCGCGTACAAACGGCTGCCGCGCAAGAAGACCGCCCAGGTGGACGTTTACCGGATCGACTGCCGCCTCTGCCCGCAGCCCGTGGCCACGCTGGACGAGCTGCGCGGCCACGTCGCCGCCCACGGCAAGCGGCTGCACCCCACCGCGAGCGACTTCCTCCCGTTCCGGCTCACCGGCGGGCGGCTCACGTGCACCGAGTGCCCCGCCAGCTTCGGCTTCTTCCACGCGCTGAAGAAGCACATGGCGGTGCACTTCGGCGCGTGCGTGTGCGACGTGTGCGGCGCGCACTACTTCCACGAGCGCATGCTGGCGCTGCACCAGCGCGGGCACAGGGAGGGCGGCGAGCGGCACCCGTGCCCCGACTGCGGGAAGCTGTTCCGCTCGAAGCACAACCGCTACCTGCACGTGGCGAGGGCCCACCGCCAGGAGCCCGCCTACCCGTGCCCCAAGTGCGACGAGGTGCTGTTCACGTACACGCTCCGCTACCGGCACCTGATCGAGGCGCACGGCGACGTGAGGCGCTTCCAGTGCGAGCTCTGCGAGCGCGCGTACGACAGCAGGAAGTCGTTGAGGGAGCACAACCGCCGCTCGCACCTCAAGATAATGCGCCACCAGTGCGACCTGTGCGAGAAGCGCTTCTACCTGCCGTCCAGGCTGCGCGAGCACATGGCGGCGCACAGCGGCGAGAGGAACTACCGCTGCGAGTGCTGCGGGAAGAGCTACCCGCGCCTCAGGGGGCTCAAGGTCCATATGCAGACGCACAGCGCGGAGAAGAAGTACCGCTGCGCTTTGTGCTCGGCGTCGTTCACGCAGAACGTGAACCTGAAGAACCACATGAAGAGGCAGCACCAGAGCCTGGAGCCAGAGGAAGCGTTGGCTGGTTATTGATCAAAGGCCAGGAACGAAGGAGCATACTGGGTCTCCAGTATACTGAAAAAATTCACTGATAATAACAAGACATATCATGGGCTCTGAGAAAGGTGCGGTTGGAACTTCCTACATGGGCTGGGGCCTAGGGGGGCCAAGACTACAAATCCGCCACTGTGGGTCTCGGCATATCTCCATTAAACAGTAAGTGAGGATTCAGCATGAAGAGTGCTTTAGAAGAAAATCCATAAGAAACAAAAGGCTTTGGAAAGTGGATGTTGTAGTTGTAGTCTTTGGTTGATTATCTTACCTGGTTTCTTTGGGAAAGAAAACGCGTTGTGTCTGGACGATATATCTCTTCATCTCACCTCGGACACATGACCTCATAACATCAGAATATGAGGCCAGAAAAATGGTACACTGTAATTCAAACAAGAATAGAACTGATCTAGCTCCATCTTGTGACGTCATAGCTGTCAATTAAAACTAGTGAGGTAAGGCGAACAAGCAGATATTTTTGAAATAATATTTATTTACAATTGAATTTTGTATTTTGTTTGAAAGAAAAAAAAATTACATGAAAAGTTTTTTACATTTTAAAAGTAGAAAATAATTTTCATTGGCTTGCAAATTAGAAATTTTCGAGTCGTAAGAGATTCCTATTCTTATATGAAACACATTATACCAGTTATTTGACATTATTCAGACACACACTAGAAGAGTAGGGAGAAGAAAATCTATGGCTTTTGCTTTCTTCCAGCTTTAGGTAAGCATGAATTATATGAAGCGGTCCCGCCAGAACAAAGTTACTACACTCAGGATTTCGTGTTTTAGAAGATCCCTCGGAGTAAACATGACTGTGGTACTTCTAATCCCCCCTAAGGATTTACAGTATGCGCTTTTATACAACTTCTTTTTAAACAGTATTGAATATTCAGGGTGTTTTAGAAGCAACAGCAGATTTTAAACACAGCAGGACCTGGGGAAAAAGATAACAATAGTAATAAAATGCCTGTTACGTCTGATAATAAATAATGTGCTGACAAATATTTATTGCAACCTACCTCAATGTACATATTACGCTTAAATTATAATCTAATATATGAATCATGTACATATCTCTTACATATATTACTAATTAAAGTAAATCGTTGATTTGTATTTCAGTCAAATATTATAAAAGTTATTACAACTTTAAAATATAACACAAGGCTGTATAATGTGTTGAAAATCTTAAATTTAAATTAATAATTGTCGATTGTTATTTTTAAGGTTGTAGATTGTCTCTATTCCACTTAATGATAACAAGAATAATAAATAATGTTAATAAAATATGTCTTTAATTTCAGTTCAGTACGGATTTCCATCATCATCGTTTCGGCATTTAAATCACAGACACCTGCATCCTCAACTTCCCGCATTTTGCAGAAGTCGTCTCTCCATCCATCCATCTGGGACGTCGTACAACACTATCAGTTACCTAGTACCCATATTGCAATGCTTATAATATGTGTACTAGGTAACCGATAAACATACTAAAACATACTTTTCTTTTGTAAATAAATACTATATATCTATCTGTATTTATAACACACTAGCCACGAGGAAAATATTATGTTAGCAACACAATATTTTTCCAGTAGTAGGAATCGAACCCGCAACCTCTAGCGCATCAGACAGGTTCACTTTCCACTACGGCAATCGGGTCATCAAAAAAATTTTTTTTTTATGCGTAAAGTTGTCAAACGAGCAGACGGTTCACCTGATGTTAAGAGAATACCGCCGCCCGTGGACATCTGCCACACCCGAGGGTTACAGATGCGTTGACAACCTTTTGAAAATTGGGCTCCGGCTACCTCACTGACCAGACGAAACGCGAATGTATTTGTAATACTTCCACTTTACGCTGGTCTTCTGTGAGGTCGTGGTACTTACCCGGACGGGCCTGCGCATTCATGCAACAGCCGAGGATGCTGCGTGGCCCTACCACTAAAGATTTTATACTTATTAATAATACGTCGTTTCGGTACAGCCTTAAGTGAAAAAAAGTCTGTAAGCAAGAAACTTCAGAGGCAAAGCAAATCCAACCAAAATGCAATTATAATGTATAATTTATAGCGATTGCAATTTTATCCTTGCTTCCTTACTAATATAAAGGCGAAAGTTTTGGGGCTTACATGGCATGTCTGGCATATAAACCCCAAAACTTTAGCTTTAATATAGGGACGCCGATAAGATGCTTGCCTACACGGCTCTCAACGTTTAATCCTAGCCTACCCGCGTATTTAAAGCCACTCATCTCTTTTTGAGCGTAATTGTTGGTGAAACTTAATAAGTAAGAGTATTGAATTGTTCTTTAAGAATACATTGCAGGTCAAGGGTTGTTTGAAAGAATTTGCTACGGGGCCCGCGCTTGCTTAATTCGGCACTGCTCACTGAAGAGCAGCGTGAAGAGGAAGTGTTATATGTTGCGTTTTGTTAGGCGAGATAACCGGGGCTTACTTTATTATAAGTGGTCGCTCGAGTGTACATCACCTTTATACCATACTAGCTGCTGCCCGTGACTACGTCTGCGTAGAATTAAGGCGTAACATTCAGACAGAAAGACAGATATACATAAAAGTATGTATAAGTTTCATTAAAATCCATTCAGTAGTATTTGTGTGAAAGAGTAACAAACATTCATCCATACATACAAACTTTCGCCTTTATAATATTAGTAAGGATTAGGATAGTAAGGGTATTCATTATTATGATGTTCTATACCCCGGCCGATTTTTTCTCAGGAAAACAGTGGTCAGACAGAACACAGGTGGAAGTGGAAATGAACTGAACAGTAGATTAAATTATTACTATACTAAGTACCACATTAAAATTATAGTCATATATGGTTCATAACTTTAGCTTTTATTATAAATTAAATTACAATTTCATGAAATGTAAGAGAAGACGCAGGCTTCAGTCTCTCGACGCGGAATTTTGAATATTCACATCTAACATAATAAATATGTCGGAGGCCAAGATCCTCTTTGGGTCGCTGAGCCAGCCAAGTAAGTAACATAATAACTATAAAATAAATAAAACACATAATAAATACATATTATTAAAACATTATAAAAATGTAAATATTATTCAAATTAAAATACATTTATATTAATTTAGTCAATGTTTCAAACTGAAAGCATTCAGAGGTTAATTTAAAATTAATTGCAGTGAACCCGGCAATAAAAATTGCACATAGACCTGGAAATAGATAAAATAATTGGATAAAATAATATAATTGGAAATAGATAACCGGCTAATTTCGGTTTCATAGTAAATCTCTCTTATATCTCTGTCACACAATGCATGTGCGATTTTGTCAGTTATTGAACAAGTTTATAAATATTGTACAAATGAAAACTAGTTGAAGAATGGTGGTGTGCAAGAAATAGAAATGTACTTTGTAAGCAATTGGATGTTGCAGGCGTCCATGGGCGGCGGTGATTACTTACCATCAGGTGAGCCTCCTGCTCGTTTGCCCCTTTTTAAAAAAAAACAATTTTTTTTTTCTAATTTCTGTCCGACTGTCTATTTGTACCGGCTAATCTCTAAAACGGCTGGACCGATTTTGACGGGACTTTCACCGGCACGACAGATGATGTAATAAGGAGGGCCTTAGGCTACATTAATTTTAGATATTTTATTTATTTTAAAATCCACGCGAACGAAGTCGCGGGCACAGCTAGTCTGAAATAAAAATCATCTGACGCACCAATAGATTGGACTAGGAGTGAGTTATATTGCATTTTTCCCACGTAAAGAAAAAAAAGGAGTGAGTTATAGGTTAAATCGAGTACCTGTTACAGTGACAAATACCTATTATAAAATAACAGCCTGCGCCAAGCATTGCTTCAAATGCTAAAAAACAATGTAGATAAAAGACGTTGACGTTAAGATTATCGTCGATGTGGCAATCAGCGGTTTAGCTTAGTGGCTAAAGCGTCATGGTGCGAGTGCCGAAGACGTGGATTCGATTACCACAGGAGCGAAAATCTTATCGTACTTTTTCTATCTATCTCTATGGTCTATCTATAAAATTTCTATGGTAACGTCCGTACTTCTCTTTCTAACAAATCTATATGACCGACACAAGAAAAGGAAAGAGCTCGTGACAGTGACAAAGTGTTCACGAACAACTGTGACAGGGCGTAAAAGTTTTTATCTCTTTCTAACTAAGGTAACAGTCACATAAATTCAAGGTAAGCATGAATATGTTTTGTATATATATATATATATATATATATATATATGGAACTGACTAGCAATTGACTGCCATCCCACCATGATGGGAAATACAGAAAAGCTTGTGACAGCATATTAAGGGGAACAATTTGTATGGAACAGGAGCTGTTATTTAAGTTCGTTCGTAACAGGAACAGTCAGTTATCTTAAGATATCTGTTAAGATAAATACACCTCATTCCTACATTGGACTTGTCATCGGACACTTGGCTCATTACTGCCCCGCGCAATCATAGATAAATATTTAATTTTTCCTCACAAAGGGGCGATTGCTAGTACTATCAGTCTATCCAATAGAAGATGGTATCGTAGTTGCCGATATCAACGATTAATTGAAAGGTGACCTAAGTCGCTGACAAATAAAGGCAAAGGCAATACAATACAGCATAAAAACTCGGGCAACTTGGTCCCGCCACCAAGGATCAACAGATATATTAAATAGCAGCGAGTTTTTATAGCTCTTGTGTCAAATATAACACAAGTACAGAGAGTCATGTCAGCCATATTGATCTAATAACCTTTTCTGTGAAATCACACTTTTGTGCAGAGGTTATCAAATGTCCCATATAACCACAAATGTTATATATGTATATGACTGTACTTTCTCGCCATCATACAAGGCAAAAGTAACACCAGCATTAAGTCTTGTCGGCCATAATTATGTGAATATATATTATTTTACTTTGAATTAGTAACACTGGGAACTTGATAACTACACTTCGCGTTTAAGATTAAGATATATCTCAAATAACCACGAAGGTTTAGTTCTTTGAGTGGCACAACCTCGAAAGAAGGCAAACATAACACGAGTGTAGAGCCTCGTGAACCGTCTCAATATGTATATTCACTGCGGCGTCACCACCGGGACATAAGACCGGGAGTGGCCGAAGTCTGATCAAGTGAAGGCGTCCTCTGCGAAGTCCCGGTGGTGAGTCTTCAGGTGGCTCTTGAGGGCGGAGCTCTGGGCGAAGGTGGCGCTGCAGAGGTCGCATTTGTGGCGGCGCTCCGCCCCGTGGGAGCGCAGGTGCTCCTGCAGCGACTGGAGCCGCGGGTAGCTCTTCTCGCAGTACTCGCAGCGGAAGCCCCTCTCGCCCGTGTGTGTCGCCATGTGCTCCTTCAGCCTCGACGGCAGGTAGAAGCGCTGGTCGCACAGCTCGCACTGGTGGCGGTACACCTTCAGGTGGTTCCGCCGGTTGTGCTCCATCAGGGTCTTGCGGCGGTTGTACACCTTGTCGCACAGCTTGCACGGGAACGTGCGCGCGTCGCCGTGCGCCTCGATCAGGTGCCTGTTGCGCAGCGCGTACGAGAGGAAGCTCGCCTCGCACTTGTAGCAGTTCACCGTCGGCTTCTTCTCGTGGACGGTCGCCACGTGGAGGTACCGGCTGTACTTCGACTTGAGGTTCTTCCCGCACACCTCGCACGGGAAGCTCGCCTCGACGCGGCTGTGCGACTTGATGTGGGTGCGAAGCGAGTTCTGCTCGAGGAAGCAGGCGCCGCACACGTCGCATATGAACGTGCCGAAGTGCTCCACCATGTGCTTCTTCAGCATGTCGAAGTAGGGGAACGCGGTGCCGCACTCGGTGCACGCGAGGCTGTTCAGGGAGAGCCTGAACTTCAGGAACTCGTTGGCGACCGGGTGGAGGGGTTTCCCGTGGGCGGCGGTGAGATGCCGCTTGAGGGCGTCCAGGTCTTCTATCTTCTGCGGGCACAGGCGGCAGTCGATCCGCGTGATGTCGATCTTGGGCAGCTTCCTGCCCTCCGTCATGTTCTCGAACATCTCCTTGGGGTCGTGGGTGAGCGTGTGCTCCCTCAGCTCGTTGGGGTTGGTGAACTGGTCCTTGCAGTAGTAGCAGTAGTAGTTGCTCACGCGGTTGAGGAACGGGCACACATAAGAGTTCTGGACAATCGCCACCGTGTTGGCATACGCCATCTGCTCGTGGTCGTCCGTCTGCTTCTTGGGTTTGCTGGCCAGCACTTTCTTCCTCCGTTTCTCTGCGAATCAGAATACCGTAAATGAGGGATCTCACGCGCGTCTTGTTAAGTTTTGGGGACAAATTGGACAAGGGCCTGCAATGCAAAATTTGGAAATGACTCTTGCTCTTTACTTGTAAGTTCCCTGGCGCCTGCTAGTTTTATACTTAAATACTTTTGTGTATATACTCAAATAATTACAAAAAAAAAAACAGAAAAAATATATGTATATATTCTTTAGAATAATTCTCACTGTGGTAGGGCCACGCAGCATCCTCGGCTGTTACACGAATGGGCAGGCTCGTCCGGGTAAGTACACGGCAAACTTGGGTATTAATGGAGCGAAATTTCTAGAAGATTACCCGGCATATCCAGCATTCTGTCCATCTTCGAGCGCAGCTTCCTCATTCCCCTCACCGCCGAGGGCTCCGTCACGTGTTTGGTGCGGAGGGAGCGCCGCCTCGCGACCACCGGCGCCCTTTGCACTAGACTCGCGATGTCCGGCGGTTTTGTGTCTGAAACTGCGAACCTTACCTAAGACGGGGCTGTTTTGCTGCACGCTTCTTTACCTTTATAAATTTATTCGAGAATCCTTACTTCCTTACTAATGTTATAAATACGAATGTTTGTATGTATGGACACTTTCACGAAAATACTACTGAATGGATTTTAATGAAACTTTACAATAGGGATTATACATCAGAATAACACATAGGCTATAATTTATATACATATTTTTATGCAGATGTGTTGGCAAACTTAAGTCCGTGGAAATCTAATACTTCCACTACCTACACACCAGTCTTCTGCGAGGCCGTTGTACTTTCTCGAATGAGCTGGCCAATTCGTACAGCACCAGGTTAGATGAGTTACATTTTTAACAATTTCATAGGCTATAATTTATACAGCGTGTCGTTACCATAGCGACAATAAATGAAAACACATATAGGGGATAACTTTTTAAAGTTGTATTAAACATTTAAATTCTTTAAACATCAATATTTACAGAGTTATTAAATTTTCCAAAACAAAGAATTTTAGAACACCCTTACCTATAAAAGCGTAACGTAAAGTTCATTTGTAAAGGTCACAAAGCATATGAATGGGTTGAATGGATTTAAAAGAGACAAAACATACTGTTAGAAGCAGAGGCTTGTAATGCGACGCTGTGGCGCGAGTTGTTTATTTTTTTTTTAATTATGGATTTTGTTTAACGGTAATATTTTTTTATGATTATTGGCAAGTAGCGTTAGACGTGTGTTCATTTATTGTCGCGATGGTAACGACACGCTGTATAGATATTTTTATGTGTATAAATTATAGACTGTCTTTCTGTCGGAATGTTACGCCTTCAGTCTATTCTATGCAGTCGCGGGCAGCATCTCTTGTAATAGATACAATAATAGAGAATTTTACCTCGCAGACTCTGTGAGGTAAAATTCTAGGATCTGGAGATTGTACACTGTGCACAGGCGTTTTAATGAGTGACGTCTACTTCATCGGTAGACAACTGTCCAATCGGTAGTTTGTAGTTTTTGGAACTGTATTAGCACCTGAGTAAACTCAGTGTAAGTGTTTTATTGGTACCCGTTAGAGCAGTCTACCTGAGTGTTGTACTTAACTAAACGTGTATACTTAGGGTAGTATTTCAATGCGTCCTAACGAATCTGACTACGCGATGCAATATAGCTAGAAATTGTAATGGGAGTGTAGAGAAGTGGATGTAGCAATGAAAAATAGGTCGCTCGTAAATAATTGAATGACTTGCTAATATTGATGTTGCACTTAAGCCGTTGGAGTTGTAAGTGACGAGGCAGAAATTGGATGTCTCTGGGGGCCCCGATCTATACGGAAGTGGCGTTTGGTGTTGCCGTAACAGGGAGCGACAATTAAAGAGAGATAAGATAGGGCGCGAGGGGCAATATAACATCCCCCATGTTGTCCCTATGTATTGAACGCAATAACGCTCCTGGGAAGGATAAACCTCCCCGGCCCTTACTACTGCTTCGCTTCTACGCTACGCCTACTTGGCACGTGGTGATACCACACGTTGGAAATTGTACCGTTCCGTTCGCCACTCGAGTCGCCTTCATCCATATAGGCATCGGATATCATATCGTCCATTGGCTCCGTCTTGACCTCGATCAGGGTTTTGGATTCGCCATCTGCAAATAATAAAGTCTCATCGGCGAAAACAGTTCCATTTAATAATAATACATTTAATAGCCCTGAGCCCACTTTTAAAGATTGGTGACGCATCTCTAACTTCTCAGATGCTGTAGTTCATGGGTAGCGGTATTATTTTAACATCTGGTGTACTACCTGCTCGCTTGACAAATTTTCATAAAAAAAAGCTCAGACTATGTACCATGCGGTAGCGGGAAATACAAGACTTGTCGGTTGATGACAGTTGTACAGTCCGAACACCATGTAAGTTTTCATCTTACACTTACCTTTGTGGTCTTCTAGCTTGGCCTTGAGGAACACCTCTTCAGACTGCAGAACCTGCTGGCGGAAGGCGCATGCCTCGCGGAGACGGGACACGCATGTGGCGCAAATGCAGCTGTCTTTGTTGTCACCATCCATATGGGACAGCTGTACATTGGAGCAAAGTTCTCTTATGTATCTGATAAAGACTGCCGTATATGCATATGATACAGGAGCTGTGATAGCTCATTGTCTGGCTTTTAACTCAATACACTCTAGCAAGCTAAGTTCAAATCCTAGTCAGCACTGGGATTTTCATCCAATGAAATAATTGAGAGCACGTTTAAATGCTTATCAACTGCTCAGCGGTGAATGAAACACAACATGATCTACATGTTGTGTGGGGTTGGCACTATACTATCCATTACTGTCCTGTGGGATTATTTACCTTAAATTACTTAAATCCTAAAATGGATTTAATTACATCTAGGTTTTTAAGGAATTATTATCTATAAATTTATAAAGAATTTTTCACATCTAGTGGTCCACAAATTTAGATTACATAACAGAAACATTGGTAAGAAAGTCAATAGTGAAACATTCATTAAATTTTTTTTTTCAGTAATATACAAAAATCTATAGCCAAAAAATAAAAATTCTGTTTTTAATGATTTTAAGGAGTTATAAAGGCTTTGTTAAATTTGTTTTGCTGTACATTGATTTTTGTTTGAATCCCAGTTACACATCCAATGAGATTTCCTGTACTTCAGATTTCCGTTATCGAAATATAATTATTCACTCACTTCAACAAAAAAAACCAATTATAATCTCAATCACTTACCAAAATATTTTCAATGTTGCCTTTGCCACATTTATTGTGATGCTGTGACAATAATTAAAAAAATTTAACTATAAATCACTGTTGACCTAGATTGTATGCAATGATTATATTTTCAAAAATATCAGTGGTCTTGTTTAGTCCGAGCAAAGTCCATATGCTGACAATAAAATAAGTGTATAGTTTTTAAGCTTATACTGATTTTATATATGTATACATCAAAACTGACAAGTTTATCATTAGAATATTAATATAAGACTTTATATTAAAATTCTAGTTATATAACTTTTATTGTTTGTTATAAAAGAATACACTGAATTATTTGTTATAAACACTTTGTAGCCTGGTATTAGCCTTATGAAGGATGAATCTTTGCCACAAATATGTTATATTTGTTTACTTCTGTACGATATTAACTTCAGATATTTATTACCCTAGCAAAGTGTAAGCGGAATACCTGTGGAATACGTTACTCACTAATAATCCAAAGCAATCCATTAGCATATCTGAATACACCTCCTTGTTGCCCATCCATTCGTACTCCGAAGACAGGAAACGACATTTCTTAATCGAACGACAGCATCGGCATAAACCGGGATCTACAATCGGTCCTTTGTTGCTCTTTGTAATTATTGTAACAGCCATTGTTAATGCAAATAGTAGCCATTCAAAGTCATCGAATTAGGTAATTAATACCTCGTTCCGAAATAAAATCTAGGATTCTAAACATTTGTATAGGTATTGACAACACTACTCGGTACTCGGTATAAAAAAACACAGCCAGCAGCTGTCAATACTCAATAGGGATGTGAAAAAATATCAATCTATCGATATTTTATTTTAATTATATGGATATTTTGATCCGATATATCGATATAAAAATTGAATATCGACATCGTATTAAAAACGATAATTTTCATCATCATCATCGTCATTTCAGTCTGTTTGAGTCCACTGCTGAACATAAGCCTCCCCCATAGACTGCCATGAAGTACGATCCTGAGCCACCTGTATCCATCGACTTCCCGCACATTTGCACAGGTCGTCACTCCATCTAGTGGGGGGTCGTCCTACACTGCGATGGCCAGTACGAGGCTGCCACTCGAGAACCTTTCTTCCCCAACGGTTATCGTTGGAAGATGTTTTCAAGCTTCTGGACTGGAAAGGACGAGGTATTAACATCAATGGCGAATACATCACCCACCTTCGATTTGCCGACGATATAGTCATCATGGCAGAATCGCTGGAGGACCTGGGTGCTATGCTCAATGACCTCAACAGTGTCTCCCAACGGGTGGGCCTTAAGATGAACATGGACAAGACGAAGATCATGTCTAATGTCCATGTCACGCCTATACCGATTGTTGTTGGGAGCACTGAGCTCGAAGTTGTTGACAAGTACGTTTACCTAGGACAGTTAGTCCGGCTAGGTAAGTCCAACTTCGACGCAGAGGTCAATCGGCGAATCCAACGGATGGGAAGCGTGCGGGAAACTTCGGAAAATCTTCTCGTCGAATATACCTCAATGTTTGAAGACTAAAGTCTTCAATCAATGTGTGTTGCCAGTGATGACCTACGGAACCGAGACGTGGTCCTTCACTGCTGGCCGTATGAGGAAGCTCAAAGTCGCTCAGCGAGCTATGGAGCGGGCTATGCTCGATATTTCTCTGCGTGATAGAGTTCGTAACGATTATTTTATTCAAATTTAATTCAATTAAATATTAACAGATTCAAAGCCGTAAAAGAAAAAAATGAACAGAAAAAAATACTGTTGTCTATGTGTAGTATTGTCGTGGATGCAGTGTTGGATTTTATATTATAATTATGGTACTTATACAATTTCATGCTTTGTACTTTATTCTATCCATATCTAAGGTACAGTATGGTATAGAGGTTGTAAATCATTTTTATTTAACTACATGTTAAGCTTAATTATAAATAACATGCAAAATATTAACGGTATCAAATAAAGTTGCTTTACTTAAATATTTAAATAAATTTAACAAAATTGAATTATAATCAAATACTTAATATTTAAATGACACATTTATAACATAATATGAAGTTTTCATAAAAAAAATATTTGACGTTATAATAATTATTATCATATAACTACATTAACATAAGTAACTTTTTGTAATTGTCGTTCAGCGCTTGCATGTCGTCAAACAACTGTTACTAAATTCTGCTGATCTAGGCCTGTCTTTTATAACAAGTCTCTGCGGGGTCCTTTTTGTCCCGTTATTAACATCGTTTTAAAAATTTCTTTGTAATTTTTTACATAGTTTTATTTTTTTATCTGTTAATTATTTTTGATTCGCTTCAGGCTTAAAGAAACTGATTTATCTTACTACTTAAGCTAGTTTGTTTTTCATCTTTACTTTTCATCACTTAATTTAATCAGACTGAACTACATTATTTTTTTAAGCTGAAAATTTGACTGACAGACAGAGTTACCGATTTTTTTTTCGTAATATCGAGGCCAATATTGATATTTTTTATAAATATCGATATATTGCTTCACTTTCGGCATTCCTGTCAAATAAGATTACTAGGGATGTCCTGTCTTTAGGAACAAAATAATCGATAAAGAAACTAAAATCGATGATACATATATAGATTTAATCATGTAGCTTTAGATTTTATACATATTTATTGCTTTTCATAAATTTGGTAGTAGTTGACTTTAAATGAACTCCGTAATTTTATCTATTTTAAAAAGTAACAAGTGTAAGTTTTTTACACAGGGATAGTTGAATATCCGATTAATATTTATATAACATTTATCCACAGAAGCTTATGGACATCCCAGGTAGAGACGTAGGTTATGTACACTCGTCTTTCACAATCTGAGTAGGAATAACGCATTCGCAAAAATGAATATAGGAGAGAATTTGGTAGGCAAGCTACCTCACCTGGATGGTAGTCACCTCGTGAGCAAGATCAGATGTTTTATAGGAGGGCAACGTAGCTGCATTCACTGTTACACGTATGGGCAGGCTCATTCGTGTAACAATAAACTCGCTAGTGGGCCCTTGTGTCATGTCATCATCAGTCCTCCCCTTTTAGTCAATTGCCCTCCTTTCCACGAGTTGCAACGGAGTGGATGGTGCCATTGTTTCGTCATCGCGCACTAGTTACGTTGTTCTCCCGAGACCTCATCCGCTGTCAAAGCCGTCGGGCTAACAGCTTACACAAAAAAGTTCATTATCAACTAACTATACATAATAAACCTTACTGTGTGACATCGTTTAAAATTACACGGTACAAAACACTACGTATTCATTCAAGAAGTTCGATAGAAATCGAGTGAAATAATCGATTTTGTTATTGTATCCTTGTCTATAATTTGCTAGGTATTATTTATTGCACAACACTAGCTGTGATTATAAATAAAAAATAGAAATAGACAATATGGCCACCGATTATGTCCAATCGAGTTATGTTTTTACTTTTAAAACTTCCTTATTTATGAACTGTTTTTTATTACTAATGTTTATTGTTTTACATAGTTCATTCTTTTAATAATGTCGTCTGAAATCTGGAAGTTGGAGCGTGATTTGTGTCGTTGTTGTCACTCTGAAGGAGTTTTTAACAATTTGGCGGAATCGTGCAGTCGAACCGACCAAAAGGAGGTCTATTGCGATATGCTAAAAGACTGTTTAGATATCAATGTAAGTATGCCAAAGAGATCTTGATATTTCGGGGTAAAATTAATATTTTTATAATAAGAATTTTTAATATCATATGCTTAGATTCTTTGCAAAAATTTAACAGAGTTTGGTGTTAAATCAGCGTACTATTTATTAACAACTGTACAAACAAATTCCATTTCATCATCGAACTTGACTTTATCACAATAAACGTCAATATTATTTACATGTACCCACATAAACAACATACATAAGGCTCTCAGTGTTTACATCTTGAATGAAACAAAGTTTCAGTGTATCATGAATGAAACCATTGGTTTTAGAAGCTTTCCTCACTAAACTGGTTTGGTTCAACTCTCTCTTGTTTCTTTAGGCCTTTCTATCCTTTATTTTCAGGGTTTAAAGGGCTCAAAAAATATTAAGATCAATAATTGTTTGTTTGTTCATATTTTATATGTTGCCATACAAAAGTTGGAAAAAAAGGGGAAATTTTTGTATACTAAACATTTCTCACAAGTTCTGTTGGTAGTGCAAATATTCTAAAGCTATAAATGTAAAGACATTATATTCATTCCTAAAAGTATGTCTTGTGTATTTTTGCATTAAACAAAGGCAATGTTTTCATTTCAGGTAGATCCAGTGCCTGGTGCTTTGTGTGCAATCACATTCACAATATGCAAGGCTTGTATACAAAGGTTAAATGATGCAGTTGACTTCAAACGACAAGTACAGGCATGTGAAGAGAAATTTAAGAATTTTTATAACAGGAATGCAATTAAAGGTATTTATTTATCTGATATAGACAACTTACATTATAAGAGTCATAGATTGTTGATAAGTGACAATGAATGGACAATCGTTTCAATGTTAAAAAAACCGGCCAAGTGCTAGTCGGTCTCGCGCACGAAGGGTTCTGTTCAGCCATGATTATTTTGCCATTTTTATTATCTATAAAAATGGCCAAATAATCATGGCTGTTATATGGGAGCCCCACATCAATATTTTTAATTCTGTATTTTAGTATTTGCATCAGAAATATATCATCTGTGAAAATTTCAATTGTCTATCATGCGATCATGAGATACAGTCCGGTACACTCTCACAGATGGACAGACAGACAGTGGAGAATGGGGAATGAAACCCTAAAAATTAAGTCACAAGATGTTTGAAAGGGGAATAAAATTATTGCTACCTCTACATGTGGGCAACATAAATAGCAATGAACTCTTTATTGAACGAACTTAAGTCTCTGGTCTAATGGGATTAATTTTTTTTTCGCACCATATAGTTATATATATTTATAAACAGTTTTTATAATTAATGTGACCAGCATCTTGCACATCTATATTTATATTACGCACTTGTCTATTTCAGTTAAAAACGGAAGCTACAATCAGTTAGATGTTAAAGAGGAAATTCCAGAATCCTTGTCAGGTAACGAAAAACACTTTATAATATAATATTTATTTGTTGAGTGAATATTTGAAATTGGAACTTTAACTGAGATTACATCTCAGTTAAAGTTCCAATTTCAAATATATATATAATTATGGCAACAAAAATTATCAAGTAACCCTTTTGTATGAGACATTACAAACAGGTTCCTTATGTCACAATATGCAGATGCATTGTAAAAATATTGTACTTAATTGCCGAATTTTAATTTATCTGAGTACTTGAAAAACTCCCACCACACTGTTTAATATTATCACACAATAAATTAATGTCTTAACAAGGAAAATATTTATCGCAGTTACACCACGCTCAAAATGTTCAACTCTTAAACCTATTAAATTAAATTAAAAAGTTGTTTTGCAAATTAATGGATGATATTATGATTTAAGTCCATTCAAATAAAAGTAAGTACCCGGAGGACCTGTTTTTTTTTTTTTGGTTATTATGATTTATGTAAATCGTGTGTTTTGGAAATTAAATTTAGATACAAATTACTGAGTAATGAAATATGCATAATATTTTTCGATCTTACCGACGTAATAATAAGAAAATATCAACTGATGTTTATCACAAAAGAAAGAACTTTAAAAAAAAAGGGGAAAAAATAACAAGATAACAAATCGACAAAAAATTAAAAATAAAGAAAGCAATGATCTGGAATCGAAAAAAAAGTAAAAAAATAAATTTGTAAATGATCGTGATACGAACTACGGCCTTCTGTTTCGTGGCTGTTTGTTAGCGGGCGCCCAATTACCGATCGAGCTATTATACCATTTTTTTTTCGGTGTACATACAACACATATATACAAGAATTTAGTTACATATACAGCATGTCGTTACCATCGCGACAATAAATGAACACACGTCTAACGCTACTTGCCAATAATCATAAAAAAATATTAACGTTAAACAAAATCCATAATTAAAATAAATATTTTTCAAACAAACTAATTAAGTAAAAAAGAAACAAAATTTGTAACATCCTATACAACTCGCGCCACAGCGTCGTATTACAAGCCTCTCCTTCTAACAGTATGTTTTGTCTCTTTTAAATTCATTCAACCCATTCATATGCTTTGTGACCTTTACAAATGAACTTTACGTTACGCTTTTATAGGTAAGGGTGTTCTAAAATTCTTTGTTTTGGAAAATTTAATAACTCTGTAAATATTGATGTTTAAAGAATTTAAATGTTTAATACAACTTTAAAAAGTTATCCCCTATATGTGTGTTCATTTATTGTCGCGATGGTAACGACACGCTGTATATACAAGAATTGCTCGTTTAAAGGATAAGATTTACGAATCATTATACTATATGATTTATAGTTTATGAATCAAATGTTTATTTTTAATGCGCCTTTGGCTGGGGCCTATTTTCAGCAGCGCACAAAAAGGGCTGAAATGATGATGTACTTTTATGAGTTTTCTTGAAATTTTCATTTCAGTTGAAAAGAAAGATGGTCTCGATATTAAGGAAGAACTACCAGAGTCCTTGCCAGGTAAGAAAGTACTCTTATTATGTTATTAAAATTAATAGTTTTTGTTATTGTACTTTTTGTTTCCAAGATTGGAACATTTTGAAACTCTGTTGTATGACGGAAAACTTACATTGCCAGAAACTTAAAATCATGACCCATCTAAATTTAGATAATATTTTAGGCGTTTTTTATAATAAGTATAAATAGTCCTGGTAATTTTCTACATCATTATGGTCACATATAGTAAGTTTGCTACCGTTTATGAATTTCTATGCCCGTACCATATAATAGCGTCATAAAAGAAAAGAAGAGAAAGAAATCCCACATAATACTTTCCTGAGTCACCTAGGAAAGTATTTTAAATTAAGCCATTACTATTATAACTTTATTCAGTAGAATATAGAACTTCTATATGAAAGTGATTTTTGTGTAAATCACTTGGATGTAGAGATGGGTCGTATCGCTTTTTCTGAGTACCGTATCTGAATCAGGTTTCGATTTCAAATATCAGATTTCGAAACTATGTATTTTAATATCTAGATATTTTACGCTCCCGTATCCACCTTGAATTCTAAAAAAAAAAAAGAAAATAATTTCCTGATAAAAAAATTCAATGAAATTACCATTACTATTACCATTACCAGTGATACCAACTTTTCAAAAAGAATACTCCTAATTAAATTCGAAAACCCACTAAAATGACTAACGATTTTTTATACTATTAAGGTAAAATTTAAACATTACCAAACAAAATTACCTGATTAAATTAAAAATTTCATTAAAAATAGAAATTGAAGTAATATAACTTAGGGCGGATGAATTTAAAATATACACACAAGGCACATAAGCCTTGGTCTGATTTCCACCAAAGTAGCACAGCACTATTAAATTATATTTTTCTTTTTATGTAGTTTTATTTTTTTCCAAAAATATGAATAAAATTTAACTAATAAAAATATTCACAAAAAATTTACCTCCTAAAAAATTTCCATTGTATATTTTTCATCCCTTACTATTACGTGCTAGGCACCAATGCAATCCAACTCAAGGCTAAACAAAATTTAAAGACATCGTTAATACCGTAATTCGTATTTAAATGCAACAGAGTTTTTTTCCATGCCGTTAAGATTCAAAATTACTTAACTGCGCGCTTTGTCGGCCGTTACGTCTCAAGGCTAAACAAAAGAATAAAAATATAATAATATCGTTGTAGTACTCGTTGATACCATGATCAGTATTTAAATAAAACGGACCTTATTTAGATGGTATTAAGATTCAAAATGACTTAACTTATTCATAATATCTGTTTAAAAATCTGATATTGTGCCTTGCTTGCCGTACTGCTCTAACTAGTGTAATATTTGTATCTCACGCTCTTTGTCGCTCACAATCTGTTTAAAAATCTGATATCGTGCATTGCTTGCCGTCCCCCTCTAACTAGTGAGTATTTATATCTCATGCGCTTTGTCGCTCGATATCTGTTTAAAAATCTGATATCGTGCATTGCTTGCCGTCCCGCTCTAACTAGTGAGTATTTGTATCTCACGCGCTTTGTCTCTCGAAATCTGTTTAAAAATCAGATATTGTGGCAAACGCGTATGATATCGCGATTCGTGTCGGTAAAGCGAGCGAGAACGGTACATCAGATTTCGGAAATATCAGATATTGTAAAATACATAGATATTGAACGAGCCAGTAAGCGATATTCGGATATTGTACTAATATCTAGTTTTCATATCTGATACGATTTGTATCGCCCACTTCTACTTGGATGTAAGTGGGTACATAAATGAAATATTTTTGAATTACCACATTTTTTCAGATTACAACGAGGAGTATACGAACGGCGAGGAAGACGATTTCGCCACTTTCGACAATGAAGGTGAGTAGAAATATTATAAACAAGAACAACCCAAGACAGTTCACTGTAATCATTACGATCAATAAAAAAAAATTGATCCCTCAGTAAGGGCTTCCTTGTCAGCTTCATCCAAGACCTCATCCATATGGCTGTGTTTTTTATATGGAAAAATGGTAAAGAACTGACAGACCAGGCGGTTCAGCTATTACTACTATCACCGATGGACATCTCTACCACCCATGGGAAGTGGTTTAAAAATGTCTAATTTGCTGGCACAGTCTTCTAAATGGTGACAATTCTGCAGACTTGAAAAGCTGCTGTATGGCCCTCCCACTTTTGAATATCAAACATACATGGTGATGCCGTCTACAATATACAGCGTGGCGCTACCATCGCGACAATAAATGAACACACATATAGGGGATAAGTTTTTAAATTTGTATTAAACGTTTAAATTCTTTAAACATCAATATTTACAGAGTTATTAAATTTTCCAAAACAAAGAATTTTAGAACACCCTTACCTATAAAAGCGTAACGTAAAGTTCATTTGTAAAGGTCACAAAGCATATGAATGGGTTGAATGAATTTAAAAGAGACAAAACATACTGTTAGAAGGAGAGGCTTGTAATACGACGCTGTGGCGCGAGTTGTATAGGATGTTACATATTTTTTTTCTTTTTTACTTAATTAGTTTGTTTGAAAAATCTTTTTTTTTAATTATGGATTTTGTTTAACGTTAATATTTTTTTATGATTATTGGCACGTAGCGTTAGACGTGTGTTCATTTATTGTCGCGATGGTAACGACACGCTGTATAATCGACTTTCGGTTTAGCCTTTTTTTGTCCTTGAGACGCGACAGCTCAGTGTCCTGGCGCACGCTTTGAATTCAATGTACTCGAAGAACCTAAGTCAGCACTTAAAATTAATAATTTCTGCGGTGCATTTGATTTAATTTTCGGTGCTGACTTACCACGTGCTCAGCGGTGAAGGAAAATGTCGTGAGGAAACCTGCATATTTCCGAAATAATAACAGAGAAATATATCGAAGATATGCAGTCTGCCAACCCCCAGGGTTGTAATGTGATGTAGGGATGTCGAAAAAATATCGATATATTTTGATCCTATTTATCGATTTAAAGTTTTCTTTATCGAAACCAAAATATCGTATCAAAAACGATATTTTTTCAAATTCGAATCCTTGACCGAGTCCGTACATTAAAATATTTGATACTTGGCATATGTGTTTCTTTTTGACAACAGGGAAAAATATCGATAATCGATGTATCGATATTTTTATTATTATTTTTATAAATCGATATAACATCACTTTGGGCTCCTATAATTGGATAGTAGACATTTTATTTGTCATAAATATTTCTTATACTCAAACCACATAACATTCTCGTAATATCCTTACAGATGACAAGGGAGACACCGAAGCGGTAGGGGATGGCGTTAAGAAGACTAGGGGTAGCGGGAAGACGAAGATGAAAGGAAGAACGAGAAATCTGGCGTCTAAAAAGAGCGGGAAGAGGGACGCGGCAGAAGGAGAGACGGATGGAGAGGAACTTGGCAAAAAAGGTCAGCTACCTTCATATGGATGGTGGATCAGAATCCTCAGTAGATACTCGTAGGGTCTTCGTTGGTAAGATTTTCGTGTCTGTTATCTCTAATATGAAGAAACCACCGAGTCACGTTTTGACATTTGAATGGCCTTTGAAATTCAAGTGACAAAGTCATTCAGCACATCGCTATCTGCCCCTGTGTGGGGTGAAGGCGTGACAAGATTTTTTGTATGTGAAAAGTTGGCAAGCCAGCAGTCGGTTGTGATGATGATAACGGTAGTCATTCGTAAAATTAATATTCAGATTCAAGTCATACGCTTGTCCGTCCGGTAGTTCTCTCTCTCTCTCTCTCTCTATCTCTGTACCTCCAAACTCTGCACCGTTTACTTAAAAAGGATTCGATCTGTGGTCGAATTCACTAACTCGTACTCGTTTAAAAAGTTAATTAAGGGCCCCGCGATTCTAAATGTCCGCGCTTCACCAATGAAGAAGGAACGTACTACTTAGAAACTAGAAAGCTTAAGAACGAATACGTTGTTATTTCGCTTCGAATGGTTTCCGTGTTATGAACGAACCTAGCAGTTGCGCACGCTACTCTCGTGCCATACATCCCGAAGATCGGACAAGTGGCGTACAAGAAGAAGCGTGGCTCAAAATCAATTATATTTATTCAATATACCACCGGTTCGGAAAAGGAACCCCGCTTAAGAGCACCCACGCGGTAATATTGGCCCGAAGCGGCATCACAACGGTGCACCGTCGCTCGTTTTCTTTTTCTACTAAAGAAAAAGGAGCAAGCGTTCCACCCGATGGCAACCGATCACGACCAGACCTTTCTCTGCCGCAGGGGCCAAGCCCGCCAAGTTCCGCATATCGGCGAGCGACTACCGGCGCGACGGCGACGCCTACCACTGCGGCCACTGCGAGAAACGATACGACAAGCTGAGCTCGCTCCGCTTCCACCTCAAGTCGAAGCACTACAAGATACCGCGACACAACTGCGAGCTGTGCGGCCGCGAGTTCATGACCCTCGCGCCGTTCACCGTCCACCGGCTGGAGGAGCACGGCATCGACGAGCGGTTCGACTGCCGCGCGTGCAAGGGCAAGTTCAACACCAAGGTGCAGCTGAGGAAGCACATAAACAACTTCCACATGCTCGGCGAGCGCTACAAGTGCGAGTCGTGCGAGTACGAGTCGTTCAGCTTCGAGGGCATGTACAAGCACAAGTTCAAGCACCGCAGCGTGAAGGACTACCACTGCCGGTTCTGCATGAAGTCCTTCCTGAGGAAGACCACGCTCGACCTGCACGAGAGGATCCACACGGGCGACAGGAGGAAGGTGTGCAAGGTGTGCGGCCAGGCGTTCGTGCAGAAGGCCAGCCTGAACTACCACATGACGAAGTACCACCCGGAGGTGAACTTCTAGTGGTCGTGACGGCTCGTGCGCCGAGACTGAAGTCGACTTTCTACCTTACCTAACGAGTGCTGTGTAGTGATGTCGGAATGCGGTACGATCTATCGATAACAGACGCCTATGGACGCTTTTAATGCTGTATGCAGCCAGGCGTTCGTGCAGAAGGCCAGCCTGAACTACCACATGACGAAGTACCACCCGGAGGTGAACTTCTAGTTGGTCGTAACGGCTCGTGCGCTGAGTCTGAAGTCGACTTTCTAACCTAACCTAACCTAACCTAACTAGTGCAGTGTAGTGATGTCGGAATGCGGTACGATCTATCGAAAGTCCGACATCGATAACAGACTCCTATGGACGCTTTTAACGTTGTATGCAGCCAGGCGTTCGTGCAGAAGACCAGCCTGAACAAACGCTAGACGAACCAATACCCGGAAGTGAACTTTTAGTGACCACTAGAATTCGACTTTCTAACCTAACCTATCCAGTGCAGTGTAGTGATGTTGGACTCCGATACGATCTATCGATTGTCGATACCAGACACCTATGGAGGCTTTGTTGTGCTATGTCGGTGTTTGTACGGGTACAGGAAGAATGTTTGCAAGTTTGGCGTCCAGGCGTTTGTGCAGCAGGCCAGCCTGAACTACCACATGACGAAGAACCACCCGGAGGTGAAATTTTTGTAGTAGACGCCAGTGATTGTGATGGTTTATGCGCTGCGAGTGAAGTCTACTTTCTAACCTAAATTAACTAGTGCGGTGTAGTGAAGTCAGAATGCAGTATAATCTATAGATAGTCAATACCAGAAGCCTATGGAGGCTATTAGTGGTGTGCTGTATCGGTCGATTGTGATATGTGATCGGATAAAAGTTCGCATTCGTGTCCATTGTGATAATGTGTAAGTATAATACAAATCTGGACGAACCTTTAGTGCGAAATGGACGATACTCAGTAGGATTTATTGCCCTATGTAATAACAGCTCTAGCACTAAGGCGCGGTATATCTACTGTTTATTGGTAGCCCAGCTGCTATGACTAAGTACGCGTTTTCTTTGGTAGTACATAAGCAGAAAATGGAATAGTACATGTTACTCATAAGTGCCACTGGGAGGATGTTTTAGTGATGTGTAGTGGCGGCTGTGTGATGTATCGATAAGGTTTATCGATACATCGATAAGGTGATGTATGATAAGGTTTATCGATACATCACGCACTCTGCACTGCAACAGTATAATAGTGATGTGCCGATTCGAAAACTTCTCGATACTGCTTTAATTGTAACCAGCAAACGTTGTTGTTTAGACTTTTTGTTTTTGAATGAATGTTACTGACTGTTAATTGTTAAGTAAATGAAAAGGGCTTTAAGGTGATTTATAATTTTTCTTTAATAATTTTATAATCTTTCAGGCAGAGGCATTATATCGATAATTTTAATAGACATATCGTAACATGTGGGAGGATACATATTAAGTAGAGAGTGAGTGAGAGAGACAGATAGAAAGAGGGTGATATCGTGAATCGGTATGGTGCTTTATGGGCTAACTAACTTTTTGCTTTTTAGCTCAATATTTGTTGTATTTTATGGCGAATAGGTGTTTCTTACTCGTAGGAGAACGTTGTTATCGCTTCTGTCTGTCAAGTTTTTTGACCCAATAGGATTATTATAGGGTCCTAATTAGAGTCAAAGTAAACTCTGTCTTATTTTTTTTTTGTTTGTAGTTTAATCTTAAGGCGATTTGAACCCTGGGTCTTGACTGATTTTCACGATTGTCGAAGCGAGAGGGATTTAGCCACCATTGTCTCCTCTCTCTATCTATCCTGCAAGTATTGTCATGCGCATATTTTGCATCTGAACCATTTTAAGTTTGTGTTCAATTAAATCATATAATTTATGTTATTTATAAAAAAAATTGGATATTTTTTATCTCTTAAATGTTTTATTGTAAAAATATTGGAATGTTGAAAGCTATTGTAAATATAAAAAAAAATAATGTAAATTTTATACATATTGTTACGAAGTATATAATAATCCGATACATTATTGTAAATATAAATTGTATCATATATTTTATACATATAAACAGAGCTGGTCATCACTCAAGTAATTTTTTGTGGATTTAGATAAATTCTTACGAATTACCAAGAGGTTCTTTTATGTCCCCGCACAATGATTCGCAGTTAATTTATGCAAGTAAATAAAACAGTAGTAAGTAAATAAAAGTAGCCGATGTCCATGGGCGGCGGTATTCACTTGCCATCAGGTGAACCGTCTGCTCGTTTGGTAACTTTTCACATAAAAAAAAAGATATAGTATTTTTAAGTTAATAAACAGTTAAATAACGATAGAAATATATTTACAAGCCAACTTTTGGTACTACGCAAGAAGTTAAGCTGTGGCAGGGCCACGCAGCAAGAGCTTCTGCTGTTGTAAGAATGCAGACATATCGGGAGAAGTACCACGGCCTAACAGAAGGCCGGCGCGAACTCTGTTGTGTGAGATAACCGGGGCCCACTTTATACAGGTTGCCAAAGCATATTCAAGCCATCAAAAAGTGATGGCTTGAATATGCAACAATATTATTGTACAACTTTTAACATAAAAATACCGGCCAAGTGCGAGTCGCACTAGCGCACGAAGGGTTCCGTACCATTATCTATAAAAATGACAAAAAAATCCATGTCTGTTGTATGGGAGCCACACTTAATTTTTTTTTATTTGATTATGTTTTTTGAATTTTTATTGTGCAAATGCAGGTACGAAAGATCATTTCAAATCCGACCGGTAGTTTTAGTGTATTGTAGTATTGATATAGCCGTGATAGCTCAGTGTCCGGGTTCTCGCCTTTAATTCAATATACTCGAGCAACGTGAGTTCGATCCCCGGTGCTGGCACCAATGAAATTGTTAAATTTGTGCTGATTTATCACGTGCTCAGCGGTGAAGGAAAACACCTTGAGGAAAAATGCATATTTTCAAAATGAGAACGAAAAAAATATTTCGAAAATATGTGAAGTCTGTCATTCCCCAGTGGGGCAGCGTGGTGGATTATAGCCTGATACCCTCTGTACAGAGAAGGCCTTTATCCAGCAGTGGGACACATATAGGCTGATACTTTACTTTTATATAGAAATGAACCCCGACGAAGACGAAAATATAAACCGGTAGTTTTCGCGTAACGCAAAACTTCTATATCTATTTAAAGCAAAAGATGGATTGACCTTGTTCTCTTCCCCTGCACCAGTTCGGAGAGGAGTACCTCAGGGATCTTTATTAGGACCCTTGCTGTATATTCTATACAGTGCTGATATGTCGAGATGCTTTTACCATTGTAAATATCACATGTATGCAGATGACACCCAACTTTATCTATCCTTTAATCCGAGAGATACATCACTTGCGGTTGACACAATTAATGCCGAGCTGCTAAGGGTGGCATTATGGGCTCGGCAAAACTCTTTAATAATTAACCCACAAAAATCAAATTTTATGGTCCTGGGCACTAAAAATCAAATAAAAAAAAATTTTGTTAGCCAATCCAAAACTACAAATAACTGGAAAAGAAATTGAAAGAGTGGAAGTTGTCCGAAATTTAGGCCTTGCTACTGATCCAGAACTGCATTTTGAGAGTCACGTAAATAATATTATGAAGGATTGTTACTATAAATGAAAAAAATACGGGATTAGAAAATTTTTAAGTATTGAATTAAGAAAACGGTTGGTAGAAAGTTTAGTGCTTTCGAAATTTACTTATTGCGACACTGTGTATGGTCCATGTTTGCAGTCTAGAACAAAGCGCTTAATTCAAAGAATCCAAAACGCGTGTGCCCGCTACTGTTTTAACATACCGCGGCAAAGTCATATTACGCCCTATTTGAACGCAAATAACATTTTGAAAATGGAAGCAAGGAGAAAACTACATTTAGCTAATTTATTATTTGACGTTATAAACACGAATAAACCGGAATACTTATATAGAAAACTAAATTGGAAGCACACCTACTACAAATATCTTAGCAGATCTTTTGCCAAACCGCTCTCCTTGCCACAGTCTAGAACATCAGCGTTTAGAGGAAGCTTCAAGCATGCCGCCACTCGCTGTTGGAATGATATACCGCCACCGATAAGGTCTTTGAAAACCAAATTTTCCTTTAGATATCTTTTTAAAAAACACCTTTTATCTGAACCAAAAACATAAACGGGGACGGTATGCTTGACCATTCGTGCTACCAGTCTTTTTTTTTTTTGTACATTTTTTATTATTGTTTCATGTTTCTTTTGATTTAATAACATCATATGTTTTTTATTACTTTTTATAAGATTTTATGTAAATTTTTTGTCCTTTTCCTTCATTTTTCTCGTTTCTCGTACTAAAACCGTACCATTAACTGAAAAGTAAGCACGTGCCTGATGCACACACATGTATGGATTGGTGGATACATTTTCGATCCTAATTAACGTTCCCATTTTTGTTGTTTTTTGAGTTTTTATTTTATTATAATTTTAGTTTCTTACTTTTGTTTTTGATAAATGTATGTATTGTTTTTTTTTTTTTGGGCTCGGGGCTGTATTCCCCAATTTTTGGTCATTACTGAAAATCAGCGTTGCAGTTTCACTGCAACATTCTGCTGAGTGATGTCCTTTTTGGCATGAATCGCGACGTACTTTATTGAAAAGGGAAAATATGCATATTGGAGTTTTATGTTCATGTCTTTTTTGTCTAATTTTTATTGTTTTAAGTGATTGTTGTGTACGTCAGTCTGTTTTATGTCAAATAAATCTCTTTCTTTCTTTCTATTCAGTTGTCTATTCATGGGTAGGGGGTGCAGAAAAGAGCGTCAACTTTACATTGTCGCTTAACGAAGATGGCACATCGTCCTTCAGCTGCAACACCTGCGGCAAGGCCTTCAAGCGGAGGGAACTCTTCAGCCAGCATCAACGGCAGGTGATACGAGTTTAGAAGAACATACACAACGCATGCGATCTTCTGTCTTTTATCTAGAGTAATTTCGATATTAGAACCTTCTGTTTCATTCGAGAATAATTTATTTTATCGCTTTCGACCTCGACGTTAGTTTTTTTACAAACAATTTCCGAGGGCTTGCAATGAATATTGTCTGGTCTCAAGTTTCATGCATCTCGTGCTTTTTAGTTCCTTTATTTGGCCGTCCTTTCGATAGCCGCTAAAAGGAAGTATTTGTTTCATCATCATCATTTCAGCCTGTTTGATTCCACTGCTGAACATAGGTCTGCCCCATAGACTGCCAGAAAGTACCTGAGCTACCTGCATTCATCGACTTACCGCCCTTTTGCACAAGTCACTCCATCTAGTGGGGGTCGTCCTACACTGCTACGGCCACTCAAGAACCTTTCGTCCCCATCGGTAATCTGTTCTCCAAATCATTCATTCAATCAGTTCTTTTAATTTTTTGGAAACGGAGTAGGCGAACCACTTGATGGTAAGCGTTCACCGCCGCTGACGGACACTCGCAACACCAGATGAGTCACAAATGCGTAGCCAGTCTTCGAACTAGGAATAGGCGCTCTTCTAGCGATGTAGATTTATTTTATATTCGATATTCAAATTCAAATCCGGCACAGAGTCCGTAGGTGTCGACTATTCAATACTTGATATACCTTTTTGTGGACGACGGGGCCCAAAGAGAAACGAAATACCGATGTGTCGAAGCCGATATCGATATTTTTATAAATACCGATATATTTCTTCACTTTCCACATCCCTACTCCCTAGAAAGTCCTAACTCGTATCGCTCCGGAAGCACCCCTAGCGACAACCGACTCCGCACCGCGTGCAGTTGACTCGACCGCGATCCCGACTTAGGTGCACCTGAAACTACGACCGAAACTGCGCGGCTGCCGTCTCTGCGAGGAGAGGGTGCCGACGCATCTGAGGCCGGCGCACATGGAGAGCAGGCACGGGGTGCCCGCCCCTAAATGCGGCGCCTGCGGCAAAAGGTTCGCCTTCCCGAACGACGTGCTCCGCCACCAGAGGACCCACCACATGGGGGAGCGGGGCCACGTCTGCCAGGAGTGTGGCGTGCGCTTCCCCACGAAGCATGCCCTCACACAGCACGCGGTCAAGCACTCAGCGCTGAGGGGCTTCCCCTGCCGGTTCTGCGGGAAAGCGTTCAAGCGCGCGAAAACCCTGAGGACCCACGTGATGATCCACCTGAACGAGAGGCGGCACGCGTGCCAGCTGTGCAAAGAAGCCTTCGTCCAGCTCTCCAGCTTGAAATACCATATGACGAGGCGACATCCGGAGGCGGTGTGAGGCAAAGCGATTTTATGGCCTAATCAATATGGAGCGGTTTCCTGCAATCGGACACTGCACAGTGTACTTATTGATGCAAGACTTCAGGTCTTGCACCATAAGTCACTACTAACGTCACTTAAATGATATCCAAAGTGGTCTTTGAAAACCGAGGCCGTGAGTTCTTTTTTCTCCATGGGCAAATTAATTAATGTTATTTATTTATTTATTTAAGATATGGAAGACTTACAGCTATTCAAACCTAATTAACACTAAACTAGATGACAAACAGCCAATAGCAAGCCTTCACTTATAGAAATATTATAGTCGGAGAGCAGACAAGTTATATAGCTGGCCAATTTGGTAAATTCAAAATTACAATCAAAATTTATGTATTATTTTATGATGTATTATTTACCTTCTATCGAATGACTATTTACGACTTCTATTCTGCGAGTCAATGTTTACAAATAAAGTCGAAGCGTCTATCTGTAAAAAGATACTTAAACGTCGTCGTAAAAACAGCTAGAACGTTTTAATAGCAATCATTGACAAATTATTTCAATAGCAATCATAGAAATATTCGAGTCTGTTTTGGCTCAGAATGTATTTATAATTATAATTACGGTTAATAATTTTCGCAACGAACGCAAACTAATATTTTTTATAAGCAATATTTTGATACCTAGGGGTTACATTTTAGGTAGGGATCTCTAACTTGGGTATACAATATTTTTGGTTGTGCCATCCTGAGCAAAAACAAATATACTTGTCGATAGTGAGATTCAAGTAAATTGGATCTATGGTTCAAAATTTTATTAATTTAACTAAACGTCACTAACGCCATATATCAGTTACCAGTGTAACCATATTAGTAAGTGTTTTCACAACGAGCAATCTATAACATCGGAGCCCGGAATACACTCAGAGACCTTTTTAAAGAGATTAATATACTCACTGTTGCGTCTCAATATATTTATTGTAATATTTTGTATGTTAAAAATAATATTAATAGTTATCTAAAGAATAGTGACAGATATAAACTAAATACTAGAAATAAGGACAAACTAACTACGCCATTGTTTCGTTTACAAAAAGTAAACAGGTCGTTCATGGGGCAAGGTGTGCGCATGTATAATAAAATCCCACAGTCGATATTAAGTCTGCCACTTGATGAATTTAAACGAAAAATTAAAAGTAAACTTATGGCTAAAGCCTATTATTCTATTGCTGAATATCTTGACGACGCCAATGTGTGGGGTTAATACTGTTGATACTCACGTAGGCTAAAACAAGACTATTGTACATGTACTATTATATTGTAAACTGATTTTTTTTTTAAAAAGAGCAACTGTTGAGTTTCTTGCCGGTTTCTTCTCAACAGAAACTGCTTTCCGAACCGGTGGTAACTTACGAACGTGTTCATTTCTTGTAAAATTTTGACGTTTCATAAGAACGCGCAAGCGTCTATGTGAATAAAGATATTTTATTTATTTATTTACAAATTATTGTCCAGTGACCGGCGTAAATATAATGTAATGAAACGGTTTTAATGGTGGAACAGCTTCGGCTGTAAAACCAAAAAATGGGCAGGTTCGTTCGGGTAGGTGCCACGACCTCACAGAAGACCGGCGTGAAGTGGACGTGTTATACTCCTGCGTTTCGTCTATTGAGTGATTTAGCCGGGGCCCACTTTGTTAAAAGGTGTCAATGCACCTGCAACCCTACAGGTTTTGCAAATTTCCATAGCATTTCAGGTATATAAAAGTACTCTTTGGTCCATAGGCGGTGGTTATCACTTAACATCAGGTGAACCGCCATCTTGCTACCATCTCACATAAAAAAAAACAATCTTCATTTATTTAAATATTTATTAACAAAAACATATTGTATACACGACCCGCCTAATTTTACATGTTCATGAAATACATTTCATGAAAACCACTTGATTAATATTGTTTCTTATACAGAATCGAGAAGTCTTACTTCTCTAAGCCCGATTTGGAAAATGCATTTTTATTTCAATCCAAATGGAAGGATGGCGTTAATGGTTAGTTAAATTAAAGTCGGTTATTTAAAAGAGGTTAACGAATCACCAATGGGGTTTTAAATGGTGTTCCGTTAAACTCTTAATTTATAATAAATTAAATGTTTGAATACTAAGTTCCTTACAAGTACATCAGCCATTTTATTTATGTTATAGTCTGTGCAGTGTTTTTTATTATAGTCTGTACATATGATATTTTTTTTAAAACAAAGGATAGCTGAACTTTTTTCATTGAAATGTATCTTCGTTTCACAAATTTTATTTTTTAATATTTTTATTATTATGTGTCTTAAAAATATTTATTATTCTTCGTAGTTCACATTCAAAGTCTAAAGTTCGCTTGAGCGAACGCAATTTGTATCTTTATGGGCACATCGGACATATAAATAAAAGTAATAATTACCTACCGCTAGAGATGGGTCGTATCGCTTTTTCTGAGTACCGTATCTGAATCAGATTTCGATTTCAAATATCAGATTTCGAAACTATGTATTTTAATATCTAGATATTTTACGGTCACGTATCCACCTTCAATTCTAAAAAAAAAAAAAAAAAAAAAAAAAAAAAAAAAAAAAAAAAAAAAAAAAAAAAAAAAAAAAAAAAAAAAAAAAAAAAAAAAAAAAAAAAAAAAAAAAAAAAAAAAAAAAATGTTTTCAACGATATTTTATACTCATTCGGAATAAAATTGTGCAGGCGTTTTAAAAGTTATTCAGGATGATATAATGTTCGTGATTTTAAAACTTAATACTAGTGATAAAACTGTTCCAAAAGAATAAAATAAATTCGAAAACCCACTAAAATTTACGACTTTTAAATCACGATTTTTCCACTATTAAGGTTGAAATTAAAACATTACCTGATTACATTGTCGTGTTTCATTAAAAATAGAAATGAAGTAATATTGATTGATTTTAACATCTTAATATTTAATAATGGACTTTAACATATTCTTAATCACGCAATCATGAGTGACAATATTTTTATAATTTGTGTATCGAAATAATACATTCAGCATTATAACTTATGGCAGAAGAATTTAAAATATACACACAAAGCACATAAGCCTTGGTCTGATTTCCACCCAAGCAGCACAGCACTATTAAATTATATTTTTCTTTTTGTGTACTTTTATTTTTTTCCACAAAATTTAACTAATAAAAATATTCACAAAAAATTTTCCTCCTAGAACTTTCATTTGTATTTTTCTTCCTTCGCTTTTGGCAGAAAATTCTTAAGTAAAGTTGGCATCAACCCAACTATTACGTGCTAGGTACCAATGCAGGCAAGGCTAAACAAAATTTAAAGACATCGTTAAATCGTAATTCGTATTAAAATTGCAAAAGATTCAAAATTACTTAACTGCGCGCTTTGGGTCGCCCGTTACGGCCAAGGCTAAACAAAACAATACAAAATCGGAATAATATCGTTGTAGTATTTAATTAAAACGGATCTTATCAGTATGATCTTAAGATTCAAAATTACTTAACTTATTCATAATATCTGTTTAAAAATCTGATATTGTGCCTTGCTTGCCGTACTGCTCTAACTAGTGTAATATTTGTATCTCACGCGCTTTGTCGCTCAAAATCTGTTTAAAAATCTAATATCGGCAAGAAACGTCCCCGCTCTAACTAGTGAGTATTTATATCTCACGCGCCGCCGATATCTGATATCGTTCATTACTTGCCGTCCCGCTCTACCTAGTGAGTATTTGTATCCCACGCGCCTTGTCTCTCGAAATCTGTTTAAAAATCAGGTGGCAAACCGTATGATATCGCGATTCGTGTCGGTATAGTGAGCGAGCGAGTATTCGGTATATCAGATTTCGGAAATATCAGATATTGTAAAATACATAGATATTGAACGAGCCAGTAAGCGATATTCGGATATTGTACTAATATCTAGATTTCATATCTGATACGATTTGTATCGCCCACTTCTACCTACCGCTTTCATATTTACATATAAACATGTAGAAATGTCTAGTTTATTTACAATTTTGTAGCAAACTTTCTACCAGGTCACTCCGATAGTTTTGCGAAAAACAGTTTTTGTATATGAGGATGATTATAATTATTTTAAAAAATTAACTATTTAAAAGTTAATAAAAAACATTATTCGACTTTTAAATGTCCCTCCACATATTTTTGAGAGCCAAATTGAATTGTCGTGTCTCATGTAAAAGTGGATTGGCATCGGGAACATTTTCGTGGTTCAATCCGGACGAGTCGTTTGATCGACTTCAAATGGCATTTATGGATGAAGTGACTGAAGATGAAGACCTTCAAAAGCAACCATCTAGCATTGGCATAAAAAATTCAAAAGCGTTTAAAGGACTTTACAAGGGGACCTTCGCTTTCGCACTGGGTGCCCCACAACCTTACCGATACTCAGAAGCAGGCCCTTGTGGAATGGTACCGTAACAAGATTAGTAAATTTGAAACACGCTTGTCTGGGTGCGTTTACCCCATTGTGACTCACAATCGGACGGTGGATCGGACATGGAGGTCGAAACGACCCCCGCTGAAAACGCGAACGCCGACGGCTTCACCGTCGTTAAATCGCGTAAAAAGGGCAAGAAACGCCCCGCTACCGACAGCGACCCCGAATGCGAGTCCGCCTCAACGATCCGTCCAACCGCGACGCCCGCTAAACAGGCGGCCGCGGCGGCTAATCCGATGCCCGAGTTCGCCTCAGAGCGAAAAATAAAGCCTCCTCCACCCATCATCATTCAGGAGAAGGCTAAGTGGCACCAAATTTGTTCGTGGTTTGAACGCCACATTATCCGCGACCCCCGGTCGAAAAATACACAAATGGGTATCCGCGTATACCTTGACACAACGGACGATTTCCGCCGCGTAACGAAATACTTGCGCGAAAATAAGATAGGTTTTCACACCTACTCGTTGCCCGAAGAACGCAAGCTTCGGGTAGTTTTCAATGGCGTCCCTTAACAGTCGGATGTCGACAAGGCGAAAACCGTCATCCGCACTCAGGGATACCCTGTGCATGCCGTCCGACGCCTCAGACACCCCAGAACCCGTGTCCCTATGGACATAGTGATGGTTGAACTTGACCCTACCCCGGAAGGTAAGACCATCTTCAACCTAAAGAGGGTCTGTGTGCTCAGTGACTTAGTCATCGAGCCCCCGCGTAAGTCAGGTGTTGTGGCACAGTGCCACAACTGTCAGCATTTTGGCCACACGGCCACCCGGCTAGCTACAGAGGCTGCGCTAAGGCCCCGAAAACTCTCGCGAGGAAATCTCCCGCGAAATCCACGTTGCCCAAACCCGCGCCCGTTAGATTCATTCCCGCGCCCGTACCCGTCACAAACGCCTGGAGGAAACCCCAGGTGGCCGCGCAGGTAACCGCGCCGATAATCTCGGTCGCCTCACGACCGATCGCACAACAGCTGCCCGCCTCTCAAAAGGCGCCGCGGCCGCAGGTGCAGCCAACTCCGTCAGTTTTCGCGGAAAACAAGGACGACCCATTCGCGCAAATCGCTAATATTTGCAGCTTATTAGATAGGATCAATAGGCAGGAACTCGCCTATTGATCCTATCTAATAAGCTGCAAATATTAGCGATCCTCATAACGTAGATATTTTTCTAGTGCAAGAGACATTCTTGAAACCTAGTGTACGCGATCCCAGAATCGCAAATTACAATATTGTCCGCCACGACCGGTTAGCAAACCGTCTGGGAGGCACACTAATTTATTATAAACGGTCCTTGCACTGTTGGCCGCTCGACATTCCAGAGCTAAGTCAAATAGAGGCATCGGCGTGTAGGTTAGCGCTCACCGCCCACAGGCCGCTTGTACTAGTCTCAGCCTACCTCTCGGGGAACAAAACCTTATTACAAAGCGACCTAGTTACGCTACTCAACTTAGGCCCTTCCGTGATAATTGCAGGAGATCTAAACTGCAAACACGGTTCATGGGACATCCACAGCATCCCAAATAACAACGGAAAGCATCTCTTTAGCTTATCCGATAATTTAAACTTTAGCATAATCGCTCCTGCGACTCCCACTAGGTATCCTACGGTGGACAACTACCAACATGCGACACCGAGTATCCTAGATATCATGTTATTCAAGGAGGTCTCGCTCGACATCGATTCGTTAGAGACAATCCACGAACTAGATTCATATCACAGGCCCGTCCTGTGTAAACTGGGCCAGAACGCCGGCGCGGTCCCTCCGACCAAATCCGTAGTGGACTGGCATCGTCTTGAGGTCAAACTCAAGGCCTTGGACCCCCAGGACTTAATCGAACTACCCGAGACGATATCTACGTTCGATGACGCAAATCGAGCGATAGCAAGTCTCCGAGAAACCATTACTTCCGCAGTCACAGACTCGGAACGGACGGTGAAACTGTCGGGCGACCGACGGTTTAACTTTCCGCCCGACCTAAGACTGCTAATTAGACAGAAAAATGCAGCCAAACGCGCCTTCGACCGATACCGATCGGAATCGAACCGAACCCTACTTCGACGCCTTCAGCTAGAAGTCAAAGATCGTGTATCGGAACACCGACATACAACGTGGGACACTCTCCTAGAGGACATCGAGCCATCGCACACCGCCTACTGGCGGTTGGCCCGCAGTCTGAAAGCAGACCCCCGCGAATCTCTACCGCCATTAATTAGACCTAACAGCGTTTCAGTAGCCCTAAATGACTCCGAAAAAGCCGAATGCCTTGCGGACAACCTAGAGCAGCAATGTACGCCATCGCGCGAACACACCGATACAGTCCACCTAACGGAGGTGGACCGCGTAATCGAGACTAGGGCTGCACTTCCACCGGAAGGCGATCCTTTAAGTTCAGTGACCCACGAAGAGGTCCAAGATATTATTAAAAATTTAAAACCGAAATCCGCCCCGGGCCCAGATAAGATCAGTAACAAAATTCTCAAAGCTCTCCCTGGGCCGCTTATCTGTTTACTGGCGACCATTTTCAACACTCTACTCTCCAGTTGCTCCTTTCCGGACGACTGGAAACAAGCCACGGTTATCGGCATTCGCAAGCCGAATAAACCAGCCAACCAGCCCTCTAGCTATCGTCCCATCAGCCTCCTCAGTTGCCTGGGGAAGCTCTACGAGCGGCTCTTATTAAACAGGCTCAAAGAGCACGTATTTTCCAACGGCCTTCTGCCCACGGAACAATTCGGCTTTCGAGCTAGACACTCTTGTCCCGACCAGTTATACCGCCTAACGGAGCACATCCTAAAAGGCCTAAACCACCCGAAACATAGCAGTACAGGGGCCCTTTTCTTCGATGTCGCAAAGGCATTCGACAAGGTCTGGCACAACAGCTTGCTTTACAAGCTGTACACACTCAAAGTGCCAGATAGGCTCGTTGAATCGCTCCTTTCGATATCGAGTCGAGGGCACCCTCTCCACAAGCCGCCGTCTCACGGCCGGCGTACCACAAGGCTCCTGCCTCTCACCTTTGCTCTTTACGCTCTACACGAGCGACATACCCAAAGACCCCCACGTCAATCTCGCGGTTTTCGCAGATGACACCGCGCTCTTTTATTCAGACCGCAACCTTAGAATACTAACCACTCGACTCCAAAGCGCCGCCGACCGCCTCGGCGATTGGTTCCGCAAATGGAGAATAGAAATAAATCCCGAAAAAAGTGTGACGATTCACTTCACACGAAGTACTTACCCGTCACATCTTTATAATGGCCCTCGCCAATGCAGAAAGTTGGGGCAAATATCCCTTTATGGCCAACCGCTCCCCTGGGAGAAAAAGGTCAAATACTTAGGAGTCACTTTCGACTCGCGTATGTCATTTACTACGCAAATTAATAACAATCGTAATAGAGCCGCGTTCGTCTCCGGCCGGCTACACAATTTAACTAACACTAAAAGTAAAATGCCCTTAAGGCACAAATTATTATTATATAAGACCTGCGTACGACCTATAATGTCCTACGCATGCATGATCTTCGCCCACACACACCCTACTCGCTTGTACAAGCTGCAAATAGTACAAAATAAGTTCATCCGCCGTGCAACCGGTGCACAGTGGTATCAACGCAACGTCGATCTGCACAGCGATTGCAGACTCCCGACGATTCGCGAATATTTCAAAGATCTGACAAAACGGTTCTTCGATAGAGCCGAACATCATCCCAACCCTCTGGTGGTAAGCGCAGTAAATTACCAACCCGACACAAACGCGAACGTCAACAAGCGTCGCCCGCGAAACGTCCTCATCGACCCGGTCGAGGAAGGGGACTTAGATACGCCGGACCCACCGGCCGGGGGTCCCGTCGGATAACACTACACCCACAGCTAGTGTACCAACAAACACAATAGTTCGCACTCGCCTCCGAGCACGGCGAGACCAACACAACGCGTACACAAGGTATACCCGCGTTCCAGGGCGGTTCTCACCGCCCGCAGCCACCGATTAGCTAAAAACACAGTCGACGGCCATCGGGGTCTTGGTCCGCACCGCAACTTCGATGGCCCTTAGATGACATGTCGTAGTTAAACGCACGCATGAGCACATGCGCGGCCCCCTACCCACAGCGGAGGGCCCATACCCGTGGGTTCTGGCTAGCCCACCGGTTCTGTGTCAGATGAAGCTTTAATAGTCTCGGGACTGAAAGCAAAAACATCAGTTAATACAAGATACAAGAAGACACGTAACGAATGGACATAACAATATGATCCAGAAACAAGGCGTCAGTCGACACGTTGGCTGTTCACAACGAACCGACTGCTACCAAAGTGAAGCGATCGAGAAGTGTGGGTACAAATTTGGTCGCTAGTTTAACTGGCTTCAGCGTCGGGGGTCGTGGGTTCTATTCCCACACGGGACAACAACTATCTGTGACCCACAGATAGTTGTTTCGCGTCTGGGTGTTTGTCTGCGTGATATTAATGTTTGTGAAACGTCATTACAACACAGGATAATATTATCCTAAAGTAATGGCAATGTTAAAAAAGAAATAAAGAAAGTTTCTCCAATTTGACGGGGTGTCTGGCATCAATTTCATTACTAAATCAAAGCGGCATCAACGCCGAATGGTATACTGCAAAATGCTTGCCAGAAGTTTCCACTGCAGTGAGCAAGAAGCGAGAGAACAGCTCCACCATGATTTCCGACACTGACGTCCTGGACACCACACCGGTCAGCCTTGGGTCACCCTCCTTACATTCCTCATCTGGCACCATGTCACTTTACTCCCAAAAAAAAATCTACTGAAAAAAAAACCTAATCTATGAAATTTGGTATATAGGCTGGTGGAGAGTCTTTTGAAATTATTTAATGTAAATATTTTATCCATATAATTTAGTTGTTTAGTTTCTCAAAGCTTTCCGAGTGCCCGCGTACTTTGTTGCCGAGCACAACGTTTTCAACCACCGCCTAAAAAAACACATGCTGAATGGGCCGAATCTGTGTTAGGTACATTATAAGTATCGGGGAAGTCCCAAAGTAACAAACGTCTAATAAAAGAGCGTTCAAATTTTTTTTTCCTTAAGATGACTTTACACCATGTTAGACCAATTCCCAATTAGACCAATGGCGTATGAGGAAGCGGATCATCTGATGGAAAGTGATAGCTTCTTGGGTATTTGTGGCATTTGCGTCGCGAACATTTAAGAGGAACCATACTAAATGTAAAAGTTTAGTTACTTCTACACTTCAGTTTCCAATCGTGTTGTTAGAGTGTTGCACGCGATTTGGAACCTTGTCTCGGCAGCAAAATAAAGCAACCTAGTATTAATAACTTCCTCAGCCTCGAAACCTGAATCATGTGCCACGGTTCGGCGTTATAGCCAAAAGAACTACTAGCTCGGAGAATTGTATCCACCTGTATCTTGAAACCTCAATCATGTATTCGGTGCCAAAGCCAAGAGCTACTCCTATCTTGGAGAACTGTATCCATCTGTAGGCGTTCTTTTCAAAGTCTACGTTGACGCCGCTTCGGCGGCGCCCTCGTACTGGCCCAGCGTCACGCCGTGGTTGGACAGCATGTGGCTCTTCAGGCTGCACTTCTGCACGAAGGCCAGCCCGCACAGCGCGCACTTGAACCGCCTGTCGTTGTTGTGTATCCGCATGTGCTCGCGCAGCGTCTTCTTGCGGGCGTAAGCCTTGTGGCAGACCGTGCACTCGAACACGCGCTCGCCGCCGTGCTTCACCATGTGCTCGTCCAGGCTCTGCTTGATGAAGAAGCCGCGGCCGCACACCGGGCACTCGTGGTCCCTCTCCATCAGGTGCACCTTCTTTATGTGCGAGGTGAGCTTCGATTTGAGTATGAACGTCTTGTCGCAGACGTTGCAGCGGTAGGAGGCGGCGGCCGCGTTGTGGGCCTCGCGCATGTGCCGGTTGCGGCGGTAGTAGCTCGTGAAGGACTGCTCGCACTGCGGGCAGCCGGTGGTGTAGCGGGCGGCGCTGTTGTGCGTGTACTTCTCGTGGCAGGCGCGCCGCACGCGCGTGCCGAACACCTTGTCGCAGCGGCGGCAGCGGAACGTGCCCACCTCGTGGGTCCGTTGGTGGCTCCTCAGCCGGTGCTGGTTCACGAAGCCCATGTCGCACACGTCGCACACGAAGTTGCGGTAGTGGCCGTTCATGTGCTGCAGCAGCGTCTTGAAGGTCTCGTACGTGGCGCTGCACAGGGCGCAGCTGAGCACCGGCGAGCCGCTCAGCTTGAACTCGAGGATGTAGTCCTTCACGTCCGGGTGGAACTTGAGCTGGTGGTCGGCCGACAGGTGGCGTTTGAGGGCCGCAATGGAGTCCGCGGCGGCGTCGCAGACGGTGCACCTCAGGTCGGTTATGTCCATCTTGATGGACAGGTTGCTCCTGTCCACGCGTTTGCTATCTACGAGCGTTTGGCCCGTGTGCTCCGTGCGGCAGTGGACCCTCAGCTGTTGGGGGTCGCGGTAGACCTGTTTGCAGTACGCGCATGCCACCCCGGCCAGGGTCATGTTGGCGAAGGGCGTGCAGTTGGAGTGTTTGAGGATGCTCTCCAGGTTGGCGCGGTGCTTCGCTCGCTCGCTGACGTAACGCGCGCTTGATGGCTTGGAGCGCTTCAACTTATCCACTTGCGATAGCGCGTAAGTGAGCTTTGACTTGTTACGCGTCCCTTTACGCTCTGCAAGGTTGTTGAAAAAGTTTAGAACTTAGGAAGAGGGGAAGAGGAATAGACTTCTTGCCAATATTCTATGCGGGCAACACTATATGAAGAAACGCCTTTGTTTCTGCATTTAATGTTGTAGTTTTTTCATTTTGAATGTTTTGTTTGGTAACATGTTAGACAGGTAACATTTTTGTTGAGGACATTGTATTGAGGAGATATTTCTTTTCAAATCTAATGTGGAACAGAATCTACTTGAGCTAGTGTTACCTTAATTTTGAGCAGATGAAAGGAAAAGTTATAGTTATGTAATATTTCAGCTTACCATTAGGTTCAAGGTGAAGTTTCTTCCCATTCGTCTTCCTCTTCACAGTGTCATCGAGACCCAACATGGTGACAAGGTTTGGATCATCCTTCACATTCATCTCATCCTCGGACTGTTCCTCCTTTAACTCTGACACTGAGGGTTATATGGAATGCAATTATTATTAATTTTTAAGTAACACTACCTCTACATGAGGATTAAATTACAAACGACAAATTGTGCTCTACTCTACCCTGCGGAAATCAGGTCATCATGACTAGACTGGCAGATTAATTTTATTGCCAAAAAATCTAATCTCAGAAATTTTATCTCTCTGTGAATTTGTTTTGTTTGTTTTTGGTGTCATTTTAATCTTCAAAAATACCCTAATTCCCGGGTGAAAACAGGGAGGGATGTGGGTTGCCCATAACAACCTAGCCCTCCAGGAACAATAATCAATATGTTGCCAGGGTCTCCGGTATTGCTTATGAAACATTTCGGTTCCATGTAAGGCTAGTTTTTCCCAGTTCCCAATATTGCAATCAGTTCGTATTGCCATCATTAATGGGTCTACTTTATCGGGTTATCAAAGCCCTCATGCCAATCACCCAGGGTTCCTTTTATGATAAGTATGTAGTGCTATTTTACAAACCCTGGGTTGCATGACTGCATTCATACTTGAGAACTTTTAAATATACCTATTACTCAAGTGTAATAGAATGTGGAAAAAAAAAGGAAATGTTTGAATGTTTTATTTTCAAGAGATTCTTACCAAGGAAATACACACCGCTCTCATCATCAGCGTCGGAAACTTCGAGTTTCACATTTGGCGATTTCTCATCTGAAATAAGTATAACATTAATATTTCTTAAGGAAAAAGTCTCGAAAGGGAATCCTGTCTGAATTCCAAAATTAAATATTTCTATTGATAATTTTAATAATTCCACTTACCTTTAACATCCAAGCCTGATATTAAACGGAGCTGAAATTCTTTCTGGCAGCGAAGGACTTGCTCTTTAAAGTCAGCCGCATCTCGAAGTCTGGCCACGCACATGTTACAAATACCATCATTGTTTGTAGCATCATCATGAGCCAACTGAAAAAAAAAAAACAATCTTTTACACTGTAAATTCCTCTTTTTCACTAATCCTTACAACATTCTTTTAAAATCTAGTGTTTGGTTCAATATTGAACCAAACAGCTTTGTTTGCACTTTTTACCTAAAGTCCATCAATACGTTGTAAGCATTAAAATATACCGTGATAATCAATCAGTTCACGTTCGGTCATCAAGCAAACCACGCGTTCTCAAAATATCATACCTAATTATCATAATTATCATAAATATCATATCATATTATAAGTATCATTTTAACTGTATCAATTTCTACATATTTTAATGTATCAATTTAGTAATTAAGTGTTTCATATCAGTATCTATTATCATTTATAACATCATATCCGGTGTTAGGAGTTAGCCCCTACATCTAGACTACTTCTTTATTTTACAAATTTAAAGGAATGAAAAAAAAATTGTAATTAATGTATGTTCATTCAAATCTTACCATAAAACAAGGTTGTACAACATATAAACTAAAGAAATGGAATACTTATTCGATGGTACTTGCAATGGTACTTGGTTTTGTGTGCAAGTTTGACCAACAGCCCAAGGACTAAGCAATCAGTAATATAAAAAATTGTGGTAAAAAAATTTAAATGTAAGTAATTTTGATGTTCGTGTAATACAATTAAAATAAATTTTAAACCATAGAGAAAAATCACTCAGAGAAAATCAACTGTGGTAAAGCAATGCAACAGCGTCTTTGCTGTTGCACAAATGGGCAGGTCTGTCCGGTAGTACCACAAGCTCACAGAAAACTAGCATGAAGTGGAAGTGTACATTTCTGCGTTTCATCTGGTGAGTGGGGTAACCAGGCCGGGGTCTTAATAAAACTACGGATTACTTTAAAGTAAGAATAACAAGCAACAGTCTTTACGTGTATCTTGAAACATTTCTTTAGCATATCTCCATAATTTTCCGCTTTTCCAATACTTGTATATAAGGTTCTCAAATTTTTATCGGGTGACCGCGCTAAACAGCACCGGCAAAGGCTAACACTGTTCATTATTATTATGCCAGTACTAAAGTTAAATGTCAATAATTATAAATAAAACAGTTTGATTGTGATAACAACCAACATTTTCAATTTCTATTTAACTGTCATCCTCATCCTGTCATATCATGTCATTTCTGCAGTTTGACAGCTGGCACAGAGTGCAGCGTCCCTTGCAAAAGTTCTTACATATAGAATATATATGGGCCCAACTCCACGGATATGCTGGTGAGAATGGACCTCCTCACCATCATATTTTTAATGTTAGCGTAGTTTGCTGTAAGCCCAGCTTATGCAGCTTCATCTGATGAAGTCTCCAGGCAGAAGAACCATGGACTGTGAACAGTAAGTATTTTTTTTTACAGAAAAGGCGGCAAACGAGCTAGCAGGTCACATGATACTAAGTGGTCAACGCCTCCCATCGACAGTTGCACTTCAGAAGAGAAGGTCTTGAATGGTAGATGTGGCTAATGGGATCACTTTCAAACCAAAAAGACACTTAAGGACTGATAAGAAAACCATTTATTTCAACTTAAACATTTTGAACTTATTTTTAGCGAAACGTAATCATTATGAAATTTATGTAAAACTAGCTGCTGCCCGCGACTACGTCTGCGTAGAGGGGTGAAAATTTAGGGTTGTATGTATTTTTGTATGTTGTATCATAAAAAAATAGAAATTAAAAATTTTGTCTAAAAAATAAAAAATAAATTTAGGGGTGGACTACCCCTAAAAAATGAAAAATAGATGTTGGCCGATTCTCATAGATACCTGATAAGCACAAAAAATTTCATCAAAATCGGTCAAGCCGTTTCGGAGGAGTATGGCAACGAAAACTGTGACACGAGAATTTTATATATTAGATAAAAGAGTTATGTCAGATAGCTACACATGTAACTTCTTTAAGCTATTTTTACGTAATGAATCAAATATGACACAACTCAGTCTGAAGAAATAAAACTAACATTCCAAATTTAAAGTAATTCAAATATAATATATAAATCAAATAGGTCAGTTGACATCAAAAGAGTATGTATTATCTGAGATTACCAATCAACACACCCCCTTAATCTCAGATATACATTATAACACAGATAAGTACAGAAAACCCAAAAATTTAGAAATTATCAACAAACAAATCACCATCAAAAAGTTTCTCTGAAAAATTCCGTTTTGAAAAATCTCACACACACGCTTTCACTGCGCGAATCTCTATTATTAACACCCCCTTAAACTAGTACTACCTACACTAAAAGGTTTAGAATTAAAATACCTAAAAGTCTTAATAAAGTCTATCACAAGACAATAACACCAATGTTTCACATCAAAGGAGCTTGTTTTAAACCGTAAAGACTTCTTCAACCCACAAATCTTCTCCTTCTTCACAACATAACCTTTAGAAACTTGCATAAAAATCCTCTCCTCTAGACTCCCAAGCAAAAACGCCGTCCAGACATCGAACCGTCCCAAATTCAAACTCCTCCGAGTCGCCATCGACAAAACAGTTTAAGCGAAGCACCATTCACCACAGGACCACAGGCCTTCCCATAGTCCACCTTACATATCTGTTCAAAACCTCCGATTACCAATCCAGCCCTACATCTTCCATCCGACCTCCCAGCAAAGACCTACTTGTCTGCTAAAAGTTTTCTCCCTTCAGCCTCTTTTTCACCAACCAATTCCCACGTGCCATTCCTCTCCTAAGAAAAAACTCTCAATCATCTCTCCCTCTCACCGGAGCTAACCGCCTCTCTAACGTTAAAAGTGCACACTGAGCCAAAAAATCCACAACATAATCGTTATAGGTAAATATCCTCTCAGGTAAAGAAATACCTATTTCTCGGTGGATCCCTCCCTGGACCCACAAATTCCGAAACAACCTCCGTCTCCTCTTCATTTGTTTCATCAGCATCATCAAAAACATCAACAACCTCCTCTATTCTATCCCCACTCGCATCCAAAAAAAAGACATCAAAATCTCCTTTATTATCTATAACGTCTTCACTATCAGATCATCAACAAAATCCAACTACCTCACATATTCAATTGTTTCTTCACAAACTACTTCATTTGTTTCTGTACTCTCTTCATTTTCAACACCGTCGATTGTTACTTCTCGAATTGTTCCTTTTTCAATTGTTTCTTCTTCATCACCCATGCCTCCATTTTATTTATGGATAATAATTCCTCACTCGTGGTCGCAGTCTGCTCATTATTTTTCATACTATTTTCAAAATCCGCAGCAGTTATTTTCAAAGTAATCTTTTGTTTCCAGCTATGGTAGTAAGAATCTTTTTCTAACAATGTTTTGATGAGTTTGTCCTTGAAATCTTTGAAAATTTTCCTCGCAATTGTCACTTTGGCTCAAAAAAATAAATATTGCTGGGCCCATAACCTCTTGAATGGTAGATGTGGCTAATGGGATCACTTTCAAACCAAAAAGACACTTAAGGACTGATAAGAAAACTATTTATTTCAACTTGAACATTTTGAACTTATTTTTAGTGAAACGTAATCATTATGAATGTAAAATACAAGAGAAGGTCCCTAAGTCATATAGGTTCTGAAATACCCTTTATTGAATGGCAGAATACTGGCAGAATACTACGTACGGTGTTTAGCAGTTTGACGAGTTGTACGGTGGTGAAATTCCATAGCATGTATCAATCCGAACAATTCCTCGCGATATATGGGATACAAAATACAAAAGGATGCAACATCTCTTCGCAATCGCAATACCAAAGTTTCGAAATGATTGAACAGTATTCGGTCATCGACGATCCGAGCATCTCTTCATTGGAGGTGGTCAAAATACGGAGCTGCTATTGGGGTGCTCCAGCCCAGACATGAGAATGGTATTCTATATGCGGCTTATTGTCTCTTATAGAGCTTTGAGCGATGAGCCGGCAGAAAATATAATTATCTACTTAGGACACCGAACTTAAAAGAAGTTGACTTGCCTTTCCCTTCCAAATGACTGTGAAATTGGTCGCTGCTCGATATATCAGTCAAAAATTCAGATTTAGTCTATATTTATACAAGGGATACCCTCAAAAGAAGGAGATATGACATGAGGGTTTCCTCTTTGCTGTAAACGCACAAGCCTATGCGCATTAACCTTAAAAATAAGATAAGATTTATTTGGTCCCAATTTGAGATTTTGCTTCACTTTGCCTACCTCGACTCAAAAAAACTTCGACTTCAGACACTAGTTTATGCCCAACACTCAACAACGTAATCCTGACTTCTGAGAAATATTAACAAAGCCATTATATAAGGCCGTAGTACCACCCGCAAAACAATAAAATGTTTGTTGATATGTAGAAACAACAGGGTAGGTGATAGGACATAGCTGTACTAACAATATAATTTTTTATAAACTTTCTATCTACATGAAACTACTATATATATATATATATATATATATATACATATATATATATATATATATATATATTACACTACTATATATTACTAACTATATATATATAATTGGAATCTCGGAAACGGCTCCAGCGATTTTCATGAAATTTTGTATGTGCGTAGATTCAGGGACGAAAAATCGATCTGACTAGGTTTCATTTTTAGAAAATGTCGTTTTATCTCAGTTTTCAGTTAATGAAAAATGTTATTCGAATACGACGGTAAATTTCACCGAATAATAGCTCGGTCGATAATCAGGCGGCCGCTAACATACAGCCACGAAACAGAAGGCCGTTGTTCGTATCACGATAATTTACACACTTATTCTTTTACTTTTTTTTCGATTCCAGATCATTGCTTTCTTTATCTTTTATTTTTTGTCGATTTGTTATTTTGTTATTTTTTTCCCTTTTTTTTTAAGTTCTTTCTTTTGTGAAAAACATCAGTTCATATTTTCTTTTTATTACGTCGGTAAGATCGAAAAATATTACGCATATTTCATTACTCATTAATTTGTATCTAAATGTAATTTCCAAAACACACGATTTACCAAAAAAAAAAACAAACCGAGCAATGCTCGGTCCCCCGGGTACTAAGTCATTATAAAAATAAGATTTCTTACCATATACAACTTTAATGTTTTTAGACATAAGTAACTTTACAATTTAAATTAAATCTTATCCTTTAAACGAGCAATTACCATCGCGACAATAAATGAACACACGTCTAACGCTACTTGCCAATAATCATAAAAAATATTAACGTTAAACAAAATGCATTATTAAAAAAAAATATTTTTCAAACAAACTAAATAAGTAAAAAAGAAACAAAATTTGTACCATCCTATACAACTCGCGCCACAGCGTCGCATTACTAGCCTCTCCTTCTAACAGTATGTTTTGTCTCTTTTAAATTAATTCAACCCATTAATATGCTTTGTGACCTTTACAAACGAACTTTACTGTTTTCAAGGAATGAAAAATATCATTCGAATATGACAATAAATTTCGCCGCAAAAAAAATGTTATGATAGCTCGGTCGGTAATCGGGCGGCCCCAAAACCGCCGCGGTTCGTATCACGATCATTTACATTCTTATTTTTTTTACTTTTTTTCTATACCAGATCAGTTTCTTTATTTTTATTTTTTTTTCCAAAATACGTGATTTACCAAAAAAAAGTCCTCCAGGTACTACAAATTAAGCCATTATAGCTCAGTGTCCGGGCGCATGCTTTTAATTCAATACCAAATTCTACTCGAGCAACCTGAATTCGATCCCCGGTGCCGGTACCAATGAAATTGTTAATTTCAAGTGCTTATTTAATCACGTGCTCAGCGATGACGGAAAACATCGTGAGGAAACCTCTATATTTTCGAAATAATAATAAAAAATATATATTTTGAAAATATGTGAAGTCCACCAATCCGCAGCGGAGCCATATGGTGGCCTATGCCCAGATACCCTCTGCACAGAGGAGGTCTTTGCCCAGCAGTGGGATATACATTTAATATTACTATAATCAATAGATGTAGAGAATGCCTTTGGGCATTAAGTTCGCCCTTTGTTAGATTTACTGAAGATTAGGCAATAAAGATTACATAAATAAATAAAATATTAAATGTAAACTAAATCACACATTATAATTAAATAAACTATCCGGAGGGAAAGGGCCTGACATGACGGTTTGACGATTTTAACCTTAAGGGCCCGCAATCAATAACGTAATGTATACGGAAGACGATACGCACCCAACATTTGCCTGGCTTTAAAGAAAATTTGTTTTCGTACTTAGTTCATGGACTTACTTACTGAAATTCAAAAGTCCCATTTTTAATTATGTAACTAAAGATGGATCGAGTACAGACTTGCCATTTAATAACAATACCATCACGATAATAGCGATTCAAATGCAGCCTGCCACAGGTAGATATCTTGTGTAGGTTGTGAATTGGGGACCTCGCATTCGCTAGCGAACAAGCTGTTCTTGGTATTTGTAAGTTAGTGTATGATGTGTGTGCCGCACTAAACGTGGTGGCACTTTGTTGGACATTGACCCATATTGGTCCCTCTATTGCTATGCCGTGATGCGTTCTCGGACGACGAAACATAGAAGTAAATTTTATAGTGGAGTGGATTAAAAATTATAATTCAAAGATCTTCAAAAATCTTCGATCATTTAAAAAGATTACGGTATATCTTTTGAGATATTTAAGAAATATTTGAGATACCCTTGTTGATCTCAAAAGTTATACTATTATTAAATATCTAAAATGTAGATGACTTGCTAAATGAATTAATATGAAAGTGAGGAAAAATTGTCATAACTCATATCTTACCTGTTCCTAAGAATAGGACGAAAACAATAGCTGTCACTCGTTTAAAAATTGCAAAACAATAATATTTCCGAACGCCATCTTAGCTACGTTAGAAAATGGCGGAACGTCGGCTGTTTAGCGTCGGCCCTGTAATTCTCTAGTTTTAATAAAGATAATGTTAGAATTAATATAGTGTTAATGTTAAGATAGTGCAATAAACATGATGGAGACTACGGTGAATAGTGGCATGTGCCGGTGTTGTGCATCAGAAGGTCTTTTTAAAGACGTAAATTCAGCTTATCGTTGGATGGGAGAGGATGAGATCTATGCAGATATGTTACAATTTTGTTTTGATATATCCGTAAGTATGATGAAGTTGATTAAGCAATAGCAATAATAAGACCTATATATTCTATCTTTTATGCAGAGTAAAACATTTTATTTTGTATTTGACTTTTGGGAATGCCATTATTTATTTGTCAATAGATTTTTTCTGTCGCGGGTTTACTGGATGCTACATATAATATTCATTGCTATTATTTCCCCCGTTAAATTTATGTAATTGTCTCGGTTTAATCGCAATTTAATATGCACGAACGAGAAAAAACTACATTTAATGTCACAAATTTAATATTCTAAAAGATGCTTAGTAAACATTTTTACGAAATTACGTATAAATAATAATTCTGTATAGTCGGTAATGGTTAAATCACGTATTTGGTATATTTTGTAACAAATCACCATTCATAGATAGTATCGCCTTTTGCTTCTGTGATAAATATGGCAAACTAGCTGCTGCCGGTGACTACGTTCGCGTAGAATAGGGTGAACGCGTAACATTCAGACAGAAAGACATATATACAAAAGAATATATATAAATAGGAATAAAACATAGGCTATAATTTATATATAGGTATAGCCTATGTTTTATTCTGATGTATAAGCTATATTATTATAAAGTTTCATTAAAATCCATCCTGTAGTATTTGCATGAAAGAGTAACCAACATCCATCCATACATACAAACTTATGCCTTTATAATATTAGTAAGAAAGAACTGTGATCACACCATGCTTAGTTTGTTTTTCCCATCATTCTCTCACATCAAAGAAGCCAAGTCTTCTGAGTAAACTCTGAGGGGACAAAAAGTACTTTTGATAAAATTATGCATCAACATAATATAGACTGTTAAAATGTTTGTTTTTCACTTAAAAATATTTATCAATAATAAAGTGCAAAACTGACTTAAGCACAATTTATCATTGGTGATTATGATTCTTCAACAATTAATATTAATATCTACCACATATTACTGATGGAAATATCAGCTCAGGGCTTCTTTAATATAATAAATTGTGAAGCTATCAAACCCAACCAATTTATTTAAAGCATAAAAAATAAATCTGTATATATTAAAAAAATGTGTATGTATTTGTTTTTATGAAGTAAAAATGATAAGATGGTGGATTCCCTCAGTAATTTTCATTTATTTTACTATTTTAACAGTGGAACCTGTCTAATTCACTCACAAGAGGAAATGCAAAACTATAATATTATTTACACTTTATATTCTTCTGTGTTGCCAATAGGAAATTTGTTAGATATTGATATTTGCTATTTAATTTTTTTTTATATTACAAATTGCATTCATATCCATACTTTTCCCATACTGATTATTAGGAAAGAAATGGAATTTAATTATGTTAGGTACTATTTCTAATAAGAATTTCTTTAATCATGTGTAAATGGTCACACCGAAACTTCTTAGAAAATCCTAAAATTGGCCCAATGTAATACTTTGCCAATACCTTTAATGTTCTTCTCGAAGTAGTTGCCATTCCTCTATATACATCTTTGCACTGAAAAAGCAATGGGCTCATTCTTCTGTGGGATTTTCGAACATACCGCATCTTCAGGGTTAGTAAAGTGAATGCCTCGAAGTTTATTGATTTGTATTTGTTAAGTTGATTCTTTCTTTTTTGATTTGTGTTTTATTAATTATTAATTCTTGAATAAATGAGAGTCGCAGCATGCCAGGTCGGGACTATAATATGGCGTATGACTCACTATCACAACACCTTCCATAGTCAATTATTCAATTGTTTGTTTCTTTCTTACTTCTTTCTTTTTGCCACTCAACTCCAAGGGCACCCAACATCCTTACTGCTGCTTTAGCTCTGGATTCTATGATTCAACCAAAACTGAGATTTAATGAGATCTCAATACTCAGCGTTTAAGTTTTCTAATATTCCTTTAAGTAGAAAGTAAAGGTGGATGGAGGTAATGGCCTCCTTTTTAAGTGAAAAGAGACAGCTGGCTTTGAATCCCACAAGATTGGCATCACCCAATTTTGGGCTAAATTAGCTGCCTCTTAAATCCTGCCGCCCTAAGTAAAAGCCTTTTTCTTTTCCACGGGAAAAATCCTTTATGGATTCCCTGCCACTGGATTGGGGGAGTGACAGGGGTATGTGGGAGTCCTGGAGGCGGGTACCCACTAAAAAACCCATGTTGCACCTGTCTCTGTCGCATCGGCCGGGGACACGGGAACACGTAGACGCAATCTTCCGCGATCCCGGCACGACTATGACCTTCTTGGGGCCTCCTCTTCACTGGTGCTAGGCCACCCTGTCCGGCTAAATAGTGTTGTGCCGATGCAACTAGCACAGCACCCCTCACTCGACCCATGTGCAACAGCAGACACCCCCATGTCTGCCCCTCAGGGTCTCATTATCAGGGGGAAGGTTGCGCGCGTAGGCCAGCCTTCTGCGCCCTGGTCTCGGCGGCGGATTTCCAGGGTGGCAGTTGCTTCCCTTTCTCTCTCCGCGGCCTCCTTCCGGGTGATAACGTCAGTATGCGAGGACAGCACCCCACACCCTCTCGCTGTCAACCATAGCACGAACCAAGGCCGGCAGCGAGAGGTCGTGCCCCACGATAGTGGGCCGTCTCCTCGGCACAGGCCCTAAGTTAGAGCCTAGTTGGCCTCGGGTAAATCCGCCACTGGGTAGAATAACAATTAACCAGTTGGAGAGGTATTTTAATATGGGAAATATTCATAGATAGACACAACCACATAAGAAGCAATTATTTGCTAAATTATACTACTAGTAACCCAGTGGTAAGATTGAATCTCTGAGAGAATATAATTATACAGCCAGAAAAAATTCCAATAAAATAATAAAGTCCTCTCACCATGCTTTCTTGAATTGAATTAGCTTGTTTTGTGGGTTCAATGGGTATGCTTCCAATGTGCCTGACTGAGGTTTGATACCAAGAGAATTTAAGCGGGCATGATTCTATCACAAAAGAGGACGAAGAGGGCTGGTACATGATTCTCAAGGAGAGCTTGACTCTCTGTCCATTGCTTTTAGAAGAGTTACTTATTTAACTGTGGTAGGACCACGCAACAGTATTCGTTGTTGCACGAATGGGCAGGTCCGTCCGGGTGAGTACCACGACCTCACAGAAGACCGGCGTAAAGTAGTAGTGTTACACTTCTGCGTTTCGTCTGGTGAGTGAGGTAGCCGGGGCCCACATTATTAAAAGGTGGCAACACATCTCAATCGGTGTTGGAAATGTCCGTAGGCGGCGGTTATCACTTAACATCAGTTAAACCGCTAGCTCGTTTGCCACTTTCTCACATAAAACAATGCATTTTAATTAATCTTAGTGGGTTATTATTCAGTGTGGTCGGTAAAATTCCGTTTGTGGGTATAATTTCTAATATATTTTCAGCTGTCAACAGCAGAGGACCAGAACAATGGGGGCATTTGCGAAGTGTGCATCACGCAGCTTCGTAACGCTGCCAATTTTAAGAAACAAGTTTTGCACACGGAGGAACAGTTCAAAAAGATCCAAGAGCAGAAGACATTTAGACGTAAGTTCCATGCTATGCGACCAAATTGCATTTGTAACATATTCTGAAGTTCATATTGATACAGGCGTATTAGTGAAAGAAGATATCTGTGCTTGCAGCAGGTTATGTTGTTATCAATGGGGAATGTATATATAAATATTTTAATAATTATGTTATGTTATAAAAACCTAAATTATACAAATTTTGTAATATTCATTTGATACTGGGGACATACAGATGACATCCATATTTTGCGGTTGTAAATTTTATGTGGTATTTGTGAAACATATACCATAGAAAAAATGGGTACTATTGAAACATGTAACTTATCTGTGTTATTAATGAGGCAAATGATTTTTATAAATATATGGCATACTGATGTCCATTCTGAAATATAGACTACAACATTTACTTGTAACAGAACAACGAGCCGCTCTATGATATGTTCTAGTGTATCATCCTTTCACGAACTAAACGTCGAGCACGCTCGCCTCTTTGTTACAAACCATATTGCATATTGGTGTAACATTTCGTCGAGCCACGAGTGCGGGCGATGCGCGGATGCGATTTCTATTTTTCTTCTAATATAATTCATCAAGATAAAACCGCAGCACACGCAACTTGTAGGTCCGAATTTTCAAAAAAGAATGAACGCAAGGTACAACGAAATGTTGGTAAATGCACACACGCTGTGAGCATTTACCCGTAACATAACGCCGAGCATTCGCAGGAACGTTACATTACATGGAAATGCTTTGGAAACTGAGCTTTTGTGAGTATTGTACCATTCGTAAAAACGTTACATTACACAGAAATGCTCCAGAAAATGTTGTAGTCTATACTCACCTATAGACAAATAAAAGGCAGGAGAAAAATAATAATTATATGAATGACTTATTATGCCATAGGATGCCAGTTTGTGAGTGTGCTTCGAATTCATTAATGATATAAATATAATAAAATATCACACAAAAATATTGTTTGCCTTCCTCGCACAATTAAGGATGAGAATTAGCGGCACTTTGAAGTAGTTATTAGTGTTAATACTAACATAAGTAAGATAAACATCTAATATAAAGAAAAAAGAATCATGATGTCTAGTTATAACTTTAATGAAATGTTATTTTTGTGAATATCCAAAATCATACAATAATTTCAATACCATAGCTAGCTATGGTATTGAAATTATTGCCAGTCAAAATTAGGTTTCAGATTGAAATTCTTTTTTCTTGCATCAAATCTATTCGCATAGATTTTTTTTTTTATTTGCATAGAGTTCTATCATTTCATGGTATTCTAGATACAAAGGTAGATAAGTGAATGATGGTATAATGTTATTTTATCTTTCAGCTGAACTAGTGAAAGTGGAGATGCCAATAGAGGATGATGAATCAGATAACAATCTAACTGAAGATTATCATTCTGGTGCTGGTAAGTGCCGTTTTTATTGTTGAATCCTGATTTTTTTTGATTATTGAAATCAAATACAAACTTTCATTTCGGGGTTTGATTTTTTTAATTGATATAATTATAAATTCCTTGTAAGGTAAATTGATAAACCCTATATAATAAAGTGAAAAATCTCTGTCCTTACATGGATAATAATTCACTGGGCTGGAATGTCAACTTCATTGGAATGTCCAAGTCACAAGGTCATTGCCACATTACGTTGTGTACTGTAAAATACTTTCTGCCTTATAAAACCAAGCTTATGCTGATTAAAATTCCCTTATTACACTCATTTTGGATTATGTAGATGTATGTTGCTCGGACCTAGACCAAGATTTCCTTAATAAGCGGGAATGTCTCAATATAATACAGTTACATTGGATATATTTTCATTTTGCGTAAATTTGATCATGTATCTCAACATAGTTCACAGCTTAAATGGCTTACTATTCCACAAAGACGTAGTGCTAGAATTCTTCCGACTCTCATTTCTATTCTTATTAGAAAAGAGAGCTTCTCCTTACTACTAATTAGGACTAATAAAGGAATTTTTTTATTCTCTTTTTAATTTATTTCGCGTATTTTGTTTTGCAACTACGTCACATTTTCTCTACTCCCAGGGTTGACTGGAAGAGAATGGGTCATCATTGACTATAATTGGGTATACGCCTTCTTCCATTGCCTATATATACATAGATGTCAATACTACATCACTACTCCAAGAAGTAATAAATAGAAATTTAAATTTTTTATAGTGCTAATCTTTGCACTTAAGTTTGAACATTAAAATTTGTAGAAAAAAATTTGTGGCTATCAGCCTAATAAATGCCTAATGCCTAAGAAAACAATGTGGAAGAATGCGTTAAGATTTTCGTCGGTGTGGCAATCAGCCGTTTAGCTCAGTGGCTAGAGCGCCAGGCCGCGAATGCCGAAGACGTGGGTTCGATTTCCACAGCGGCGACAATCTTTTCGTACTTTTTCTACAAATTTTAAAGTAATACATAATTATTGTATATAGTTTATAGCTTGAGTTAAACAGATTTTTATCATATCCTTACAGATTTAGATTTGGCAATAAAGGAGGAGAGCCCGGAGCCCAAAACCAAGAAGAGGGCGACCAAAGCCACAACTTCCAGGGCGAAGAAGGCAAAATTGGACACAGGAGAGACATCTACGAAACGTAAGTGAATAGTTTGTTTACCAGTGGCGGTGATAATGTCTCCACGCTTAGGAGGTTAAAGCTGAAAGACTTTTTTTATTTGTTGATTAATGTATTTATTCAAACCACATATCATATTAAAAAAATATTCCGGATTATGTTATGCAAGTTAGTTTGAATATTTGCAACATGAAAACTGTCCTTTGGTTACTATTTAGGTTTCTTACTACAAACCTCGAACTCCAAAAGAGTGGCGTAATTTTTTTTGTAACATAGTGTCATTTATCTATGTAAATATAGAAGTTATGTTATATTATCTGGTCTTAGCTTGGAGACAAAGTCACTGTTTCACTTTGAGAGGTATTAAAAGAGCTGCCATATATTTATGTTCCTTAGTTAAATTAGTTATTTTATTATTATGTATTGGCTTCCGATGACATTTTGCAAATGGCTCATTTACGGTAAGAATAAAAACGTTTATCTATTGTGGAGAGTTATGGCAAAGTTAATATATTTAGTTCTAAATAAATTAAAACCTAGTAAGTATTTTGTTACTGTGCACGAGTACATATATAGTAAGTTTTACAAGTCATACAAGGTTTCATGTTTTTTCTACAACTGGTTAGATGTAGACAAAATTGGAAGTGCTAAGTAAGCCCCAAATGTTGTCAGTCATATATGATGTACCAAACTGGCGTTTCTGGCTGGATTTTATTCTAAATAAGAAATTCAAATAACATAATATCATAGCTAAGTATTTGGTATTGAATTGAAATGTACAAATTGACGTTTTTCGTATATTTTTTTTCACGTGTCTTGAAATGAACCATAGCCATATTGAAAACTAGGCCAATGTTAAACCATTGATTTTTGTGTTATGTTATAGAAGACAATGAAATCTCTGTAAAGGCTTATCCTGCATAATAATTTTTTAGTCCTTGTAGCCGGATGCAAAGAATATTATTTGATTGATGTTTTCAAGTATCTCCAAACAATTATTTTTGCAAATATTGTACATACGTCCTTTTTACATCACAGTGACACCATTTATGGTTTTAAAAAGCCTAAGAGATTTATTAAACCTTAAATACTTTTAAAAGTAACTTGTTTTGCTTTTTAAGAAATTGTCAGTATTTTATATAAACATTTTTACTATGGTTATTTATAACGTTTTTATTTTTACCTCAAATTTTTGGGAAAGTACGGTCAGCTTTATTAATACCTTTCATTTACGTATCACATGATGTCTTGCATTTTGTCTCAGGTTCAACCGACGGTATTGCAAATTTGTACCTTATTAGATTTTATGGAATGTTTCTTACTAAAAAGGTAACCTTGATGGACGTTGCTCCAGCCCTGTAAAGTTACTTTGCCACGTGTATTTTATTTATTAAGTGCATTCGTACTAATTATATTGACACCTCTAAAATGTTTACACTACGCTCCAGTCTACGCTATGAAGGGAAAAATGGATAAGTAGTTTCGGCTTTTATTTTATTCAGCAAATTCGTACTTATACTACATATACTTGCATAAGTTTTATAACGACATGGTTTTGCGTTTATTACTAATTCCCCGCTATGTAATTTTCTTTGAAATTTGGGGTGTCAGTACGTATGTACTATTGCGTGGCAGTTTTGTTGACTTCTAGTTTCAAATGAGTGTTTTAAATAAAATCTGCTAAAGGTACATGAGGAATTCTGTACACTCATTCTAGGAGAAATTCATTTGGCTGACAAGGAACTATAGGTTTACAGCTAAGATTTAGACCTTTTGAAATTTAAAGCTTTTATTTACAAGATAATTTACGTCGACAATCGTCGAGTTATGAGATACATTTCATTGCATCTTTATACAGTTCTGTTACCAATATTTGAACATCGTAAAGTTTATGAATACAAATTTTATCTTTTTGCAATACCGTTGAAAATTGTATGGGATGCTGAAGTCGTTGAACGTTGTCTATGATTTGTTCTTTATGATTCAACTAACTTGACTTATGCATACACACCTATTTTCTGTTCGTATTGGATTATTTTTCTTTTCGTTTATCATTAAACAGCTCGTGTCTATAAGACCCTTTATTTTCCTAACGCGACATTTCGAGAGTATTCTTACGGAGTCCAAATCAAAGCCGAGGTAATCTCGATTTTGACGATAAACCGAAATATTAATAAATGCAAACTCGCGCTTATCATAAAGTGGCGGCCCGAACATACTCCCTTGAGGCATTCCATGTAAAAAGTGATTGAACAAAAATCTGTTTCGTTCACCGTGAGATGGGAATTTTCATGGGAATGATTAAGAATGAAGACTGAGAAGAAAACGATTGCACTTCATGGATCGCTTTACTGTGATTCGGGTAAGTAACATTAACGGGATCTGTTGAACAAGATCTCCCTGTTACATTAAATTTTATATGTTAATCGAAAGGTTTATCTTACTGGACATAGAGATAGGAGCGCGTGAGTTACGTTTTAAATAACTTCTTGAATTCTCGGAATCTTGGATCAAAGCGTGTAATCGCTATTAAAACTGTGTTATAAATAAGTTATGCAGAGATGACATTTAGTGGTGTAGTAAGCGGAAACCTTTGCACTAATTTGTGCTCTTGAAATAGGTGAACAAGGCTTGTTAGTAAATTATTATTTTTTTAACTTTATGACGGTCGAAAGTTTTCGTATATTTCAAATAGAGAAAAATTTGTTCATCCACTTACTTCATCAATAGCTTTGGTAAAATCAAAAAGTCTATCGATGGGATCATGATAAAAAGGCCTATTTAACATTAATTTCATCCCATCGTGGTAAGCTAACATCTACATAAGCTACATCATTCGTTAAAACTAACAGAGCCGTGATAGCTCAGTGTCCGGGCGCTCGCCTAAATTCAATAAACTCGAGCAACCTGAGTTCGGAACCACAAATTGTTAATTTAAGGTGGTGACTTATCAAGTGCTCAGGGGTGAAAACATCGAGAAGAAATAAGCATATTTTCTAAATAATAACAAAAAGAATATTTCTAAAATATGTGAAGTCCGCCAATCCTCTGTGGGGTCGCGTGGTACACTGGTACCGCCTTTACAGAGGAGGCCTTTGCCCAGCATCGGGGCATTTATAGGCTGTTACTTTACTTTTTCTTACATCTTATTCTTCTTGTTTGGTTCTCCATGGTTGAGGATTGCGACCACAAAATACGTCTCCATTGGGTGTGGTCATAAGCTGTATGGATCCCACTATGCATGCTGCACCCATGCATCTGCTTCTCCAAATAGTGCCTTGGCGTACCCATAATGTGTCCGAAGGAGCTTAGGACTCTTTTTTTTTTACTTATATATTGATGAGAGACTTGAGGTGCAAAATAAAAAATAACCGGCCAAGTGCGAGTAAGACTCGCGCACGAAGGGTCTGTTGTATGGGAGCCCCACTTGTAGTTTTTTAGTATTTTTTTGTTATTGCGGCTACAGAAATACATCATCTGTGAAAATTTCACTTGTTTAACTATCACGGTTCGTCGTGAGGTTCAGCCCGGTGACAGCCGGACGGAATAACAGACAGACGCAGTCTTAGTTATAGGGTCCCATTGGGTACGGAACCCTGTAGCAATACTGGCAAAAACAAGCCTGGCAGAAAATATTATAATACGTTTCACGATATTAATATAATACAAAAGGATCTTCGTTCCATCCGAGTACCACGGCGCTCACGTATTTCTTTTTTTATTCGAAACTTGATTGTAAATTGCGGCAACATTTGTTTTTGAATTTAACATAACCTGATTTATCTAATGTTATCAGTTTATCACTGATTTCCAAAAAATCTAATGTGTTTTTTAATAAGAGTGTAGGTATATTAGGTTAGAGTAGGCGAGGTGTAGTGAAGTTAAAAATAAGCCAATATTGTCATTATTTATTTCCATAGTTCGGAACAACAGATCGGTAGAACTGGAGAAAAAAACTAGGCATTCTCACGGGGACTCCCGATAGAACAACAGTGCTCAACGCCTAAAGAAGTTTTGACTTCAAAAAATTTCCTCTCGTACTTCTAGATATAACGTAGGGTAGGTCTACATTCGTTCGTATATCGGCATACTTGAAGTGTTTATCAAAACTTTCGTTTAAATTTGAAAATTGTGTTGGAATAATTTCTGGGGTGAACTTCAAACTGGAGAACAAATGATATTATATACAAATAACAGGTAGATGCGCACCTAAACTGATGCACTCAAATTACGCCAATTGATGTGATAACATCGTAACTCTATCTCTTTCCGTATCATACGTTCTGTTTCATCTGTCACATTCACTTACACAGGGAGATTTTTTTAGAAGTGCCCAAATTTACACAGGAGGTTAAGAATCTGTAGTATAATCGTTTATTGAAATAAAAAACAAAGTTTTTTTTTAAAAAAAAATGCCATTCTATTCCCTAAAAAACAGAACGTGTTGACAATGCGGTAGTCATTCATAAATACCTAAAATGTACTGTGCACGAACTTGTGTGCGTGTTAGTTATGAATGATCGCGCGTAAAATAAATGAGTTGCGTATAAATCACGCACTTTTTGAGATAAGTTCAAATTAATGTAATTAATTATTTACGAGTGATTTTAAACATTTATCATTTTTTATATAACATTACTTATGTCTAGAAATTAATAAAAAAGAAATGGATACACTTAGAAAAGCCAACCTGTATATGTAGGTAATATCATATATGTAATATCATATAATGTAAAGCCGAACGAATTTTGAAATACCACCCAGTATGGACATTCGTGATCATTATCAAAACATCACTGTGAAGAACACGTTTATTTGCTAGACTCGGATATCGGAGGAAGTAATGTCATATGAGGATGAAGAGGAAGCACTGCAGTTGACTCCATGAACTAGCATCTCATTTGAAGAGCTGTTATCAGTGTATGCGGTCAACATATGAATGCAAGATGAATTAGTTCTCAGTGAATTGTTCTTGAAGAGCCGTGATAGCTGAACAGCCGTGATAGCTCAGTGTCCGGGCGCTCGCCTATAATTCAATATACTCGAGCAACCTGAGTTCGATCCCCGGTGCCGGCACCAATAAAGTTTTTAATTTTAAGTGCTGTCTTATCACGTGCTCCGCGGTGAAGGAAAACATCGTGAGGAAAAAATCCGTCATATTTTCGAAATAATAACAGAAAAAAATAATAATATTTCGAAGATATTTGAAGTCCGGCAATCCGCAGTGGGGCCGCGTGGTGGACTATGCCCTGATACCCTCAATATAGAGGAGGCCTTTGCCCAGCAGTGGGACATGTATAGGCTTTACTTTTTACTTTACTTAATTGTTCTACGTCTTGAATCATTCCCATGTACTTATACACTTAAAAGATACGATAGATTGAATAAAATCTTAACAACTTCGAATAAACACTTCTTCCCAATCCCATTAAAAAGATAGAGCGTTAGATATGTTTATGGATTCATGGCTGTGGCGGATAGTTACAATTTTTAAATTGACCAAAACGTGCTAGCCGTTGTTGTGTAACATAATGTTTATAAAAATCTGAAATAAAATGTGAACTGCACGCGTGTTTTATTTTCATTAAAGACGTTTCTTTCCTGAGACTGCGTTTCGCGTGTTACTCGCGTCCAACCCGTCATCCATAATGCTCTGAAAGGATCAGGATCCGTTTGCGCTATGCCGCCCGAGACATGACCATCTCCCACGAAGGCACAACGCGACTGTCCCAACGATGAGGGGGGGAGTGGGAGTCGACGAAGATAATTGAGATGTGCTCGTTTCTGTTGTAGGAACGGACGGCGACCCCCCCAAGCGCAGGAAAAGGAGAAAGAAATCCACGGAAAGCGCTACCCCCGAGCGCATAGAGCATAGGGTGAACCTTACCGCTATCCTGCAGCACTCCAACGCGAGCCCGTTCAGGGACAAGACGATGCGCGGCTTCTCGTGCCTCTACTGCGCCAAGTACTTCCAGCACATTGACGAGCTCCGTATGCACACAGCCCAGCAATCGGAGAAGGACAAGATCAACACAATGATCGACTACAAGCTCAGCTACAACCCGATCAAGCTCGACATCACGGACCTCCGCTGCATCGTCTGCGACACGGGCATGAGGGACCTAAACGATCTCAAGGACCACCTGGTCAACGTCCACAACAAGACGATATACAAGAACATAAAGGACATAATCCTACCCTTCCGCTTGGAGAACGGCCAGAACTTCACGTGCGTCGTGTGCTCGGTGGTGCACATATCGTTCAAGAACCTCTACCACCACATGAGCAGCCACTACAGGAACTACTGCTGCAAGAAGTGCGGCGCCGGCTACATCACCATTGCCGCGCTGAGGAAGCACGGCAAGACCCACTACCAGGGCAACTTCCCGTGCGACTACTGCGAGAAGACCTACACGTCCCTGACGAAGAAGCGCAACCACGAGAAGGGCGTCCACACGGGCGGCTGGCTGCGGAACAAGTGCCCTCACTGCCCCGAGATCTTCGTCAGCTACTACGACAGGAGCGAGCACCTGGTCAAGGTGCACAACGAGGCGCCGATAGTGTACCCATGCAACGCGTGCAACAGGACGTACAAGAAGAAGTTCGAGCTGAACCGCCACATAAAGCACCACCACCTGCAGCAGAAGAACTACCTGTGCGACAAGTGCAACGCGAAATTCTTCTCCAAGCGCGGCCTGGTCGACCACATGCTGAGGCACACGGGGGCGGAGGTGTGCGCGTGCGAACTGTGCGGCAGGACGTTCTCGCGCGCGCGCACACTGAGGGAGCACATGCGGACACACGACGACGACAAGAAGTTCCAGTGCGAGGTGTGCAAGAAGACGTTCATGCAGAAGTGCAGCCTGAAGAGCCACGTGCGCCTGCACCAGGACGACCTGGACATCTTCAAGGAGTTCGACGACGTGAAGCACCTGATCGACAACAGGGAGCTGACGCTGAAGCAAATCGCGGCGGAGAACAAGAAGAAAGCGGAAGCGGAGAAGCTCCACGAGCAGATATCGTAGCTGCCGATCGACTGCGAGGTCGAATGGTCGACTGCGGAGAGCGTGGCTTAGGGTGCAAAACGGATTGATTAGATCGAGGGAATCGTTTCCTAAAGGCCAGTTGCAGTCGCCGAGGGCGGTGGTCGGAACCGGTGCAAATACTGTGCACGTTTGATCAGTGTTTCGGACTTACGTTGCTGAACCTTTGAACAATGTCATGTGGCAACAGACGAGTGTAAGCCATAAAGTTCTGAATGCAAAGTCGTGAAATGAAGATGTAATTTTGTGAAATCGGTGGACAGGACTTAGCATGAAATCGTAAGTTTAGAAGAGACGTTATCTTTATATGAAATGTCGTTGTTATATTGTTTATGAAACCAGTGCAAATATAGGAAAGTTTATCCATATCATGTTTTGGCACTGAACATTGCCAGATCTATTCACCGCGTCGGAATTAAGTGTTAGCGATCCTTGAAACACATTGGAAATTAGTTTCTACAATTGATGTAACGATGTGATAGTACAAGGCAAATGATATTCGAGGGTTTCTGCTAAAGCCAATAAATGTGAAGTGTTTGTTTGATTCTTAGTTTCGAGAGAGCTGTGTTTTTAAAGAAATATATCGTTGAGAAAAATAACGGGGTCCTAGGGTAAAAATTTTAAGACAATTTATTTATTGTCTAATTCGTCTCCGTTCTTTCAATCTTATATACTAAGACAGATAGAAAGACTGTGTGATTGCGTGTTATTTGGTGTATTATTTGAACATTTTGTATATAGCCACGCCCCTCTGATATAGAAACCGATCCTGTTCATTTTAAGTAGGTAATTGTATACAATTAGCAGACTTCAACCACTTAATAATACTGTGATGAAATAGAAAAGAGTTGTCTGTAGGTGGTTTTTTTTATAGACTGCGATTTCAATGAAATTCCTCTCGGCAGATGTATGTCGGTGGAGTATAAATAGATATTACATTTTTACCACACGATTTATGCTTTTTTTTCACGCCCTCCAATTGGATTGCTGTATCCCTAAAATGGTTTGAAGGTGCACTTAAATATTTGTAATGGTTCTATTAATCACGCATATTTATCTTGAAAATAAGTGACGAGTGTAAATTGTCGTGAGTCGAGTGTAGTTGTAAATTGTGTAATAAAAAAAAATATAGAAGTATAGCGAGGTGATACATCTAATCTCTAACAAAGCTATATTTACTTAAGTACTTAAGCTTCTGTATCACTGTCTTAGAATATGTAACCTAATTTATAACGATCTGTTCCAACAACTTGGTTCTATAGTAATTCACTATAGATATAGAACAGTTTCGTCAGGTTTCTTGACGAAACGCTACATAAGTTTGGGTAGTCTTGAAATATTTGTAGAAGCCTCACTACATATGAGTTTCAATCAATCAATCAGCCTACTACAGTTCACTGACGGGCATAAGACTCTCCAAGGGCACCCCCCGGAGCACGATCTACCGCTTTCCTCAACCTGCCACCGCCAGCGATCTTTCTCAGTTCATAGGCCCAACTAGTACGGAACGATGATGATTAAATAGATTTTGAATAAGCAATAAACCTAAGTATTAAACTTAGGTCCTTTTCCACCGATCTTTCTTTTCAAAGAATTTATTCTTTTCTTAAAGTATCGGTAAACCTTGAAGGCTCACTCCCTTAACTAACTTTAGTTTATAAATTTCATTCATTCACATCTTCGCAGTTTGAAAAAAACATGTTCGCTACAAATTTTAATATTACTATACCTATACTTTCTTACGATCATGTTTATAAACTTCCACATATATACGAATTTATTTTTATCCGGTTGTGATGATAAAGAAGTTGACAGCGTGAAATTTCTCCGTGTGTAAACAAGATAGTATCACAAGCGACGACTTAATTTAAGGAAGACAAATACTTAAAACTGACAAATACCTCAGTTCGGAAAAGTTTGACAAAATTATAAAGAAGTATGTTTAAGGACTACGCATTGTATGTCAGACTGATACTCGTTGAGTATTATTTCTAAATCCGTCAATACTGCAAGTTGTCTTGCAGATTAAGTGTGATGCTACTAGTAGATGAGTTGATTAATCGGCGGCCTGTCAAAACGTGATCTTTCTTTTATAGGCCGTACCGGAGCGAAAAGTAACCGAAGACGGGCCATTAAGGAGGAACTCGACGACCGGGGACGCGATAAAATAACGCTCTACCGCGAAAAGCATCTGCCCGAGATGCAGAAACAGTGGCACAACCTTACCACATTGCTAAAGTACTCCAACGCCACACCGTTCAAGGATAGGAATGACGCTGGGTACATTTGTGCGTACTGCTTCAAGGCCTACCCGGATCCAGGCGTGCTGAGGAACCACACCCAGTACGATCACGTGAAGGAGAAGCCAACGTACAAGGCCGGCTCCGGAATGAGCAGCTTTGTCGCCTTCCTAGACGTCGTCGATCTCAGGTGTACCATATGCGACCAAGCTATGGACAACCTCCGCTCTCTGATGGAGCATCTAGTCAATGCGCACGACAAGAAGTACTATCTCGGTCTGACGGACTACTTCCAGCCTTTCAAACTGACCGGCGAACAGCAGATCAACTGCTGCCTCTGCGACGAGCCGTTCCACAACATGAAGCTGCTGATGCAACACATGAACGTCCACTACAGGAACTTCATATGCACCACGTGCGGCGCCGGCTTCGTGAACAGCTTCCGGCTCAACCGGCACGAGACGACGCACGGGAAGAAGAAGTCGAGCTTCCCGTGCAAGCAGTGCGGCCAAGTGTTCGCCGCCGAGTCCAAAAAAAAGGCGCACGTGAACACCGAGCACAAGGGGAATCGCGGGCGACAGCGTGTGTCAGATATGCAAGGCCCGGTTCAAGAACTATTACCAGAAGACCCGCCACATGATACAAGTGCACAACGTCGAGGGCATAAAGTGCGACATGTGCGACAAGAAGTTCAACCTCAAGTCGAACCTGATGCTGCACATGCGCAGCGTCCACCTGAAGGAGCGCCCGTACGAGTGTACGGTGTGCAACATGGGCTTCTTCATCAAGCGTCACATGCTCGGCCACTATTTGGCGACGCACACTAATGAGAGGCGGTTCAAGTGCGACTTGTGCGGCAAGGCGTACGCGACGCAGAGCAGTAGGCGGAAGCACATGAAGAAGAACCACGGCGTCGCCAAGCCGGCTCTTGCGCTCAACGCGCCGAAGTGAAGCAAGTGATCATATAATCCCTTAGAATTTCCTAGTCGATGCTGTTCATCATGTCCGCTTAACGTTTTCTTCAAACGGTTCTGCGGTATAACGTATACGCGTGTTCAATCATTACAGGAGTAACGTTTTATCTCTGTGTTTTATTTTGCGCTAGTGTGTGAACATGTTTTATGCGTATGAGTAATGAAATGCTTACGGTATGCTTATGCCGTCCATGTATGCAAATGACATCCTCAGGAGACTAAATGCCATTGATTTTGAATCGATGAAGGATAATCGCTCTACCTGATCGATATTAAATAAAATTTATAGGCTATCTTGATTTATAATTAAGGCATCATTTAATTTTCAAGAGATCAATGCACCTAGTTCTAATATATTTTATAATACTACGGTAACAACTTTTTTACGTTCTAAAATTCTTAACCTCTATTACTACATGACTAGAAAAGACAAATCATATAAACTTCACTCAAGTAATTCTTGAACACGGGACATGTATATGTAATAATGAATAAAGCACAGTTAACATGGCGAGTTTGACGTCCTATACAACAGGCCATTTACAATTCACTATGAACTCTCTTTAGTTCCTAAGATGTGAATCTTTGAAACTAATTAACTGGATGGAAATTGCCATTGCGCTCTCTTTGTACTGGATTTTTTACCTCTTAACCGGGCCGATTAAAAGAGTCAGTCCGGCGCTGTGTTAGGTTAGGTTAGGACACACGTAGAACAGCCCATCTCATTTATTCCATATTAATTTAGCATTTCGTATGGTCGTTTACTACGAAAAACTTAGGTCATCCACAATGAATCTATGTAGCCAATCTGGTTAGTATTAATAAATAATTGGATACCAAAGGTGCCATTTTTATTTGCTTGGCTATGTGAGATCTTTTAACATGTTGCTGTGGCCCTGTGATTCTCATTTGCGATAGGTTCCGACAAAATGATTTAAAGAAATGGTATATCAATTTTATAAAGACTAGCCTAAATCGTTTAAGAAACCGCGTTCCTTTATTACTTTTGTTTTATTTATTTTATGTTTCATTTTCTAGTGAAAGCCTTTGTTGGATTTAGTTTGTGCTTTGGATTATTTTCTTTTCAAGCTAAGTAACAATTTTAAAGTTCACTGTATTTTAAAGATTATTCATAAATAATGCCACGTCTGGACATTAATTCTATATTTTGCTTGTAGGTAACGTCCGGAGGTCGACCCGTATCGTTACCAAAGCTTGCACCGCAAAAGCCGTTGACTCCAAATGTAAAGCAGAGGCGAGTTCTGCGAAAAAGGTTGACTCAAAGCGTAAGAGTGAAGCGGGTTGTAGGAAAAAAGCTACCCGGAAACGTAAAAGGGCGGCGGGAACCACAAAAAAAGATACCGATAACGAAGAACTCGAAAGTGTGGCGAATGAAGGGACAATCGAAGTGAGTAGCTCTGACGATAACGACGAGATCGGTACTCGAAAACCCGATAGTGTGGTGAACGAGGAGACGATCTTGACTGCCGAAGCGGGGAGCTCCGGCAATAAAACCGAGATCGACAATGTAAAGGTTTACAAAGAAAAACTTGTCCCTTCCGACGTGAGCAAATTGGAGAAACACTTACACAACATCAGAACTATCCTAAAGTACTCCAATGCCACGGCAATCCGCAGGCACATCGATGTTGGTTATACGTGTCTCCACTGCCCGAAAAGTTTCCCCCAACCGATGGATCTTAAAAATCACACTCTGCTAGAGCACGCCAACGTTCTTATACCGGAATACCTGAAGAGCACTCGCCTGTCCACTTACGTCATCAAGCTTGACATAACGTCGCTCCGCTGCAACGTGTGCTGTCAAGGCTTCGCCCAGTTGGAGGACTTTGTTGAACACTTACGAAACTCCCACAACAAGGAGTACCACATGGACGTCGACAGCCATATCCTGCCGTTCAAGTTCGACGGCGGTCCGCTCACCTGCGCCCTCTGCCCTCGCACCTTCAACCATTTCAAAGACTTGCAGGAGCACATGAGCTCCCACTACGCGAACTTCACGTGCGAAGACTGCCCCGCCCAGTTTGTCAACAAGCACGGCCTCCTGCGGCACACGACTCGCATGCACGTGTACGGCAACTCGATCTGCGATTTCTGCTCGAAGGTGTTCGAAACGAGGGACAAGCGTTTGAAACACGAGCAGGCCGTGCACAACGTGAAACCGCTGAGGTACAAGTGCCAGCAGTGCTTCGAGAAGTTCAACAGCTACACGAAGAAGTTGAACCACATGGTGGCGCGTCACGGAGCGAAGCCGGCCGTGTACAAGTGCACTTTGTGCGAGCGCACGTTCAAGAATAGCTCGAAGCTCTCGATACACAAGCGGCGCGACCACATGCTGGAGCGCCAGCACGGGTGCGCGGAGTGCGACGCGCGCTTCTACAGCAAGACTGACCTGAAGAAGCATATGGTGAGGCACGCAGGACGGCGCGAGCACCGCTGCTTCGTCTGCGGGCAACACTACTCCAGGAAGAAGATCATGATGGAGCACCTGAGGATACACGCGGAGGACAGGCGCTTCAAGTGCGACCATTGCGGCCGCGGCTTCGTCCAGAAGATCACCTTGAAGGACCACATTCGATGCAAACACTGGCCGTTCGTCTAATCTGTGCGATTTCAGCGCTCTTTGCGTTTCACGGTGGTTCAACTCTATTTGGGCTCTCGTTTTTCGTCTGCCTTTGGGACTTCGTAATGCGTCTTTCACTTTTCAGTAAGGTCTCGTAGCAAGCTTAAGAATTTTTTTTGATGTTTATCTTTTATATGGTTCCTGATGTCTCATCGTTGACAGATGAGCTGTGCTTTTATTACTCACCATTATATTTGTATTTTGTTTACACAGACGTCTGTGGAACGGAATATCCGTTTTATTAAATAGTCATATGCTTATGATAGGCTTACCATACGAATACTAGTGCGTTTTGTTAAGCCATGAGAACCCCTAATAAGTGCAGAGCATTTCACTCAGTCATCGTTTCGATTCTGTATTATAGATATCATAAGAACAGATGTTAAAGATCGCCAATACTTATACGCTTCTCTAACTTTATGAAAATTCACAAGTGGCTTACCATCAATCTGGTCGCTTTATGCCAGCACTTCCACAAAAGAAAGAATATGTACACCGGAAAAGAGATCTTTAATGGCTTATATAATACGTGCGCTTTGGCTAAGATTATCGATTACAGTCATAACTAAGATAACTTCGAGTTTCGAATTTAATGCGTAGAATAAAATCTAAATGGAATTATACAGTTATTTGTTCTTATGTATCGTCTAGTCGTCTATATTTATTATAAATAGTATTTTTGGATCTCTCTATGTCGTCCTGTTATTTCATTGTAGTAGAATATTAGAGTTAGTTCAGGGATTAGGTGTTTAAATATTTAGGGGATAATGAAAGCACGGATTTTCTCGCATTCAATTTAATATTACTGAAAAAACTTAATTTTTCTATTATTTATATGTTATAAAATATCTAGTCGGCTTTATTAATTATACGTATGTATTTTTGGATCTCTATAAATTTCGTTCAGGGATTAGGTGCTATATATTTAGTAGATTATGAAATCACACATTTTCTCGCCTTCAAATTTACTTTAAAAGCTTTTTAAAAGTTGCCAAACGAGCAGACGGGTCACCTGATGTTAAGTGATTACCGCCGCCCGTGGACATCTGATACACCCGAGGGTTACAGATGTGTTGACAACCTTTTGAAAATTGGGCTTCCGGCTACCTCACTCACCAGACGAAACGCGAAAGTATTTCTCATACTTCCACTTTACGCCGGTATTCTGTGAGGTCGTGGTACTTACCCGGACGGGCCTGCCCGTTCGTGCAACAGTCGAGGCTGCTGCGTGGCCCTACCACCGTCAAATTTGACTTTTATTTATTCTTATATATTATTAAACGTCTAGTCGGCTGTATTTATTATGCATATGTATACCGTATCTGTATTTTTGGATCTCTTAGTCGTCCTGTGATCTCACTGTAGTAGAGTTAGTAAAAGTAGGTCAGGGATAAGGTGTTAACATATTTAGGTGATAATGAAATCACGGATTCTCTCGCATTCAAATTAAGTTTACTTTAAAAGCTTAATTTGTCTTTTATTTATTCTAAAATATATTAAACATGTAGTCGGCTGTAATTATTATATATATATATGTATTTTTGGATCTCTTTAAATGTCGTTCTTTGATCTCATTGTAGTAGAGTAATGGAGTTAATTCAGAGATTAGGTGTTTACATATTTAGGTTTACAATTAAAAGCTCATATATATTATTAAACATCTAGTCGGCTGTATTTATTATAGAAATGTATTTTTGGATCGCTTTAAATGTCGTTCTTTGATCTCATTTTAGGAGAATAATAGCGGTAGGTCAGGTATAAGGTGTTAACATATTTAGGGGTCAATGAACTCACGGATTTTCTAGCATTTTATTCAACATTACTATCAAAAGGTTAATCTGTCTGTAATTTTGACTGTATTGAAATCATTCAATTAAGTAATCATCTTCTTGCAGACGTACAACGGTGTCAAACATTTCATGGCCATAATCTGATATCCAACAACATCGTTCATTCAAGTATATTCCAATAAATCTAATTATGTACATTTTTCTTATTCATATCTGCAGTAGTCAATGCCGTATAAAACCATATCGGGGCCCTGATGGAAAGTAAAAAAAGTGGATGACAAAAGCACTTTTCTGCTATTACCTTATGTTTTTTTTATTTATTCTGTAAACTTCTGTAGGAATATATCTACCAAAAATAGAGATAAATTTCTATAGTTTATGCGAATTCGTAGGCCATGCGGGGCCACCGTGACGACACGGGTCCCGTGTGCCTTTATGGTAAAGACGGTACTGGTGATGTTGATTTAGTATTAGGTGCTCTTGCGTTCCGTATTGAGGTGACTTAGGCTCGCTCTTTTAAATTTCGATATTTTTTTTAATGTTAAAAATTGCCAAGCGAGCAGACGGTTCATCTGATGTTAAGTGAATACCGCCGCCCATGGACATCTGCTACACACTAGGGTTCCAGATGCGTTGACAGCCTTTTGAAAATTGGGCTTCAGCCACCTCATACACCAGACGAAACGCGAAAGTGTTATACTTCCACTTTACGCCGGTCTTCTGTGAGGTCGTGGTACTCACCCGGACGAGCCTGCCCATTCGTGCAACAGCCGAGGCTGCTTAACATCGAGCAAACCGCCTGACCATTCGCCACCACCGCTGACGAAAAAGGTTCAATGGACGATACATACACAGCACGGTCATACTTGAAGTCGAGACTTGACTATAATATAAAGTCAAGATTTTGTTTGATTAATATTAGTTTTGTTTTGTTTAGTTGAATTAAAGCGATAAAATCCGTAGTTTGGTTAAAATTTTAGTGTCATTAAATATCTCTTTTCGACATAGTAGTCCAATGAGAGCTTAGAAGGGTTTTAAATCCGCGTTTCCCCAATTTTAGCAGTTTTTAAAATGAAGTTGTCGTTATATGTATATGAAATTCAATAGATTAATTGTTCAGTAGAAAATTCCCGATGCATATGTAGTCTTTAGAATTACATTAACTGCAATTTCCACGCTTACTCTGTGAACTACTTGTATTTTCCGATTTGACTAGATTTAAATTATTGCAACCATATCTAAGCTTAGACGTGTTTTATTTAAAGGTTATTAGTGTGTTACGAATTGACTGTGGTAGGGCTACTCAGCGGCTTTGCTGCTACACGAAGGAGTATGATCGTTCGGGGAAGTACCATGACGTCACGACGTGGCGTGACGTGGGCGTGAATTGATAGTGTTATATATCTGCGTTTCGTCTGGTGAGTGAGGTAGTCAGGGCCAACTTTATTAAAAGATGGCAATGCATCTGCAACCGTACGGGTGTTGCAAATGTCCACGGCCGGCGGTTATCGTTTAACATCAGGTGAACCGCCAGCTCGTATTACCCCCTTCTCAAATTAAGTGAAATGCCGATCGTGGCCTACTTTAACAAAGATTGGCAACTAGCGGCACTATAGTTTTCGAAGATTTCTATGGATGGTGGTAGTCATTTCACATCACGTGAACCGCCACCTTTTCAAATGAAAAAGGGAAGAAACAGTAATCCCACGCTGGCTCCAAATGGGGTTACATGAATAGGTTTGGGTTAATTGAATGAAAAGAATACGAAAACGTACTAATCTATCTAGTGGAACAACCCAATAATACTTATTTCGCACTATTGCAAAAGCGCAAAACGTCAAAAATACACACTAACTCATGTTAACCCGCAGCTAGTGGTAATTTGGCAACTTATGTACTCACGTAATTTCACATTAAAATACAATTATTTACCAATAAGTGTTTATAAAATGAAACCGTATAAAGATAATAAAAAACCGGCCAAGTGCGATCCGGACTCGAGCACGAAAGGTTCCGTACCATTACATATAAAAGTGGCAAAAATCATGTCTGCTGTATGGGAGCCCCATTTAAATATTTTTATTCTGTTTATTAGTATTTGTTGTTACAGCGGCAACAGAAATACATTATCTGTGAAAATTTCAAATGTCTAAATATCATGGTTCGTAAGATACAGCCTGGTGACAGACGGACAGACAGCGGAGCCTTAGTAATAGGGTCCCGTTTTACCCTTTGGGTACGGAACCTTAAAACATAAAATAACATAGGCTCAATAACGTTAAACCTTGACGAGATAGTCCATGCTTCTTTAGATCAAAACGTGAACGGTGATGAAGGTTTTGCAACAGTTTAATGGTATAATACTGCGATATACATTGTAGTGGTGGATTTGTCATTCCATAAACTTGAAACAATCGTAAGTTCAAGCTTTAATTTGGCGCGAATTTTTGAAACACTTCAAAAATGAATAACAATGAGCACTTTGCGGGACTTGTGGATTGCTGGATGGGACGTCAAGTCAGTCGAATCAAGGCAGTAAAATAAAAATTCATCGTCAAATTATGATGAAATATTCAAATTCAGTTGAAACAGTTTTGGCTTTGAGTGTCTTCTGTTTATATAAACTACCTTACTTTGCTTCGTTTGTTTTTGAGACTAAAAGTCTACGAATTTCTGAGTAATGTTTATATCAAAATGTCAACTCGGCAAATGTTAAGAAATTGCGCAAATTTAAGGGTACCACCAACTCTTTTCACTTAAAGACAGTGGTATTTTTAATTTACTTTCAACTATTGTTGAGCATTCTGACGGCAATTGGCCAATTTTTAAGTTGAATCTGTGTAGTGAATTTGGCGGTCCAACGTCCTCCGTTCTAAGGCGACCATGCATCTCAATAACCTGTGCTTTTATTTGTAGGTGCGCGACGCACGGTAAGGGTCAAAGTCGAAACAGACTCGGCCAGTGCTTTAGTAAGAGAGAAACGCAAGCGGCCCGCGCTAGCCGACGCCAGGGCGGCAAAACTCGATAGATACAAGGGCCGCGAGCTGGAGAAGCACCGTATCAATGTCCGCGAGATTCTGCTGTGCTCGAACGCCACGCCGATCCGTTGCCACAGCGGCATCGGTTACTCGTGCTGCTTCTGCGCCCAGCAGTACCCCGACGCCAGGGACTTGAAGCGCCACACTTTGGAGGCGCACGACGCGAAGGCGAAACGCAACTTCATGGAGGGCAAAATGATGTTCTCGTACCTAGTTAAGCTCGACATCACCTCCCTCCGCTGCTCGCTCTGCGACGCGGATTTGCCGACCCTGGAGTCGCTAACAGAACACCTGATAACCGTCCACGGCAGGAAGTTCTACTCGGACATCAACAGCCACATCGTGCCGTTCAGGTTCGACGGCGACCCGCTGCTCAGGTGCGTCTACTGCACGAACCGCTTCAACAAGTTCAAGGCGCTGCAGGAGCACATGAACACCCACTACAGGAACTACGTCTGCGACGTATGCGACGCGGGCTTCGTCAACCGGAACATCCTGCTCAACCACGCCGAGGGCCACAAGAAGGGCACTTTCAAGTGCGACTACTGCGCGAAGGTGTTCGACACCTACCGCAAGAAGAAGTCCCACGAGAAGTCCGTCCACATACACCTGAACATGCTGAACAGGTGCGGCTACTGCAGCGAGAAGTTCAAGGACTACCGCCGCAAGCTCGACCACCTGACGAAGGTGCACGGCGTGCGCCCCGTGACGCTGCACTGCAACGCGTGCGACAAGGCGTTCGAGACGCAGACCGCGCTCACGATCCACATCAAGCGCGACCACCTGCTGGAGAGGCGGCACGAGTGCAAGCACTGCGACATGAAGTTCTTCGTCACGCACGAGCTGAAGGAGCACATGGTCAAGCACACCGGCTTGAGGAACTTCGAGTGCGAGGTGTGCCACAAGGCGTACGCCCGGCGGAAAACCCTGCGGGAGCACATGCGGATACACGCGGACGACAGGCGGTTCAAGTGCGAGCACTGTGGGCAGGCGTTCGTGCAGAAGTGCAGCTGGCGGGGCCACATGCGCGCGAAGCACGGGGAACAAGTGTAAACGCGCGTTGCAACGTGTATATAAACTGTCTGAGGTTTTAAAGGACAAGGAAGGTTGGTTTCGTGTCGTCGTTTATCGTTCACGAGCGGGCCCCGCTTTGTAATTTGACTGGGAGATGATACTGATGGCATTAAGTCCCCCTTTGTACATAAATGTTTGTGCGTAAAGATTAAATAAATAAATAAATAAATAACCCCCTGTTGTTCACAGCCACGATGATCGGATGTACTTAAATTAAAAGCGGCGTAACTTATTCTAAATTACGAACGTCTCTGTATCAAAGTGGCAGGTGTAAACGCGATCGAGTCTATTCGAGTCGACTAAATGAGCTTGTGACGGTGGACGCCGATAACGTCTCGTTTCTATTTGTCACTACTCTGCGTATGAATGAATGAATGAATGAATTAATTAATGAATGAATGAATGTCTTTATTGGACGGTATTCGTAGGTATGGAAGGCAGCTGCGACATGCAAGCAAAGCATGGCCAACGGGAGTGAGTTGTCGACCTTCGTTCGTTGTGGTGTGATAAGTGAAACATTGTTAGTGAAAAAAATACAAAACCGACTTCAAATATCTCGCCGACTGTATTTCTTTTTAACTTGGAGGAGTCCCTGATATATCACCGGAATATACCAATGAATTTAATGTGAGGCCACATGGAAGCTTAACGGAACAAAATGCGAAAAGAAATCTTGAAATCGGTTCATAAATGACGGTAGTTTGAAAAAAGAACACCACCGAATTCTGAATGTCCTTTCCGAAGTGGTTTGAAAGTTTACGTTGTTGATTATGTTGATTTTAGTTTAATCTAATTTATTCAATTGAATTCCATTAATTCATTCAATTGAAGCCCATGATTTTATTTTATAATTGAAGGTTATCGAAAGTTGATTTACTTAGTTGTGTAATAAATTATTTTAACTAATTGGCGGTTTTGTTGTTTTATTCACCTTTCAAACGAGCAGTCAATCAATTACTATTTAACATTTCAGCAGTAAAGTGATTAACGGTAAATTAATTTACATACTTCGACTGGTAAATTCACAATTTTTCTTTCACCTGTCTTTATCACACCTAATTGGGGTCGTAACATGTAAATAAAGTTGGTATAAAATTAGCGAGAATTTGCCTGACGTCAAACCTCCTCGATAAACACCCAGATCCCAAGCAGCTATATGTGGGTCACACAAACACTTGTCCCCTGAGGGAATTGAACCCACGACACCGACGCCGAATTGAATAGGTTAGCAACTGCGCCGCCGAGTCATAAGTCAAAATTGGACATTCGCGCCCGGTTTATGAAACATTTACGCCCGGTTTCTGAAACACTGGTCATCGTAGATGTTAACTAATCAGTTATCAAATGTCATTTGAGTGGCCAATAGATTGTTAAATAGGTGTGAGATATACCTGCAACATTCTGTACCCGGCCTCAAAGGTATGGGTATCGCCGTATACCCGATGCTAAAACCCAGTATCAAAATACCTATAGGTATTAGTTATGTTCAGGCCTCCTTTTGGAGACTCGATCGAATCAAACGAATTGACCCTTTGGTTGGAACATTTAGATGTTTTTTTAGTAATCAGTTTTTTGAAATTGAGATTGAATCAGTCTAAAATAAGCTCCATCTTTACTAACGTACAGAACCCTATTACCAAAAAAAAAAGTAATTCAAAATAAATATTACTGTTTAACCTTATTACGCAATTATTTATCTACCTAACTGCATAGAAATGAAGAATTATTTCGTATAAAATGCCATAGGCGATCGAGCGCCAGCGTTATGAAATAAGGCGGCGCTAGGCCGCGTACTCGCGAGCGATATCGACAATCGACAAATACCTATCGGGTCTGGAACGGGCCTCTGCCGTACATACCCGGTCTGCATACTGGTACGTTCATACTGGGTATTTATACCTGTTCCAGTATATACGCCTCATCTCTAATGTTAAACACTTTGAATCCGGTACTTGAACAAAAATTGTTCAAGTCCCGGACTGCACTTTCCCCAAAGAGATCAGTGAACACCGCAACACTCACGCTACTCGTAAATACAATTTGATTAGCGTTCTGGCTTCTTCACGACAGCGTAGACGCCAGTATGCCATTAAAGATTACGAAAAACCTACATTACGATTATTCATAAATCTCATATCTTGTCGTAATGCCTCGTTCCGAACACTTTCCGTTAACACACAGTGTCTTTTAGTAGAAGTGTTGAATTGTTCGGAGTGTGATGTGGTAGAAGTTTTCTAGATTGGGTGAAGTTGTAATTCTCATCAAATATTTAAACTTGTTTGTGGGAATATATCGGGAACGAAGTCTAAGTAGTGATATTATATCTCTTCCATTAATATTTTGTTGATTGAATCCTTTTTTTTTTATTATTATTTCGATAATATCTTGCTAGATAAAAGCTGCTGCTTTTCTTAAGTTGTTTTACTTCATATTTGAACATGTGATGAGTCTGCAATTAAAATTTTGCAATAAACAGTTTGATCAACACCGGCATCGGGTTTTGAACTGAGATGCTCGAGTTTATTAAATTAAAAGCCCAGGCATTAAGGCGCCCAGACTAAGCTATTAGCCGGATATAGGCACCTGCAAATTTTCTTTCAATCGATGACTTTGGCTTCGATGGCTTCTATTTTCTATCGCCATTATTTATATGAAACTAGCGGACCCGACAGACGTTGTCCTGTACACCCAGCTTAAATTAAACAAGTTATAAATAAAAAAAAATTGTAGTGCCACGAATTGTGGAATCTAAATCATTCTCAGATCGTCCTGAAGACACACAAAAAATTTCATTAAAATCGGTCCAACCGTTTAGGAGGAGTTCAGTGACATACATACGATTGAGACTTCATTTTCTTGTGCACACACTTATTCTTGCTTAGTGCCAGATGAAGCCTTTTGTAATCGCTTATTTATTCAGTACCTACTTTAATCGTAAAAGTGATCTGTTGTTTATCATTTCATTCTAATCATAAAACCTTGCCCGTACGAAAGTTCCTCACTATTTCATAAATATTTACAATAGTATTTGTTCCTATTGTTTGGCAATTCTTTTAAAAACTGGACGGATTTACCGCTTTCTATCTACCTTCTTAGGCATTAAAGATATAAAAGATTTTGTATTATCTTTTGAGTTTTGACCGAAGACTTGATTTTTGAGAATTGTAATAATTCTTCTACGTAACAGCGACTCTGTTTGTTTCGGTGGTTGAAAATATCGCGAAATAAAACTTTACAGAAAAAGTTCTACATTCCAACTCGAGGGAATCTTAACTAGCAAAACTGAAATCTGTTTGAAACCAGAGAAATTCAATAACTTCTCCTTTTCTTTGTAGGTGTACAACGCGCAGTTGACGTCAAAACTGATTTGCTTGCTATTCTTAATGGTTCCCCCGAGCCAATTGTCAAAGAGGACGAAGAGGAACTTATCAGTCTAGAAAAACTTTCGAAGCGCTGTCGGAAAGAGGAGTTGCAAAAGCACTATGCGAATATTAGATTGATACTGCAGTATTCCAACGCCACGCCGATCGGGCGGCACGGCGGCATTGGATACATGTGCAGTTTCTGTGCAGACCAGTATTCGGAGCCTGCCGACCTGAAAAGGCACACCTTGGAAAATCATAAAGGCATCAGCACCGCCAGCTTTACCAGGAGGCACGATCTGAACAGCTACTGCGTGAAACTGGACATAACGGGCCTGAGGTGCAAGCTGTGCCAGAGCGACATCGCCAACACCGAACAACTGATCGAACATCTGCAGAACCACCACAAGGAGAATCTGCACACGGACATAAAGAGTCACATCATATCGTTCAAGTTCGACAGCGCCGACACACTCCGTTGCCACATTTGTTCGAACGAGTTCGTCAAATTCAAAATGCTGTTAGAGCATATGAACATCCACTGCCGAAACTACGTGTGCGACGTCTGCGACGCGGGCTACGTGAACCTAAGGAAGCTGATGACCCACACGGAGGTCCACAAGACTGGCCTGTTCGCTTGCGATTACTGCCCGAAGGTATTCAACACCCTGCAGAAGAAGAAGTCTCACGAGAAGTGCGTGCACACGCACTCAAATGTCCTCAACAAGTGCTGCCTCTGCGGCGAAACGTTCCGCGACTACAGGAAGAAGGAGGCGCACATGATAGAGGCTCACGGCACCCGCTCTCTAACACTCAAGTGTCACGCCTGCGACAAAACCTTCACCAGCCAGAAGGCGCACAGGATCCACACGAAACGCGACCACCTACTGGAGAGGAGGCACGTCTGCACCGAGTGCGAAATGAGGTTCTTCTCCTCGACCGAGCTTAAGGAGCACATGGTGAAGCACACCGGAGTGAGGAACTACCGTTGCGGGGTCTGCTCAAAGTCTTACGGCAGGAAGTGGACCTTGAAGGAGCACATGCGCATCCACGAAGATGACAAGCGTTTCGGGTGCGAGCACTGCGGCCAGGCGTTCGTGCAGAAGTGCAGCTGGCGGGGCCACATGCGCGCGAAACACGGCGTTTTGTTGTTCAATTGATCGGTTACCTTACAGTTGTATATGTCTATATTCCCCATCGTTTATATTTGGAATAAATGTCTATTATTCATCGTTTTATCATCTGTTTCATATTCAAGTTTAACTAATCTGTCGAGTAAGTAACTAAGAGTAACAGTCAAATTTGAAAGGCACAAATCGAAACCACTTTGGTAGTATTTCAACTGCTAAATCTATAACATTCATAGTTGATTAGTTGTCTGACTTTAATTTCAGAAACATATAAAGTAATACTTCACTATATAACTTTGAAATATTTTAGGTACTTATTCCTAATTTTTACAAAGTTTTACTTTTACTCAGCTACTTCCTAAACTACTAGTAAAGTGAATTGTTTGACGCCTAACCACTAATGAAATCATATCTTACCTCTTTGGCGGATTAAACTTAATAATTCCCTCGTCATTTATACGTAATCACGAAATACAAAACGATAAATCGTTGGAGCAAGCAAAGCAAAACCTAGTGCCCAAGATACTATGCTTACTAAACCTAAAAAGTTTAAAACGCAGACGTTACATAACGAATATCGCAAATAAAAAACTTTTTAAAGCTTAAGAGGTAGTTGTCCTTTCATGTCAACAAGTACTGTTGATTCCGAGTTCTTTTCGACTCTATTTAGGCAAAAGTTAATATGTACCTCCGTTTGACGTTAGTTAATCGCAGTTTGATGGAGGGGAATTGAACTTGTATACTTTGCAGCGTTAAATTCTTCGTTAAAGCGTAGTACTAAGTTTTTGTTTGTAACTGATTCCTAGCAGAGTTATAGTGCGTTCTTACAAGTGAATACTTACTGTGAGTCTACAATAATATCTACTAGCGTGGATACAAGAGCGTCGAGGACTAGGAGTGAAAGTTAATCGTAGGAATGATATAACAATTTGTAAAACACTCCGACCTACTTACCGCATTTATGAAATGTATCACTGCTTGTTTCACAATTATTGGGCAATGGTTACCTAGTGCTACCTATTCTTTTTAAAATAATACTTCAGATCAAGTACAATTGACGTCATTTTATAGTATATTGTGCGGCGACAATTTAGAAAAATGGGACTTGTAGATGTCTGGTATATTTCAAATTTATTTGCGTAAAGTATTATTGGAACAATAGATTTGGCAAAAAGCAAGTTTAGAGCAAGTGGAAGAGAATTTGCTTACAGAATAACTGGAATTTGAAAGAAACATTGATTACTTTCGAGAGTTCAAAATTCATTAAACTGTACTTTTCTTTGTAGGTACTCAGCGTACCGTCAAATCAGAAATGAAATATGACGCACTTGTCACAGATCAGACAGAAATCGTACAAGACGGGGACGAAAGTACAGAAATCAAGTCTAGAGTCAAGAAAGGCATAGAGCTGTCGAAGCATCGGATGAACATGAAGGAGATTCTTGCACATTCCAACGCGACACCAATACGCTGTCACGGGGGCATAGGGTACGCTTGCAGCTTTTGTACAGACCAGTACCCTGACCCGGCGGATTTGAAGAGGCACACGATAACCTCCCATCCCAACGTGACCAAATTCATGAAGGGCAAGGACTTGTACAGGTTTCACGTGAAGCTGGACATTACGGGACTGCGGTGTAAGGTCTGCGATGGCACCATCGACAACCTGGAGCGTCTAATCGAGCACCTCGTTAGCGTCCACAAGAGGAACATCCACACAGATGTGAAGAACCAAATATTGCCGTTCAAATTTGACAGCGATACGTTGCGCTGCTTCATCTGCTCGAACAAGTTCCACAAGTTCAAGACGCTCCAGGAGCACATGAACGTGCACTACAGGAACTTCGTGTGCGAAGTGTGCGACGCCGGTTTCGTGACGCGCGGCATCATGATCCAGCACTCGGAGAGCCACAAGCTCGGCACGTTCACCTGCGAGTACTGCCAGAAGGTGTTCAACACGCTCCGCAAGAAGAAGTCCCACGAGAAGTGCGTCCACACGCACTCGAACATGCTGAACAAGTGCGGCTACTGCAACGAGAAGTTCAAGGACTACCGCAAGAAGCAGAAGCACTTGACCGAGGCGCACGGGGTGCCGTCGCAGGCGCTGAAATGCGAGGCGTGCGACAAGACCTTCGTCGGCCAGAAGCACCTGAGCGTGCACATAAAGCGGGTGCACCTGATCGAGCGACGCCACCAGTGCACGGACTGCGAGATGACCTTCTTCTCGCTGGCCGAGATGAAGATACACATGCTGAAGCACACAGGGGTGCGTGACTTCAAGTGCACCGTCTGCCACAAGTCGTACGGCAGGCGGAGGACCCTGCAGGAGCACCTGCGGATACACGCGGACGACAGGCGGTTCAAGTGCGAGCACTGCGGGCAGGCGTTCGTGCAGAAGTGCAGCTGGCGGGGGCACATGCGTGCGAAACACGGCGAGCGGGTTTAGGCATCAGATGTCTAACACAGATGCGTGACGGCGTTGCACCATTCCGCGAGGGTTACGTAACGGTTTGAGCGTAGCTCGTAGCGGATCGAGCCTTCATCGGAGTAATATTCTAAAAAAGCCGTTAACGTTTTTCGTAGGAATGGCTGTTGGGCCGTTCGCGTATCGTTGTTTTTAAATCTGTTATTTTATTTTCAATTTAATAAATGTTGGTACACAAATTCAGTGGTATCATTGGTGGATAGAAAATATTGTTTTTAGTCAAAGGTATTAGGACACGCAATAGTTTTATAGGATGTGTCATATAATGCTTCTGCATTTCGTCTGGAGAGTGCAGTAACCGGCCCACTTTATTAAAAGGTGCCAACGAATCTGCAAGCCAACTGATATTGCAAATGTCTATGGGCGACGGTTATTACTTAACATGAATTAATCCACCAGGTCTCTTGCCACCTTCTCGCATTAAGGAATTGATACTCCTTGTCTTTCCCACGGTTTTGTCTTCTGGACATCTTGGTGACCTATAGTTCTTTGTTTTTGCATCAGAATGCATATAATTTACCCGTCCATTCCATACATTTGCTTCGTTGATGAACTGTACTTCATCCATTTTACTATCAACAATCACATTATTTTATGATCGTTAAGCTATGTTGGCTTTAGTAAGGAGCATATAATACGTATAGTACGTATAATACGTATAATACGTATAATACGTATAGTACATATAATACGTATCGTAACAAAACGTTGATATAGTAAGTAGTCGATGAATGTCGTAAAACTTATTAATATAGATATAAACTCTGATTTTGTATAACATTCATTCGTCGACACGGTAATTTATCCGGTTCGTAGGAATTTATTTATTTCGAACCGAATTTGTTAATTTCTTTATGTTTGATACCGATCTTCAAGAGTTTTTCATATAAAATTTTATGATAATTTTCTCGATTAAATTTTGATTCTTTCCGTTAAATTACTTATACGTAATTCTCTGGATGGACGAAATATTCAAAATACGAGCATAGCATGAATACAAATGAAATATTATTTAAGTTTTAAATTCTTCACCAGACCCTATTGTTCATCAATTTTATATTTTCTTGAATGAACGTTGGAAACTGATGATGGTTTTACAGAGTAAACGAAAGTTTAATGGGTTTTATCAACTTTCGAGGAAAAGGTTTGAATGATTATTAATTTTTATTGCTAATCGCAATGAAAAACTGCCCTTGATATCATGCGTTTTGGATAATCACTGTTTGGATAGTCACATTTTAAAAACGCAATATTCATCTGTCCAGCAGTTTTCCATTTACGATTTGTTATTTTTTTCCAGATATCTCAAAAAATCGGTTAAACCCTAATGGAGGTCGCGTGAGGGACGAAAAACTAGGCACCCTCAAAGGGCCCGCACTCAGAAAGGGGGCGGAAATTGAAAAGCTCAGGGCTAACCTCAACCAAATAATAGCAAACTCCAACGCCACGCCCATCGGTTGCCATAGCAGCGGCGGCTACTCTTGCTGCTTCTGTGCGAAACAGTTCATCACGCCGACCGAACTCAAGCGGCACAACGTCGCGGCGCACGAAGACGTCGCCGGAACGAAATACTTGAAGCAAAAGGACGCGCACAAGTTCAACATCAAAATGGACATCACCGGCCTGCGCTGCAAGCTGTGCGACTCGGAGGTCGACAATCTGGAGCTCCTACTCGAGCACCTAAAGCACGAGCACAAGAGGAAGGTATTCACCGACATCAAGATGCAGCTGATACCGTTCAAGTTCAACGACCACTCCCTCACGTGTTACATCTGCCGCAAGACCTTTCCCAAGTTCAACACGCTGCGCGTCCACATGAACGAGCACTACAGCAACTATAAGTGCCCGGAGTGCGGCGCCGGCTTCGTCTGCCAGTCGATGCTGCACGCGCATGCGCAGATCCACAAGCTGGGCACGTTCCGCTGCGACTTCTGCCCGAAGGTGTTCGCCACCTACCGCAAGAAGAAGTCCCACGAAAAGGGCGTGCACCCGCCGAACGAGCTGAAGAGCAAGTGCTCGTACTGCGACGAGCGCTTCAAGCACTACAGACAGAAGGAGCGGCACATGGCGGAGGCGCACGAGAGCGCGTTCCCGCCGCAGCGGTGCGAGGCGTGCGGCAAGACGTTCTACACGCGCAGCAGCCTGAGCATACACGTGAAGAGGTACCACCTGGTGCACAGGCCGCACAAGTGTCCGCACTGCGAGAAGCACTTCTTCTCGATGGTGGAGGTCCGGCTGCACCTGCCGACCCACACCGGCCAGAAGAACTTCAAGTGCGACATCTGCCACAAGGCGTACAGCCTGAGGAAGACGCTGACCGAGCACATGCGAATACACTTGAACGACCGCCGGCACAAGTGCGAGAGGTGCGGCCAGGCGTTTATTCAGCGCGCCACGTGGCGCGGACACATGCGCGCGAAGCACGGCGAGCAAGTGTAGACCGGTCGCGTCACCTTAATAAACGTTACGTCTCTGTAGCGACTGTTTCATTCGAACGATCCCCATCCTTCTCTGTTTGTTCTATCTGTTCTGTCTGGTTATAAACGGATTTTGCCGCGTGTTAATTTGACTTTAAATTCCCCGTGATCATGAACGCTAGGGTATTATTATTGGTATTATTATTGGTATTGTTAGGGTATAGGGTTCGCAACGTAATTAATCATTTTTTTTATATGTGGGAAGGTGGCAAGAGATCTGGCGATTCACCTGATGTTAAATGATTAACATTTGCTTTCACCCGTGCGGTTGCAAGTGCGTGTCCATCATCTAAATCACGAAATAATATTTTTCCTCGACTCCTGATATTTTCTTTTTAATTTTTGGATCGTTGTTGTTTCTTTCAAAAATGGAATTTTTGGGTCATGGTAGCCGGAAATGATATGACGTCTTTGTAACTTTACTTGTTCATTTATCGCTTATTCCAAATTCCAAGTACGTACTACAGACGGCGGAGTTAATGCCTGTGAGCGTTGCCTCCCAGTCCACGAGGATGAATTCTGGTAGGCGTGCTGTAATCCCATAGAAAACTTTATAAAAAATGGCATTATATCTGTATATATTCATATATAATTAGTTGTTCGGACCATTACCTGCTTTTGTATGTGTACCTTATTTTTTGGTGAAAATGAAACGCTTGCTTTAGAGCGAAGTATACATTTCATCAAACTATATATTCTCCAATTTGCTCCAATACCTTTTGGCATGACATCTTTAGGGCAGGAAAATGATTTTACGCTTACAAAACTTCCGATCTTTGCTGGCAAAAAACAGTCGCTAATGCGAAAAAGCAAACTTTGTTTTGTAAAAGCACGTAGAACCCAGGGCCAAATTTAAAGGTCTGGAGGCCTTGGGGCAACAAAGGAGTGGAGGCCCCTTGGCCCCAAATTATTTTCTATTTATTTATGTTAATATTAAATGTAATGTTTGTACAAAGTACTGCAGGTAAAAGTAAAACGCGAAAAAAAAATATGGAAGAAAAATTATTTACTATTGTTTACTAGTCTGAATTTGATTTTTTTTTTTCCGAAGTCTCTATGGTGGGGGCCACTCGTCTGTTGCGCCGGTTGCCCTCCCGTAAATCCGGTTCTGGTAGAACCCATAAGTTTTATTGAAATTAAAACAAGACGGTTCACGTGATCATGTACGGTTGAATTCGATAAATTTAACCTCTCAGCAATATAAAGAGTCGTTATTCGGCTGTCTGTATCTATCAATACCGTGATTTTGTTTGCATCGGTTTCAACGGGCCTTACAGAACGCGGTGCATCTTTAACATCGGCGGTGACGGAACGGTGTTGTACGGACATTTTGACAAATCGACCGAATCGTCATTGACATGTCGAAGGAGATGTTTTTCAATTTTTACAATTTTCCTATTTAACTTTTAATGCTCATCATAAATTATTTAATGTTGCTATAAAAAAATTGAAGGCAAGAAAAACCTTTAACTAAGTCACCTTATTTTCGTTCGATTTAATATTTATTACTGACGTTATAAGCTTATTTCTGTTTGGAAGTGTTGGAACGTCTCATTAAAGGAACAATTTTCTTTGTAGGTTTACCGCGTACCAAAATCGCTAAACCCCAAGGTCGGGCGACGGAAACCGCCGACGACGGAGGCACTCGTAAAAGAACTTCCGCAAGCTTGGAGTCGGGTCCTAAGGGCCGGATAAAGCACGGTGCTGAGTTGGAAAAGCACCGCACCAACGTTAGGGAGGTCCTGCTGTGGTCCAACGCGACGCCAATACGGTGCCGAGGCGGGATCGGGTACGCGTGCTGCTTCTGCGCGGACCAGTATCCCGTACCCGCGGACCTGAAGCGGCACTGCCTAGAGCGTCACGGCGGCAACGCCATCGCCACGTTCATGAAGGGCCGCGACATGCACGGCTACTTCGTGAAGCTCGACGTGACGGCCCTCCGCTGCAGCGTCTGCGACGAGCCCGCGGACACCCTCGAACACCTGATGGAGCACCTGAAGAGCGCCCACTCGAAGAACATCGACCTCACCATAAAGAACCACATGATGCCGTTCAAGTTCGACACGGAGGAGCTGCGCTGCTGCGTCTGCTCGAACGCCTACCACAGGTTCCAAGCGCTGCAGGTGCACATGAACAGCCACCGGCGGAACTACGTGTGCGAGGTGTGCGACGCGGGCTTCGTCAACCGGCACATGCTGCGCTGCCACAGCGACGGGCACAAGACGGGCGCGTTCGGCTGCGACCGCTGCCCGAAGGTGTTCAAGACCCACCGAGCCCTGAAGCTGCACGAGCGCGTGACCCATTCCCGCAGCATGCCCCACAAGTGCGGCTACTGCGGCGAGCGCTTCAAAGAGAACTTCAACAAGAACGAGCACTTGGCCCGCGTGCACGGCGTTCGAGCGCCCTCTGTTAAGTGTCAGGCGTGCGAGCGCACGTTCGACACGCAGCAGCGCTGGCTGCTCCACATGAAGCGAGACCATCTAATGCTCCGCCAGCACAAGTGCGGCCGCTGCGAGAAGGCGTTCTACGCGAGGCGCGAGCTAACCGACCACATGGTGAAGCACACCGGCCTGAGGGAGTTTCGCTGCGAGCTGTGCTCGAAGTCGTACGGGCGGCTGAAGACGCTGAAGGAGCACATCAGGCGGCTGCACCCGGACGACGATAGGTTCAAGTGCGGCCAGTGCGGCTGGACGTTCGTGCACGCCGCCACGCTCAGGAAGCACGTGGCCGACAAGCACGGATAGGGCACGCGACACGCGAGCGGCTTTGAGGTCAAAGTGATTTTCTTTATTTCTTTGTTCTCTTCCAGCTCAGTGTCTGAAATTGTAATCAGGAGAGCGTGGTTGCCATTTGTCCCTCTTTAAAAGTTTCGTTTCAATGGCAACTTCGATCTGTTTCTATGTATGAATCCAATGGAATATTTTAATTTTAACCTTCACTCACTCATCCCTGGCCATGAAAGTATTTATTTTATATTTGTTTATTGAATGCCATTGGTGTTTTTTTTGTAATAGTTTTTTTTTAATAATATCTTGGTATGTACAAAATGGCAGCATATAATAATGCGTGCGGTAAACAGAGTTCCAGTGCAGGCTTCAGTTGACGGGAACACGCTTGCAAAACACTTGGTGTCATGAGTGTCCTAGAGTTAAACCACGGTAATCGCACCGCTGGCTCTTATACCATCCCTTTAAAATAAAAACAAAGTAGGCTGACAGGTTTACGGCAAGCGAGATTTTTCAGCGCTTCAGTAACATGATGGTTGTGGTCGCCGACAACCGACCGATTCTAGTTCACTAACAACGTTGTTCTCTTTGTAGGTATCGGAACGGTGGTCAGAATAAGAACCGAAAAAAAGAGTGCGGTGACACTGCAGTCCACATCGAAAAGTGAGCCGAGAGCGGAAGCTTCGCTCACCGACGCTAAAAAAAAACAACACAACCTGAGCGTGATCCTCCTAAACTCGAACGCGAGTTCGATCCGCTGTAAGAACAGCCTCGGCTACGGCTGCGCCGTCTACCCCGTCCAGTTCGCGCGGCCCGTCGACTTGAAGAGGCACTTTCTAGACGAGCACAGGAGCGCCCACCTCGTTCACTCGATGTCCCGCAGGATCTTCAAGAACGCCGTGAAGCTCGACATCACCCGGCTGAGCGGCGCTCTGTGCGACGCCGGATTCTCACAGCTCGCCGATCTCGCGCGCCACCTGAGCGGCGAGCACGGCGAGCGTATGCACGCTGACGTCAGGGGCGGCATCGTACCGTTCAACTTCGACACGCCGCAGCTGAGGTGCGCAGTGTGCGCCCCAGAGTACGCGACCTTCAAGCTCCTGCAGGAGCACATGAACTCGCACTTCGGCAGCCGCCCGTGCGAGGTGTGCGGCCGCTGCTTCCTAACGGAACGGCTGCTGCGGGGCCACGTGAGGCGGCACGGCGACGTCGTCCATAAGTGCACGAAATGCGAGAAGAGCTTCACCGCCAAGAGGCGCGAGCACGAGAACAGGACCCATCTCGGGCTGAGCAAGCGGAACAAGTGCCGCTTCTGCGACGAGCGCTTCCTGGACTACTGGAAGAAGGTCGGCCGCATGGTGGAAGCGCACGGCTCGCCGCCCGTGGTGCTCAGCTGCCGGAGCTGCGGGCGCAAGTCCGACAACCAGCGCGCGCTGTCGAGGCACACGAAGAGGGACCACCTGCTGGAGAGGACTGCTCGCGTCTGCGAGATGGCCTTCTTCTCCAGCAGCTGCCTGCAGAAGCACATGGCGAAGCACACGCGCCTCAGGCAGTACAAGTGCGACGTGTGCGGCAAGTCGTACGCGAGGATGAACACGCTGGGGCGGCACATGGTCACACCCGAGCGTCGGGCGGTTCAAGGCGGTTCTGCGCTCCGTGCAGAAATGCAGCTGGAGATGCCACGTGCGGTCGCAGCACGGCGGAACCGTTTAGCGGCCGACTGTAAATTTCTATATCGCAATAAAACACCTTTAAATATGCTCTTGGATTTTCATTTTAACTTGTTATGTCAATAAATGTTTGCGGACACATTTCCACACAACGTTCTCTAGTCCCAAACTAAGCAACGCTTTTATTATGGGTACTAGAAAACTGATAAACATACTTTTCTTTTTTAAATAAATACATATTATACATATACGGGAGACTTTTCTAAATGTGCCCAAATTTACACAGGAGGTTCAGACTTAGTAGTATAATCGTAAAATTTCACTTTTCACGCACACAAGTTCGTTTATGTGCAAGTGATAGTTATGAATGATCGCGCGTAATATATACGAGTTGTGTATAAATCACGCAATTTTTGAGATAAATTTAAATGAATATATTTAATTACTTACGAGTGATTTAAAATATAACATAATCTATGTCTAGAATTTAATTTAAAAAAAATGGATACTCTTAGAAAAGCCTATGTTCATCACAAAATATTTTCTCAGTAGATAGTGCAATAGACAGGCCAACCCCCACGCCAACGGGTCATCTGTTAAAGACTGTTATACAGCGTGTCGTTACCATCGCGACAATAAATGAACACACGTCTAACGCTACTTGCCAATAATCATAAAAAATATTAACTTTGAACAAAATCCATAATTAAAAAAAAATATTTTTCAAACAAAATAATTAAGTAAAAAAGAAACAAAATTTGTAACATCCTATACAACTCGCGCCATAGCGTCGCATTACAAGCCTCTCCTAACAGTATGTTTTGTATCTTTTAAATTCATTCAACCCATTCATATGCTTTGTGACCTTTACAAATTACGGTACAGTTTTATACGTAAGGGTGTTCTAAAATTGTTTTTTTTTTGGAAAATTTTATAACTCGGTAAATATTGATGTTTAAAGAATGTAAATGTTTAATACAATTTTAAAAAGTTATCGTCTATATTTGTGTTCATTTATTGTCGCGGTGGTAACGACACGCTGTATATAACGTGTTTTAATATTCCTCTTACAGAGGCGTATCTCAGCGTCCGGGCGCTCGCAATTTACACAAGCAACCCGAATTCGATCCCCGGTGCCGCCACCAATGAAATTAAAACATGTAGAAAAAGTACGAAAAGATTGTCGCCGCTGTGGGAATCGAACCCACGTCTTCGGCATTCGCGGCCTGACGCTCTAGCCACTGAGCTAAACGGCTGATAGCCACAGCGAAGAAAATCTTAACGCCTTCTTTCTACATTGTTTTTTAGCATTTGAAGCAATGCTTGGCGCATCTATTGTTATATCCTTTCCAGCATACAAACAATTTCGAATATCGTTTTACAACGATAATTCGAACGAGAGATGTCGCCATTGCTTTTTATACATTTTAAAGTTTTTTATAGTGCTAATCTCTGCACTTAAGATTGAATATTAAAACATGTAGAAAAAGTACAAAACGTGGGTTCGATTCCCACAGCGGCGACAATCTTTTCGTACTTTTTCTACATTTTTTAATGTTCAATCTTAAGTGCAGATATAAGCACTATAAAAAACTTTAAAACCAATGAAATTGTTAATTTAAGTGTTCAGTGGTGAAGGAAAACATCGTGAGGACGCCTGCATATTTTAGCAAATAACAAAAAAATATTTCGAAGATATGTGAAGTCCGCTAATCCGCACTGGGGCCACGTGATAGATTATGCCCCTATACCCTCTGTACAGAGGAGGCCTTCGCCCAGCAGTTGGGCATGTATAGGCTGTTATTTTACTTTTTTAACCGACTTGAAACGGAGGACGTTCTCAATTCGACTGTATTTTTTTATGTTTGTTACCTCGTAACTTTTGACTAAGTGATTTTGATGATTCTTTTTTTATTTGAAAGCTGGTGCTTCCCATGTGGTCCCATATTAATTTTATTGTTATTAGATCTTGGGCTCCGGAGATACTTTGAGAACTCGCGAAAATTAATTACAAAATGAATACAGAGCGAGATATTTGAGGTCGGTTTTGTTTTTCCTTAGGAAAAAATGTTTATTACTTATATAATCTAAACTAATATTATAATTTTGATTATTAGGATATGTTTTTATATTAAAAACGCAAAATTTAGTTTACAATGTTAGTAAAATTCCGTCATACATATCAAAAATTAAGAGCTTGCTAAAACAGTTACTAATTTGCAGTAACAGTTATAGTAAAACTTTAAATCTCGAGTACCGAGAAATGTTCATTCAAATACTCAATTTATAGGTCTAAAATTTTAAATTAATTTCGCATTTTTTTATACTAATGTTCACAACATTGCAGATGTGTAATTTTTGTACGTTAGAAGGAATAAACTCAAAAACTTCGGCACCCGATTTCAAAAATTCTTTTACTAATGGAAAGCTACCTTATCAACGAATAACATTAGCTATATTTTATACCCGTATTTTCGTGGAAACGGGAACTACGCTATATTTGTGCAATGAAAATTAACTGAGCTATCACAAAAAAAAAAAGGCCAGGGTGAAGTGCCCGTTACTGATACATATACTTACACTTGAACACACTGAAGAGATTTTTACTTACGATTAAATCGATAATTTTTATATAGGATCATTATGTATAAAAATTAACGCATCACACCGAACACATTTAGGCAAATCGTATTTCAACCATTAAGAGAATAGCGAAAGATGATGCCACGAAGATTCCGCCCAACTGTGGTGAAATGACTGAGTTTTTTGTTCGTAGGTGGCCAACGTAAGAAAGCGAACAAAGCGATCATGAGAAATGCTACAGAAGCAACCAATACAGAGGCACGTAGTGTACTCAGCGATGAAGCAAAGCCGAAACCGATTAAAGAGTTCAAAAAGCACCAAGAGAACCTCAAATTCATCCTGCAGTACTCGAACGCGAGCTTGATACGGGGGAAGGACAGCGATGGGTACGGTTGCAACTTCTGCCCGAAGCGTTTCCAATTGCCGCGCGATCTCAAAGCACACTCGCTCCACGAGCATAGCGACGTCCAGGCCATTCGGCTGCCGAAGTTCACCGACTACCTCCTGAAACTGGACATCACTGGCCTGACGTGCAAAATATGCCACGGAAACTTCGAGATGCTCGACCAGTTCACGACACACCTGCGCGACGACCACGCCAAGGGTATGCACACGGACGTGAACAGCGAAATCGTCCCGTTCAGATTCGACACGGACTCGCTCCGCTGCGCCGCCTGCCGGGCGCAGTTCGGCAGCTTCAAGACGCTGCAGCAGCACATGCACGTACACTACGGCAACCACATCTGCCACACGTGCAACGCCGGCTTCGCGACGCGGCGGCGGCTGGCCGGCCACGAGCGGCGGCACGGCGCCGGCTGCCACCGGTGCGGCCACTGCGAGAAGACCTTCGCCTGCGAGGGGAGGAGGCGCGACCACGAGCGGAGGATCCACCTAGGCCTGAAGAAGCGCAACAAGTGCCAGCACTGCGACGAGCGATTCGCCGACTACTGGACTAAGGTTGATCACATGGTCCGGTCGCACGGCGTCCCCCGCGTGACGCTGAATTGCCTCGCTTGTGAGCGCACCTTCGACAACAGAAGAGCGCTCACGCGCCACGTGAAGAAGGACCATTTGCTGGAGAGGGAGCACGCCTGCGACGTCTGCGGGATGCGCTTCTACCTGAAGCACCGCCTGAAAGACCACATGCTGGTCCACACCGGCGAGAAGCGGTTCCAGTGCAACGTGTGCGAGCGGTGGTACGCCACGCAGAAGTCGCTGCGTCAACACCTCAGGACGCACGCGGACGACCGCCGCCACGTTTGCCCCGTCTGCGGGCAGGCCTTCGTGCAACGCAGCACCCTCGCGAATCATATTAGAGCTAAGCACGGAGCGGAGAGCTCCATACGCTGAAGGAATCCCGGAATGCTTGAAGCGGTTTGGTCGCTTGATGTTTGGACGAGAATTGAGAGTAAAATTCCGAAGACCCGTCACGCTTAGACATGTTTCGTTACGCGAGGGAGAAGGAAAACGTAACTTGGAGAGATCGATGTATACACTTAATAAAAATCGATAGAGTAAGATAGTTTCGCACTGTGTAATTAATATTTATAATTGTGGTTTGCGTTTAGACTGTTCTGTGTCTGTGATTTCAAAATAAATTCCAAAATTTGGGTAAACAACTATTTAATAATATTTATACGATGCCATAATCATAAATTACATTATAGAAATAAATTCTAAAGAGTTCCGAAATTGAAATTATAGTGTTGAAAACAACAAGGATTCAGAATAGGAATTAATATTTAATGTAGAATACCTATGTCTTGAATTAAATTCTAATAATTTTGTCATAAATAAGTTGTCATTTTAACTGCGTTAATTAACTCACGTGAAATCACTCACGTAAATAAGTTATAACCACAAATACTATACATAGTTATAACACAGTATATATTATAAACAATTGTTTACAACTCGGTTAATTAATTACCAACTTAACTTACTTAAATCTGCTTGAAGCTTAGGGATTGTTACGCAAGCAGCTGCTTTAGGATATACAATATAGAAATCTTTACCCTACAATACATACACCTAAATTAAACTCTTAGGATCAATAATTTGTTTCCAGCCTTGCTTATTTTAATCACACTTATGTGGAGTTACAGAAATACTCTATGGTTTTGGGTAACTCCTAGATTTCATAATTATATGGCACACCTAGATTATATCTATCATCCTAAGAAGATCTCATTTTTATTTAATACAATACATTTTGCTATCATAGAAATGATTTAAAGATTTGATTTACTCATTTTTGCCAAAGTCAAATTCATAAAATTAATTCCAAGCACACCAACACTGCAAGATAAAACGTCACAATACGGTAAGCTTATTCTACATAAAACGGAACGTAACTAATAATAAAAAAGTTGCGTTTTCGAACGTCAGGATTTAAAAAAAAAGAAGCAAAATATAAGCTTTATTAACGAATTGTACTGTTTAACTGCCTGGAGAAAATCTATCATTAAAAATTAAACACGACGTAAATAGTTTGTTGATAGAGTATAAATCTACTTTCATATAATTCAAAGATCATTCAAACCAGTTTTTCCAAATAAGACCAGTAGTCATTTTAATTGTGGTTTGTAGTGGTGGCGAGTGTGGTCAATTTTTTAGTGTGGTAGAGCAATGCAACAATCATCGCGGTTGCACGAATGGGTAGAGGTCCGTCCGGGGAAGTACCAGGACCTCACAGAAGATCGGCGTGGAGTAGCTAAAATAAGGCTATCATGCCTATGTTACTGTAATTTGATCTTTAAAAAAAAAGCTTTTTGCTTGCGCTGTCTCTTCTCAATAGAAAGTGCCTTCCGAATCGGAGATAACTTATATACGAAGTAATGTATCAATTATATATTGAATTATGTATGTATTATATATTTAAAATTAGGCGTTTCATAAGAATGCGCAAGCGTCTATTTGATTAAAGATATTATGAATGTCCATGGATGGCGGCTATCACTTAACGTCGGGTGAACCGCCAGGACCTTGCTCACATAAAAAAATGGACGCCTACGGTGAGTCCATTTTTTTATGTGAGCAACACTTGCTCACATAAAAAAATGGACTCACCGAAGGCGCGTAGCCATCCTTCCTTTGAAACAGAGGCAGCCATACAAAAGACAGCTTCCCATTACAGATAGGAAGAGCGCGAGCGGAGACGCCACCCGCGACAAGGGAATCACTCTCGCCAGGGCAAATTTCGCCACGCTCATCGACATCCCGCCACGGCATCGGCCCAAACAGCAAGCGGCCGCGCGGAGGGCCACCGAATTGGACTTTCAGTTCGACAACATAAGGTCTATTCTGCGTTGCTCGAACTCCACGCCGATCAGCCGCCTGCACGGTGGACTGTACGTCTGTGGCTACTGTCCGGACGGCTTCCCGACGCCTGGCAAATTGAAACAGCACACACTGGAAGCGCACGGCTCGGACAAGCCCGAGTGTCTCAGAACGCCGTCCCTCTCCAAGTACATCGTACTCCTGGACGTGACGGCGCTGGCCTGCCGCCTATGCGATGACGTCATACGCAGCCTTCCCGACCTGATGCGCCACCTGGAGAGCGCCCACGCGCAGCCGATACACACGGACGTGAAGAGCCATTTGGTGCTCCTCGACCTCCCGGAGCGGACGATGCGGTGCCCGCAGTGCGGCGAGCGCTTCGCAGACTTCGAGGCCCTGGTAGGGCACGCGAGCTCGCACAATAGGAATTATCCTTGCGAGCTGTGTGTAGACAGATGGTTCGTGAACAAGCACCTCATGATGGAGCACAAGAGGGCCGTGCACTTCTTGTGAGGTCCGATGTTGCCGGTTTCTATTGATGAATAAAATTTAATAAACACTCGTTGTTTTACTTTGAATCTCATTAGAGTATGGTACAATGAATTCGATGCTACTGCGACTAATTCTACAAAAAATTAAGAAGAATTGAACTTCTCCATTGTTATTTTTGTATATACGAGTAGAAAAAACGTATTTCCAATACAAAATTCCCAATGTAGAACATTAAAAAGTAAAATAGAACTACTATGTCGAAACAGTAAGACCTTAAATCCAAAACGATAAATTTAGTGAATTAATTTTATAATTTATTTATGCAAAATGAAATTTGATCCATTTTTTTATTTGATTTTGATTTAAAATTGTTCCAAATTGAAGAAGTGAAGAAAATAAATAATTAGCAGGACATATTTTACACAAAGTTATCTAGCCCCTAACTGAGCAAAGAACAGAAGTAACAGATAAATAAATATTACCCAGACGCTATGAAATTACTATGTTCATTACAAAATATTTTTCCAGTAGTAGGGATCGAACCCTCTGGCGCAAGACACATTTGCACTCACTACGCCAATCGAGACGTTAACTCATTCGTTTAACTGCACCTGTAATTACGAACATTATACACTAATTAAAGATCCAATTTGTCGAGACAAAAGCCCACCAACAATAATCAGGTGCAGACGACGTCATCCGTCATACCCATCTGGACGAATGAAAACGTGGCTTTTTTCCAGGTGGCCAATCGCCCGGCATCCGCAGCAAGCCGAGGATAGCGTACATCGAGATCACCGCGGAGCCGATCAAGCGGGCCAGTTCAGAGGGCGAGCGGCCGCGCCGGGTGCAGATACTGCTGCGCAAGAAGAACGAACTCGACCTGCACATGAGCAACCTGAAAGTGATACTGGACAATTCGAACGCGACCACGATCCGGTGCCGCGGCGGCGTCGGCTACGCGTGCTGTTTCTGCGACGAGCAATACCCCGACCCGGCGGACCTCAAGCGACACACGACCACCCACCGCGACGTCTTCGAGTCCAGCTTCATGAAGAGCCAGGCGATGCCGACGCTCCTAATCAAGCTGGACATCACCGGCCTCCGCTGCAGCAACTGCGGCGAGCAGCTGCCCGAGCTGGAGGACCTGCTCGCCCATCTGGAGAGCGAGCACGGCGTCCAACACCACCGCGGCATCGACAGCCACATAGTCCCGTTCCGCTTCGACGGCGACGCGCTGCACTGCGTCGTCTGCAAGCGCGCCTTCAGCAACTTCAAGGTGCTGCTCGAGCACATGAACACGCACTACAGGAACCACGTGTGCGGCGTGTGCGGCGCGGGCTTCGTCAACCGGCGCATCGCGCAGATGCACGGCTACCGGCACCCGACGGGCGTGCACCGCTGCTCGTACTGCGCGAAGGTGTTCGACAACCGCGTGAAGCTTCGCGCCCACGAGAGGGCGGTGCACGTGTGCTTGAACAAGCGCAGCCGCTGCGGCCACTGCGGCGAGCGCTTCTCCGACTACACGAAGAAGCGCGAGCACGAGGTGAGCCGCCACGGCGCCAAGCCGCTGGTGCTCGCCTGCTGCGCGTGCGAGCGGACCTTCGACAACCAGCGCACGCTGTCGCACCACGTGAAGACATACCACCTGATGGGACGCTAGCTGGGGGGGATGATTGGAGAATATGATACGGCCCTGGCGGAGGAATAGGAAAATTTAAGGTCCGTTGCACATTGTTCAAAATATCCTTCGTGCGTTTCATAAATAAGACATTTTCGCAACGTTGCGTTTCGCAACAATCTAAAAAATCTAATATTCATCAAAGATGTAAGTGTTACGATTAAGAGGTAGGGGTGATTCTTCGCAGAAAAAAGCAAAGGCATGTACTGGGTCTATTTGCAAATGTCGTTGCTTTAAACCCGGCCCAGATATGAAAACATACTTTTGTTTTGTCCTATTTGCGTACATAGTTGCCGAGCTTCAAAAGATCAGGTAAACGCATGCAGCATTAACATTTAATCGTTGTACCTGACAAGCCTGACATGATTGGTTATCATGATAACCATAGTATATGATGACGTCACTATTCATATACGTATTTGCAATGAAAGAAACCATAGAAATATCGCTAAAGCTAATTAATTATAAGAAAGGAATCGACAGGTCGAACCTATTTTCGCGAGTTTTTATAACGCCGCGAGAATGAAAAACTGAATGTGTTCTTATAACTTTATTCGGCTAGATGCCGTGTAATGGTCCTATCCACTGTCACACCTGTCTCAGAGGGTGTGGACAGTGCCGGATTAGCCACATAGCAAGAGTGGCAATTGCTACGGGCCCCGTGCCCAAGGGGGCTTCCGCACATAAAACCCATTCATATCTGCCAGAGCCTAAATCATTTGAGTGAAACTGATTAATTATGTAAAAGTATTGATTTGATTCATAACACTATTCTTAAGAACACAGCAGATCAAGGGCTGTTCGAAAGAACTTACTTAATCCGGCACTGGGTGTGGATTCATACACATGTACAAATTTACTTACACTGCATAGTTGCGTGTTGTTAAGCAAACGGTTCGACCGCAGTGGAGGTTATTGTCAAAACTAATGGGCATTCGCAACACCAGAGGAGTCACCAATACGAGGCCTATGAGGTAGAAATGGGCTCCCTTTGTATGTTTCCTTAATCGTATCGGTCGCAAAATACTGCTGACGATGACGTCGACTGATACGACAAATACACATACGACCATTAAGGTGGTATCGATGGTATTTTGTCGTATAATTGTGAAACTCCACATCATGTATTCATTCGAACAATTCTTCGCAGCTCCAGCAAACTTAAAAATGAAACGAAAAAAAATGAAACGAAAACGCCATAAAATAGTTGCCAAAGTTTTGACTTCGGCGTCGGGATTCAACACGAGACAACATATCTGGGTGTATGTCCGTGTGAAAAATAATGTTTGTAGAACGTCCTTGGTATATAGGATAATGTTAGCCTAAATAAGGGCGATAATTAAAAAAAAAAACGCTTTAAAATTGTATAATATTCGCGTAAAAACAATAATTCAAAGATCACCTCTATAATTTTACTTGAATCAAATTTGCTTTGGCATTGGTCAAAGAGCAAGTAAGCGCTTTGGCCTAAACTTTTGCGTGCAATAGAATTCGGACACCTTTGTAGATAGATAATTGCCATTAGATTACGAGTATTATATATATTTAAATATATTCCAAGAGTTTAACAAAATGTATTGATGTTACGATGTAATGTGATGTAGAGTTAGTATATAGCTAATGCTTAAATATTATAAGATTAAAATATACAATTTTTTCTTAATGACTGTGTTTCCACTCCATTATAGAAACGTACCTACATATAAAACGACAATTATATTAAAGATACATATTTCTATATATTTATTTTAACCTTAAAATCTTATTTACAAGTTTTTAAGTATTTATGTAAGTTAGTCGTTTTTTAACGCCGTCTATTGTTCACTAAGTTTTATTTATTATACAATTGGTTAGAATGGGGTAAATAAATACTTATTTAGAGTTAACGTTGTTCATGTATATAAATAATTACAATGAATAGAGGCAAAACTTCATCAATATTTCATAAAATAAATATTAAAATTAAAAAAAAAAAAACTATGAAAATAAAATGTACTGCGTAAATGTAAGTGCGTATTACAAAATCCTATCATTTTGTTATTTAATTGTTTTTGTTTCCTGTTAACAAATTTTTCGGCAGAACTAACCTAACCTACTGTTTTTCTTATGAAAATAAATGTATAAAAAATAGTTATAAAAACAACTTGTGCATTCTGACCACCAAATTTGTGCAATGCCTATTATGTTTGTCTTTTTATATTGGATTTAATGTTTGCCTGCAGAAAGGGAAAAAAATTAAACTCACGGAGCACTTTGTACAAATCACAATTTTATTTATGTATTTACAATGGATGAGCCGCGACGCGCGACCCAACGTTACAAACCTAGGATAACATATAAATATATTTTCTTCATAAATCATTATGCTAAAACATAGGAAATGTGGGGCCGTTCGGGGCTCGCAAGTGTAGACAGGTTAGAAGAGGCACGGTTCGAATCACGCGTTTTTGTCGCGGATATGTGCACGGCACGATTTTAGACTTACACGTGCCGCCGTGTCACGTCGGGCCCAGCTAAAGTTATGAAAAAAATTGACACAGTGCACAAGTACTGACGGATTTATTTCGGAAATATTTAAGATTAATTTGGGATAATACATAAAATAGTTCCTGATTGAACTCACCCCGTAAATTGAACAAATTAAGACACGAAATACACGACAGCATGGTAAAAATAACAGATTATGGCAATAATATTGTTTTATTATATGACATGACGTCAAGTGTCACGAATCCGTGCACAAAACCGTATCCACGAAAATGACCCATTCGCTTCACAAAAAATCTGAAGTTTACAAAAACACTCCCCCAAGTTAATACTTAAAAATAACAGTACCAAAAGTTGAATGAAACCGATCTTCACGATACAATTGGATCGAGTTTCGTCAATCGATAAAATAAAATCTGACGACATTTCATATTGACGCCGAATTGAATATATAATGTTCATTTGCACAACAGCGGTCATCGGAGATATGTCTTAGCCGAGACATATGGAAGTTATTACATTTTCGTTCAATTAGGTCAAGAACAGCCTTTCGAGTAAGGACGCTAAAGTATCACTTGAATTTTCCCCGTATGCGGCAATTAAAAGTAATACGCAAATTTGAATAAATAATATAGTCGTAAAACTAAAATTTCGATATGTAATAGAAGTTTGCAAACAAAATTGTTATAGATCCGGGCGCTGTAACTCTGTGCGGGTGTCAGCTATCATTCTAATCACGTTATTGCTAGGACCAACGTTAACGTAAACGTTCCTTGGTCGTCTTACCACAGACAATAAATCGTAAATTGTTTCTTTTTAAATTCACAATTTGGATTTGTATTCAAATGGATATTAATGAATTGGATGAATTGAATGGATTAGCAAGCATATTCATAATAGGTACATTCTCAAAGAATTTCGTATTATTCAACGTATTCATTATAATGACTATAATAAATAAGGTTATTTTCCGAATGAAATTACGAATATTATTTCCGTTTTTAATGGATACTAAATAGTGAAACCTGAGAATCGATAATCGAAACCGACTCATTCGATTGAAAGTTGTTCAATCTCTAGTCACGTAAAAATCTCACCTATCACCAGCACCAAGTTACAAAGCAAGGACATCACAATTTTTGGGAGGAGTTCATAACGTTGTCATTTGTGCTTACATAAGAGAAGTCCCTCATTTATGAATAATGTAAAGTTTGTTTATCATATACTTGATTGATCGGGCTAACTCCATGACCAAACTTATCGGCGCCAGCGATCACCCCGAAAATTGTTTGGACACCCAACTAAGTGAAATTCAACACCTCAACGCGTCGCCACATGACGCAGTACGCCAATAGATGGCGCTGCCTACGGAAGGGCGAGTAGAACTCTAGTCAATTAAAAAAAAAAAAACGAACACTAGAATTAAAATCAGTCCGTCCAATAGATCCGTCTATGGTCTGAAGATTAAAAACTATAAACGACTTAAAACTAGCGACGCGCGACTCGCACAGATTACACAGTAACAGGAGAAGAAAAAATTGACGTTTTCTCTACCTAAATAGTTAATTATATATATTAGTAAACAATACAGATCGGTTAAGTGAATGACTCGTGTTTCATGTTTGCCGTTCACTCGTTCGACTGAACGAGTGAATGGAAACTAGTGAAATGAAAGGATTAACTGCTGTATGTGAATGAACACGAAATATTTACAGTTTATACTATATGGAGGAAACACTGAAAAGTTGCGTTTAGTTGTCGCTTCTAAAACTGTCTCCCATCAACGGAGGGCGCTGTGATTCTACAAAGTTCACAATAAAAGATTCGTCAAAATGAGGAATGTATCAGACAGTGGAAATTCGACATTATACAAATCGCTGCTCAGAGAAAATGGGGCGAAAGTCAAAAACGGCGGTGACACACGCGCCATTTTGTCCCTATTTTTGTTCAAGTCAAAAACACAGCCGAACACGCGTCCACCGCACTGTGCGGTGATCAACATCGCTCTGGTGAATAACATAGCACGTACAACTAAAAACTATAACAATACATAATTACATGCGAAGTGTGTGTGTTTGTAATATCGAGTATCCGTCCGAGATTTCACCCATAACACCGTCGGAGACGTTACAACTCATGCATGCGAACACGTGACGAAATTTCACTTTCACTTCCCATGTACAGTGTACCTCAGCGGTGCGTTCTGACGCCTCCTCTCGAATGTTCCACGGCGCAGTTATGACGTCATCACGTGTACAATCGGAGGCGCGCGCGCGCAGTGACGACTGTACTTCAGTGGTGCGTCCGTACGCCTCGAATGTTCCACGGCGCAGTTATGACGTCATCACGTGAATAATCGGAAGCGCGCGCGCGCAGTGATGACTGTACTACGGCGGTGCGTCCGTACGCCTCTCGAATGTTCGACGGCGCAGTTATGACGTAATCATGTGTACAATCGGAGGCGGGTGTGCGCGGCTGCGACTGTACCCCTGCTGGGCGTTCGGACGCCCTCTCGCGGAGGCGGCAGGGCGCAGTTATGACGTCATCATGTCGTTGTTCGGCGGCGGGGCGCTGACGCTGGCGCCCTTAAGTAGGTCGTTGATGTCCCGACGGAACATCGACAGGTTCTGCGTGAACCTGGAATTTATATGTTTATGTGTTAGTATTTTGACAATCATTAAGTAAAAGTAAGTTCGCTTGCTCGCTTCTATATTGAATAAAGATATTTGAATTTAAATTCTTAATTGCAATTAAATTGTTGTTTGAATTATTAAATTTGGTGAACAATTATGAAAGTTTGGCGATCCGATAAAGAAACACCTTGGGCAATAATATACAGAGGTAACAGAAGGCTAGCTTAATGCATTTTGGCATTGCCAGTCAGCCCGGGCTGGAAGATAGATTGTGGTAGGTGTAATATTCAGTAGTATTTTATAATTTAAGTAGCATTGGAATCTGAGTTGCAAGGGTTTTACGGGACCGTGGTTTGAACATTTCCACTTTCCTGTGGGGGTCTTCCGCTAGCCAGGCTGCTGTGCTTCTTCGCTAAAGTCGAAAACAGGAATCGCGGCTGCAGCGACATTTTGTCTGTCTGTCCGTCCTTCAGCGGGCTGTATCTCATGAACCGTGGTAGTTAGAAAGTTGAAATTTTCACAGATAATGTATTTCGTACGGTACGGTACGGGAACTCTTCGAGCGGGAATTCGATCCGCTCACCGGTCCCGGTTCTTAATGAGCAGGTCGGGCTCGAGATATTCCGCAATTTGTGCCTATAGAGAGGGCAGAAGGAGACGGGGCGATGGGTCGCATCGCCGTCTCCCTCTCGCTCACCGGTCCCGGTTCTTAATGAGCAGGTCGGGCTCGAGATATTCTGCAATTTGTGCCTATAGAGAGGGCAGAAGGAGACGGGGCGATGGGGCGCATCGCCGTCTCCCTCTCGCTCACCGGTCCCGGTTCTTAATGAGCAGGTTGGGCTCGACATATTCTGCAGTTTGTGCCTATAGAGAGGGCAGGAGACGGGGCGATGGGGCGCATCGCCCCCTCCCCCTCGCTCACCGGTCCCGGTTCTTGGTAAGCAGGTTAGGCTCTATGCCGGCCATCAGCCCGCCGAACCAGTGCGCCAGCTGCGCCTGCTTGTCCCTCGGCTGGCGGGCGATCAGCTCGGCGCGCAGCCGGCCGAACTGCTCCTCGTTGAGCAGCACCAGCCCCAGCAGCGGCCGCGACATCGACCACTGGTTGCAGCACTCCTCGAACATCACCACGTTCAGCACCTGCGGGCGGGAAACGAGGCGTTGGGCCCTTGCAACACGGGACAATGTTATCCCAAAGTGAGGGCAATGTTTTAGAGATTTCTAATATTATAAAGGCGAAAGTAACTCTGTCTGTCTGTCTCGCTTTCACGACCAAACTACTGAACCGATATAAATGAAATTTGGTACACAGATAGTTTAGAGATGGGACAATTTAGGGTTCTTAAAGGAGATAGATATTTATTTAAGGGCTTCAACGCGAGCGAAGCCGCGGGCTAGAAGCTAGTAGGGTACAAGTGTGTGTGTTTTATTTTTATGTGAGAAGATGGCACGCGAACAAGCGGTTCAACTGATGTCGAGTGATAACCGCCGCCCGTTGACATTTGCAACACCTATAGTCTTGCAGATGCGTTGCGATGATGGCCTTTTAATAAAGTGGGCCCTACGCCACTCACCGGAAGAAACACAAAAGTGCAACACTTCCACCCGTGTTCTACGAGGTGGTGATACTTACCCGGACGGATCTGCCCATTCGTGCAACAGCGAACAGTATTCGTGTACCACTTTGTTAAGAGGCGGCAACGCATCTCCAAACCTACGGATGTTGCGGATGTCCATTGGGCGGCGACTATCGCTTAACATCATGGGAACATCTAGCTCGCTTGCCGTCTTTTCACACACCAAAAAAGTTGATCCAACTGCGTGTGCCGGTTACTTCGCTGTGTACGACGTATATCTGCTAGTAGTAGTCGCCCATATGTCAAAGTTCGACCGTAATTCGTTAAATTTTAAATTCTAATAAAAAAAATATTTTTCTCAGGTTACAATATAGACAACAGACAACATATGTTCGAGATTCTCAGTATAACTTAACATAAACATTATTTTTTGCATTTATATACATTTTGTTTAAAAAGTTTAGCTTTTTTTCACTTTGCATATTAAAATTATCCATTATAATTATGCCAAATGTCACGCATTCGCGAAAATGTATCTAGAATTTTCTCTTCATTGGTTAATACATAGTTAGCGTATATTTAATTAAAAAAGAAAAAAGTTTCAGTACGTATAAGCAATCACTTAGCAGCAATAGACGAGCTTTGCTTGGTTTGGCACTAGATGGCGTTATTACTTATTCACCTATTATAATAAATGCTCAAGTGATTTTCAAGAAATTTAGTATGTGCGTAGATTTGGGGGCGAAAAATCGATCTGACTAGGTTTCATTTTTAGAAAATATTGTTTTATTCTAGTTTTCAGGGAATGAAAAATATTATTCGAATACGACGGTAAATTTCACCGAAAAAAAAATGTTATAATAGCTCGGTCGGTAATCGGGCGCCGCTAACAAACAGCCACGCCTATTTTTTTACTTTTTTTTCGATTCCAGATCATTGCTATCTTTATCTTTTATTTTTTGTCGATTTGTTATTTTTTTTCCCTTTTTTTTTTAAAGATCTTTCTTTTGTGAAAAACACCACTTCATATTTTCTTATTATTACGTCGGTAAGATCGAAACATATTATGCATATTTCATTACTTAGTAATTTGTATCTAAATTTAATTTCCAAAAATATCAAATCGTGTATTTACCAAAAAAAAAAAAAAAAAACAAAACAAAGCTCGGTCCTCCAGGTACTGAGTTTATATGTATGCATGTGTGACATCTCGAGCTCACCGTGGCGAGGAGCTGCTGCATTATCTCGGGCCGCCTCTGCAGGACCTCGATGAACATGTTGCTGGTCTCTGGCCGCGGCTGGCGGGGGTTGGACACCTTGTTGCTGGCTGGAATGGGATACGCACGATATGCAAGGGACGGGCGATCAAAAATCGAAGTAGAGAGCAATCGGTCCGCTATTTCCAATCGTCGTTTTATCATCGAGTGTCTTGGAGGGGAAGTGGATATTTGATTTAAACGGAACAATCTTTACAAACTTTATCCACTGGCAACATTTTAAATTTTTTCACGTTCCTTGCGGCATTCAGAACTGGATACACAACACAAACAACAGTAACATTTATGTGTGTGTGGGCGGCTGCTACTGTCTTCGTGTTCGTACAGCGATAAAAGTGAGTGAGAAGGACTATGCGGAAATTGAAATGTGAGTGAATAAAGCAATTTAATTTTAATTTTTTTAACGCTCCTTTGGAGTTCGTAGGCGGCACTATGCAGTCAACAATTTCCAAGTTAAAGAGTAGGGCGCGACGCGAGTTTTACTCTCTCATTCGCACCACAGCGCAAATCGCTCTATCTCGCTCGCACTGGATGTCGGTGGACTGTACAGTCGCGAGCAAAAGTGTTATTTGGTTCCGTGATTTATTAATAGAAACTAGCATTGTCAAGCGTTGCAATTCCGTTTGTATAAAAAGGCTTTTACGATAGTCGTTTAGCCTTTGCTTATAGGATAGATGTACGAAGAAAAATATTTCTCGAAGTACTTCATCACAACCAAACGAATGGTTTAGAAACGCGTTTGGACCAACATACAAAGGTTTATTTCTATTCTGAAGACCACTTTTTTATTTTTTTTGCTTCAAAGCTCAAATTCTACGAACCAATTTTAAGAATTGTGTTTGCATTGGGTTCGCTTTAGCTCCCTAGTGGTCCCATATTAACTTAATTGATATTGAACATTGAACTACGGAATCAAGGAACTCCTCAAAATCATATAGAAATTTTATAGATTTTTTTTTTGATAGGGAGTGATTTATATTGCAAGAGGGTTTTGTTTTTCGTTGGTGAAAATGCACTCGTGCACTCGACGGCAAAACTTGTGGAGACGTTTAATATTAAATGTCGCATTGTAGACACCCAGGGAGAGATTTATGAAGAATACTTACATTTCTGCACCAGCTGCTTGAACAGATATGTCACTATGTGGTCCAGTGTCGCACAGCATCCAGTGCATATGCTAGTGTCTGGAAACGTTTCATGTGATGATTATTTACAAATTTATATTACAATGAGTTATAATATATTACAATGAGTTGCATCGTAATATCTACATTCGTTCCCCAAAATGTTATAAAAGTAAATTGTAATAATATGAGAGTATCTAATTGAATTTATTATATATAATCTATAATCTCCACTTATACATTGATGTGATTTATATGAATATATATTTATAACCTCCACTTGTGTTTTCTGAAATCAACCGGCTTTAGAACCGGAAGATGGTCACTTTCTTAAAAGAAAAAAAAATGTTTGTGTACTTTTGTACGCAAGTTTAAAGTTCCGCTTTGGGGTAACAAAATAAAAGTAATCCCAAAAAAGGATATTTCAGTCTTCGGTGTTACACGAATGGGCAGATCCGTCCAAAGTGTCACTATCTCACAGAAGACCGGCGTGAAGTGAATAATAAATAATAATAATTCTTTATTTCAGGCAAAAGTCCCATGGTAATAATCGACAAAAATACAAATTAACAATTAAAACAAAATTATCAAATAAATAACAAAAATTTTGAGTTGAATTGACAAATTAAAAAAATAAAGAAAATAGATTTAAACATTACACAAACAATTAATTACATATTTTCACTGCAACACGAATGTTCGGGGGTTTGAATAATTGTTCGTAAAAGCACCGTGACGTCACAGAAGACCGGCGTGAAGTGGGAGTTATACTTCAGCGTTTCGTCTGGCGAGTGAGGTGTCCGGGGCCAACTTGCAAGGTTGCAACTTGTCTGCAATTCTTCGGGCATTTCAAACGTCCATGAGCGGTTGTCACCACTTAACATCAGGAATGAATACCTTGTTAATTGCTTGGGCTTGCTTGTAACTTTCTTACAAAAAAACATGGGTGTGTGTGCTTATCTTTGGCATCATTAGAAATAGTTTTTAATTGTATGCAAATAATTAATTACAACAAAATAATAGAAAGACTTGAAAAGGATACAAATAATAGAATTGTGAAAGCGTCATCTACATTCTTTATTGAGAACTGTAACGCGCGAATGTGATTGAGAATATGCTGCCATCTACAATAAGCGGTTTAGCGGGCAGCTTCAAATATGTTACTTTTGTGTTAAAATTTCACTCTCATCATTTTTTAATAACGCGCTTAAAGAAGAATAACTTCAAAAAAAAACGGTGTTAATTTCGCTTCGCCAAAAGGAGTGCGCAAAAAGCGAAAATCGCCCAGCACCGAACTACTCATAACCGGGATTCGAGTCCCGATAAGGAAACTCGCAACGCAGCTATTTCATTTTACGGTGCTTTAAAATGTGACGTTAAAATTTTCAAAAAAAAAAAAAAAAGAGTGACAAAAATCGTCCGTTCAGCTCAGCGGTTAAAGCGTCCTCGCGCGAGTCCGGAAGGCTTGGGTTCGACTCCGGCTAGCTACAAATAGAATTTGTATACGTTCGCCCTCGATTCCGAGACCTCTTACTCACATGACATTGCCAGAATTGTCTTAAGAGAGGCCATTAATCAAAGAAGAAGAATAAGAAGAAGAGTCTGAGACCTCAACGGGGAGGGAGGGGGGGGGGGGGTCTCACCGAGTGCCGTCAGCCCCTCCGAGACGGAGGAGAGGATGTACAGCGCCGCCTCCGGCTGCAGGTTCCCCAGGAACGGCATGTGGTCCTGGGCGAGCCTCTCCAGCAGCACGTAGTAAGTCTGCGACAGCTTCGGGTAGTCCTGGGGAGGAGATGATCATAAAAATAACGGTGATGCTGCAACGGATGGGGGGGGGAGGGGTTGACCTTATAGAGTTAATAATGAAAAATATAATTAAAACGCTGATTTGAATTACAAGTTTCAATTATAATAGATTTAGGTACATCAATACGTGCACCAAGCACTGCTTGAAATGCCGAAAAATGTGAAAAATAGACTTCCCGCAGCGGCGAAAAACTTTTAGTCCCTTTTCTCACAATTTTTAATAAAAGATTAGATCAATCGCAATTTAATGTCTTTTTACAGTTCTAAGAGTTCTGGTACAGGGAATAAACTAAGGCGAAGTACATACTTAGACACAATGTTAATTGAGCATCCCGTAATTTAAAAAAATATAAATATTTTATTTTGACAAGAAATAACCAGAAAAATGTCAATTAAAAATTGTTTGTTTATCCCGTTAAGAGTGGTCTTGCATTGTAATAAGTTAAGTAATAAAATTATTGTATTGGTGTCCATAATGTTTGATAAAAATTAAAAATAATCTTTGAAAAAAAAAATGAGGTCACAAGTATGTCTGGTACATATTATTCAGATTTAGAATCAAATTCTGCATTTATGCTCTTTCATATGTCCGTCTTCTATACAATCAGCCTGTATATTAGGTTTTGTAACATTTGTGAAACAAATGTTACCAAAAACCAAATGTTATAAATATATATTTCAAGTCACCAAAGTCAATGTCAAAACACGTGACTTAATAATGTCGGTGACGCGAATGTTTCTCCATCCAATAGTGCCCAACGTGCCCATAGAAGTTTTCGCTTCAATAAAATAAACAGAAACAAAAAAAAAAGTTATGAGTAAAAGAGATTGATAGATTAAATAATATTAACCGATTAAATTATTTAACTTTACTACGTGGCCGCGTTGTGGCGAGGGAAGTCTCTGTTGTCCCTAGTTCCCAGTTTACATTTTTATTTCACCTAACAGGTGAAATAAAAATATAAACTAAATGGGTAAATTATTAATAAAAATTAAAGTGAAACTTTTTTACATCGCCTCAAATCTTTTTGATCCATCTATATATATCGCATTCATAGGGTTGATATAACTATTTATTGTATAACATCAACAGCCATCCCCCCCCCCCCCCCATCAAATCTCCACCAGCTACTCACCAGCAGGTCGCTCTGAGGTATGCTGAGGAGCAGTTTCACGAACATATTCAGCGCGTTGTCCAGGGCCTCGTCTCCGTAGAGTCTGAAATGTTTGTTGAAAAAAGTAAAGTAACTGCCTATAAATGTCCCACTACTCGGCAAAGGCCTCATCTCATATCTGCAGAGGGTATTACTTCATAGTCCACCACGCGTCCCCACTGCGGATTGGCAGACATTATCTTCTTTTCTTTTTTATTTTGTTATTAATTCTAAAATGTGCAGGTTTCCTCACGCTTATTAACAACTAGCTGCCCGGACAGGCTTCGTTTTTTTTTTTATTCTTGTATTAAAACCTTCCGTGGACAATTAATAAGTACGTACGCCGAGGGTTCCGTACCTACCCACTATACCACCGAAATAAAGTTGGTAAAAAACCAGCACCGATTTTCTCAGGAATGCCTGGATCAGCAACTTGAAATTTATACCAGATACTGAGGTCCTGATTAAAGACGATAAATAGAAATGGGCAAGTTTAGATTTTCGCGAAAACTTGTAATCAGCAAAAATTTTCAACTTTTTTATTTTTCGGAATTTTTCCTTTATCTGCGCTGTAAGACCTTCGTATAAATTTCAACTTGCTAGGTCCACCCGTTCCTGAGAAAACTTTCTGCTCCGTCTGTCTGCCCGTGTGTCACCGCCGACACACGGGCAGACAGACGGAGCAGAAAGTGCTCCTTTTTTACCTTTCTAAAAAATCTACCCTAAAAAAAGTTGGTCACCTGAAAACGCCGAAGTTCGCGTAGTTCCCGCACAGCGCCGCCTTCAGTATTGAGAAGCAGAGGGAGATACCCTTCAGTTTCATCGCGTACATCTGCTTCTTGCTCACGTCTATGGTCAGTATCCTGCTGCCTGTGAGCAGAGGCAGAAAGTGAAAAACAAATAATTAGCATTAAAATTAAATTTCATTTGACAGGATGAGAGACAACAAAGTTTTAATCGTGCTAAAATATCTATAAAAAATTTTGTAACGTTCGGAAAGAAACCTCTTCCAGAGTTACGGTTTCTTCTTTAATAAAACTTGGAAAATATTAACAAGTATTTCTCACAATCACAATGACTCCGTGGCGTAGTTGCCAAGGCATTGGCTTCGGCGCCGGAGATCGTGGATTCGATTCCCACACGGGACAACTGTTCGACCCCTCCGACACCTTGTGCGTCATCCATCATTTTAAGCTCTTAATCACCCTACCCTCTCCCTTTGACACCTCCTTTGTCCCCCCCCCCCCCCCTTTTTCCGAGTTAGAAACCGCACCTCCTCCTCAACACATTTGCCGATTTACGGCCGCTTTCAATGACCAACGGTTAACGGAGATAGAATTTTGACCCAAGTATTATTGGGCTAATGTCAAATACCCACATAGAATACTAGCCGTTAACCAATGAGTTTTATATAATTTAATAAATAACCTATATTTTTGACAATTCACACAATATCTTTATAAGTTATAGCCTATGTGTTATACTCACGTATAAGCTATATTATTGTAAAGCTTCATTAAAATCCATTCAGTGGTATTTGCGTGTAAGAGTAACAAACATCCCCCCCCCCCCCCCCCCCCCCCCTACGCACCGTAGGCGCATATGATGGCGGAGAGCTCGCGGAACAGCAGTATCCCGTTGGGCGAGGAGACGTCGAAGTGCAGCCTCTGGTTCCTGTTCTGCGCCAGCTCGGCGGCGAGCTTGAGCACGGGCGTGCTGAGCGCCGGCTCCGAGAACCACGCCTCCAGCCCGCGCAGCACCACCTTCATGTACACGGGGTATCTGCGGCGTGAGAGCGAGACGGCTATACTCCGGCTACATTCGTCATCCGTTAAATCAAGCACGGATTGCAAAACAATTTGGTCTGTTTCGGGCCATCGCGACGGCGCTCGATGTGCGAAGATATGGTTTCAATTTTAAAGTTACGATTCGATTTCAAGTGTCGTTTTAAAACGATAATTCGAATGAGATAATTTGGCATTGCTGTATTAAATTTATTTATTATTATAATAACGCTGATATCTGCACTTAATATGCGTCTGGGCGTGAGACCGGAAGACGTGGGTTTGACTTCCTTAGGACTTCTCCTCATTTGTTCTACAAATTTTAATATTTCAACACAGGTAAAAAAATAACAATATTTCCTTTAAATAATGTTCGGTACAATATTTTAAATACATTTTGATGCCTACTCAGAAAGTGATGATTCCGAGAAATCTTTTTTGTTTCACGCTTTAAATACAAAATTTATTTGTAAACGAACATTACATCAAAAACATCTGTTCTGCTCACCCTACCTAACGGGTTTGACGGCTATGACGTCACCAGAGGGCGCGAGGTCAGTTCTACTATTATTTGTGTGTCAGTTCGAGACTGGGACCTAGTGCTTGTTCACGTTGACACAATTACGAAACGCACGTGCGGTCTACGTAGCGGCTGGTAGCCATTTTGAACTTGTCGCTAGAAATGATAGCACGTTTTTGTCTTCTTTTGAAATGTCTCCCAATTGAATCCTGTGTGTAATCAAAACAGTTAACAGTCATCCTGGTACATCCAAAAAAATCTTCATACTTTCCATAGTAATTTGAGAGACAGACAACAAATTACTATTTAAAGTATGAAATTCATCATACCGTTCTCTTTCTTTATTAATTTGTTGCACACCAATTCTAATTTTTAGCATCTTCCATTTTAGGTATATAGAATTTTCGGTTAAAAATATAAGATCGTCGTCGATGTTTTCAACCTCTGAAAACACGTCACACTGACGCAAACGCCTTGCGGCTGACGTGAACACGAGATGGCTAGGGCTGCCACTCACATCCAGTCGAAGAGCATCATGTAGGTGGTCTTGGTGTTGAAGGCGAACGCGAGGCCGCGGAGGTCGCGCGCCAGCCCTATCAGCGTCTTCTTCGCCTCCTCGGAGCCGAAGAGGGGGCTCTCGGGCGGCCCGAGCAGCCCTATTATGCTCTCGAACGCCGCTGCGGATAGAAGGAGTTTCTTGTATTTACGCGATTATACATTACAAATGATACTATTTTTGAAGAATCGACGCGTTTATTTTTAATTCTAATACCCGACGCTTCGAACCCTTTGCAGAGTTCACGGACAGTCTATCCCGTGACCATGAAGGCTGTAAAGGGTTCGTAAACGTTGGGGGTTAAAATTAAGAATAAACGCGATAAATCCGTAGAAATAGCTTAATTTATAGGTGCCAATAGGATTTCCGTGACTTCTTTCTAACTGTTGGATTAAATTATCCTGCGCCGTAAGGACGCTTTGCACACACACACACCACCCCGCGCAAACCCGCCACCCACCGGTGAGGGGCATCATGAACGCATGGAACCGCTCCTCGTCCTCGCTGAGCTCGACCATGAGCAGCCGCCCGAGCGCAGTGTACAGCATCGTGCGGCACCGCATCTCCGCCGCGCCCACGCCCGCTATGCCCAGGAACGGGAAGTGCTCCGCCTGCAAGTTATACAATAGCTAGTATACAATAGTTATACAAATAAATATAAGATAGAATAATTATCTAACATTTTCCGCGAGTCCGAAAGAGTAGACAACAAAAATAAATCATATACAACCTATAATATTTATCGTTTTGATGTGCTCGGTCGGTGTCAAAGATAAAATGTTGACTACCTCCATAATTGGAACGTCGAAATCTAATAACAACTTGTACTTTAAGTAACCCGTAAAACACACTCGAGATGATTGATGGTCAGACATGCTTTTCCTTATTTTTTTTTTATCGCCAGCCGATTTAATTAAGACGACGAGTTGTAATCGCAGGCCGGATTAAATCTTGCCGCGAGCTGGACTTGGCCGGCTGCCATAGGAAAGAAACGGTCTATGCCAGGTACGGAACCTGGAATAGACTTTTTCTTTCCTGGTGGTTCCGTTTCTTTCCGACAGTATTCGCTTGGTCCGTACGAGGAAGTACCACGACCTCGCAGAAGACCAGCTTGAAGTGGAGTTGTTATAGTTTTCGCGGTTTTTTCTGGTTCCCTATTCATTAAAAGGCGGCAAAGTATCTGAAACCCTACCGGTGTTGCAAATGCCCATAGGCGGCGGATGTCACTCAACGTCAGGTGAACCGCTAGCCGGCCTGCAGTCTTCATAGATTAAAAAAATCATTACTCAGTGGCTCAGCTTACCTTACCTATTGGGTTGGGTTCGATACCAACACGATTGTTATAGTAGGTATGTAAGTTTTTATTTATGTGAAAAGTTGTCAAGCGAGCAGACGGTTCACCTGATGGTAAGTGATAACTGCCGCCCATTAACACCTATAACGTTGCAGTTGTGTTGCAACCTTTTAATAAACTGGGCCCCGACCAGCTCTCTCACCGGACGAAACGCAGAAGTGTAACACTTCCACTTCTCACCGTTCCTCTGTGATGACGTGGTACTTGCCCGGACGGACCTGCCAATTAGTGCAACGGAGACTGTTGCGTACCCCTACCACATGTAAAGGACTCACTACTTTTTCTTAGTGGTAACTACATTCCTCACGCCACTCACCGTGTGGTGCGTCAGCATGAACTGGACCTCCTCGAGCTTGACCAGCTTCCTCACGCAGGAGTAGCCGCCGCTCAGGTCGCTGAGGAGGCCCAGGGTCTTCGATATGATCTGCTCGGAGCCGCCCCAGTACTTCAGGTTGGTGATTCTGCGGGCGGAGAGCACAAGCGGCGACGTCACAGCTTGCGTGTCGAGCGACGGGTCTGTTTCTTAAACATGGGCTTCAGAACTTCAGGTCTTGGATTCCATGACTATTAGACAGCGTGTTGTTAATACCGCGACATTAAATTAACGCACTTCTAACGCTACTTGCCAATAATCATAAAAAAATACAACTTTAAAAAAATCCATAATTAAAAAAAAAAATTAAATAAATAAGAAACAAAATTTGTAACACCTATACAGCTACAACTGACTGATTCATACATTCTGAGAATTTTTCATTCATTGCCACAGCGTCGCTTTTCAAGTCTCTCCTTCTACCAGTATGTTTTATCTCTTTTAAATTCATTCAACCCATGCTTTGTGACCTTTACAAATGAACTTTACGTTACAGTTTTATACGTAAGGATGTTCTAAAATTGATTGTTGTGGAAGATTTAATAACTCCGTAAATATTGATGTTATAAAATGTAAATGTTTAATACAATTTTGAAAAGCTATAGAGGACAGCTTTTTAAAATTGTATTAAACATTTATGCGTGTTCATTTATTGTCGCGGTTCTAACGACACGCTGTATATCGATGAGAGAAAACTTATTTGCCCTTGTTACCCACAAAACAGAGACATTTCACGAGAGCAATTTTTTAAATAATGAAATTAAAATTCAAAATATCTTAATTCAAATAGTCAAGTGCGCGTTCTTATGAAACGTCGAATTTTACTTGAAAATTCATACGTATACGTTCGCAAGTTACCACCGGTTTAGAAAGCCCTTTCTGTTGAGAAGGGACCGGCAAGAAACTCAACAGGCGTTATTTATTTTAAAAAAGATCTTTTTAAAAAAATAGTCTTTATTTTTTTTGATCACTCCAGTGTCTTTCAAGTGGAATTCAATATATTGTATACATTTTTATTTTTCTTTCTAATCATGTTTAAAAAAAATGTCCCCGTGAGTTCCGCCGGTTCTTCTTCTGTAGTAGTGACTTTTTGACAATCATGTAAGCCTAAAGCCTTCACATTGAATAAAGATATTTGAATTTGAAGCCAAGTCGCATACGACGCCGATACTGTGGCAACTCACATTTTCCTCATCAGGACGCTGAGGAGTTGGCCCTCGTCGTTCAGGCCCAGCACCTCGGAGAGGCGCCGGTACACCTTGCTGTTCTTCTGCACCTGCTCACCCACGTAGATCTTGCGGAACTGCTCGAAGAAGGACATCATCGCCAGCTCCAGTTTCTCGCAGCCACCCTGGAATATACAAAGGCAGCTTATGAAGCTTCGTTTTTTTATGCGAGAGAGTGCCAAACGAGCTGGCGGTTCACCTGATGTTGACTGACAACCGGCGCCCATGGATATTTGCAACACCCAGCAGATGCGTTGCCAACTTTTAATAAAGTTGGCCCCGGCTACCTCACTCACCAGACGAAACGCAGAAGTGGAGTGGAACACTTCTAATTTACGCCGGTCTTCTGCGAGGTCGTGGTACTCACCCGGACGGACCTGCCCATTCGTGCAACAGTGAACACTGTTGCGTGGCCTTACCACACCTACGTGCACGCGTCGTCCTATTTCACAAAACTATATTTGGCTGCATTAGTGCGAGCGAGAGAAACCAATGGTAATCACTCAGGCCCAACACATTTCTTAAAGCGACGATCATATTAGGCTCTATTATTGCTACGAAGACAGACTAGTGACATTCGTTTTGGCCCAAAGACTCGGTTCTTAACGCGACGACTACATTTGGCCGGATTAGACCGAGCGCGAGAGCCTAATGACAATATTCAAGCCCGACGACTCGGTTCCGAACGCGGGGCGCAGCTTCAACTAGAGCGTCGGCTCAGAACTAGATGCTGACCCTGGACAGCCTGGAGTCGGTGAGGTCCATCAGCTGGAGCACCCGGCAGACCAGCTCGCCGTCCATGGCGTCGTTCTCGTCGCACACGATCACCGAGGCGCGGCCGCCGATCGCCGCGCCGATTATGTAAACCAGCCACGTCAGCTGACCTGTTTGTTGACGGCGATTTGTATGAGATTAGGCTAAAGTAAAGTAAAAATAATTTATTCACTTATTTGCCATTACACAAGGTATGATTTATGATGGCGCAATTATATTTGTTTTTAGTTCCACTTGTATAGCCACTTACAAATAGCATGCAGATATAAATTAAAGCTAAATATCACAATAATACCTGTGATCAAGTCGTTTAATTGGAAAATGTAATTAAGTTTAAATTTATATAATAATAATAAAACATAACAATATTAGCCTATACTGTTAATTAATAATTTTGATAAATTGTCAAATATAATTAATTATCCAGGCTTCCTCTGTGCCGACGGTATTAGGCTATGTCCACCATGGAATCCCTTCAAATACTTTCGAAATATTTCTGTAATTTTTTTTAAATATGCAGGTTTCCACACGATGTTTTCCTTCACCATTGAGCATGTGATTAGGTCAGCATTTAAAATTGCTAGGTTTTAGTTGCGTTCTTGTAGATGTATACAGCGTGTCTTTACAATCGCGACAATAAATGAACATACATATAGAGGATAACTTTTTAAAATTGTATAAAGCATTTACATTCGTTAAACATCAATATTTATCGAGTTGTAAAATTTTACAAAACAAACATTTTTAGAACACCCTTACATATATTATATTTATATTTTTAGAAACTGTAACGTAATGTTCATTTGTAAAGGTCACAAAGCATATGAATGGGTTGAATGAATTTAAAAGATATAAAACATATTGTTAGAAGGAGATATTTGTAATGCGACGCAGTCGCAACGAATGAAAAAGTCTCTGAATGTATGAATCAGCCAGTTGTAGTTGTATAGGTTACAAATTTTGTTTCTTTTTTATCTAATTAGTTTGTTTGAAAAAAAAATTATGGAATTTTTATTACGTTTATATTTTTATTGGCAAGTAGCGTTAGACGTGTGTTCATTTATTGTCGCGGTTGTACCGACACGCTGTATATCTAAGAGCGGCGGGGATCTCTCAACACAAAGCGACTAACTAAAACTTTGAAGTCAAACTCGACCTTTTCAGAGGGTGGGTCAAAGCCTGGTCACCACGGGGTCTTACTTCCCCAGAAGAGCGGGCCCAATAGAAGCATTCCAGCGACAACAGAACCGCGTGAGCTATTCACGGAAGCGGCAGTGGCTTATTTCGTCACTGGTTGCCATTGCGGGCCACATTGCATGATTACAGAACACAGTGTGAACAGTCACACCTGAGACCATTTTCGAAGTTCAGGTATACTGTGTGTCAGTGATTTCTCGTGGCGTAGTAACGTGCCGCAGCAGTCTTGTTTGTTGTACGAATGGGCAGATCCGTGCGGGCAAATGCCACGACCTCACAGAAGACCGGTTTCAATTGAAAGTGTCCTGCGTATCTTTTTTTTCTTTTATTTTTAGAAACATTGCCCTTACTTTAGGATGAAATTATCCTGTGTTGTAAGGACGTTTTACAAACATAAATTTTACGCTCCGTGGCGTAGTTGCCAAGGTATTGGCTTCGGCGTCGAGGGTTGTGGGTTCGATTCCCACACGGGACAACTATTTGTGCGACCCACAGACAATTTTTCCGAATCTGGGTGTTTGTCCGCGTGAAATTTATGTTTGTAAAAACGTCCTTGCAACACAGGATAATGTTATCCCAAAGTAAGGGCAATGTTTTTATGTAAAAGAAAAAAAAATGTCCATTGGCAGCGGTTATCACTTAACATCGGGTGAACCGCCAACTCTTAGCTTAGCTCTAGCGTCCCCTCCGACCGGGTTCCCGCCTTGAGGTGGCGGAGGGGCTTAGTAGCCGTGGCTTGGTCCCCCACGGCGAAGCTAAGAGGAACCTACACTGGGCCGGCCTGTGGTGTAACGAGTGGGCTCATTGAGCCCCCTCTGGATCTTGCTGGAGGGTGCAGGGGACAGGTCGAGTGGTAGAGGTTGAGCCACTCTCCCTGTCTTCTGCTACCGAGGAGGAGTCGCGGGGGGAGAGGAGACTCGGTATTGCGGTGCGCCGTTCTCCCTATCCTCCGCGGCCGAAACGTGGTGAGCGGCGGTGCTGCTTATTAGCACTGGCTCTCCTGGCCCCCATGGCCCCGGTCAGCGAACTCGGGGAGTTCTAGCGCAACTCTTGCATGCTCCGGCAGAAAGGACGGTAGTATAGCACTCGCCCTGCAACACTAGCGTTTGCTGCGGGCGCTGCTCGACGCTGTACTCGGCCGCGGCGCGGTCGAAGTGCGCGACCAGCAGCTGGCACGTCTTGGCGTACTCGCACCGCCCGATCACGGAGAGCTGCTCCAGCTGCTGCTGGACTGTGCCGGTGTCGTCCAGAGGATCTTCGAGTCCCTCGCTGGGGGAGATAATAATAAATAAATAAATGTTTTAGGTCACCGTTTCACTGTGGTAGGCCCACGCGACAGTGTTCGCTGTTGCACGAACGGGCAGCCCCGTCCGGGTTAGGACCACGACCTCACAGGAGACCGGCGTAAAGTAGGATTGTTACACTTCTGCGTTTCGTCTGGTGTGGCAGCAGGTGAACCGCCAGCTCGATTGCCACCTTTTCACATAAAAAAAAAACAACACGTTTTTACACGACATTGTCTAGTCCCAAACTTAAATAAATATTTTAGGACACATTTTTACACAACATTCTCTAGTCCCGAACTAAGCAAGCAAAGCTATTACTAAGTACTAAGGGTAACTGATAATCATGCTTAAATATACTTTTCATTTGTAAATAAATTCATATTATACATATATAAACACCCAGACACTGGAACAACACTATGTTCATAGCACAATATTTTTCCAGTAGTGGGGGACCGAACCGTCACTTTCTGGCGCTGGAGGCAGGTACACTACCCTCTACGCCATCGTCAAACTCTCCCGTCATTTCTGCACGGACGCGCTCGGATTGGTGTGAACGATATTGGACTTTATACCGCAGCGTAAGGGTACGTTGTCGTCTGCAACCGACCGTCTCGGCGGCAGATTCGGTCTCGTTTATTGTTCACAGCGAAATTGGATTCTAATCTCCGGTTATTAACGTCCGTACTTAATGTAAGCATGCTCTGACTACGGAACTATATCAGTAGTCGATAAAGGAAGATTATGGATAATAATGAGCATAGGTCCTAAGGGTCAGTCATGCACATGCATACCTGCGCGGAACATACCATTTTGACCTTTAGGCGTCGGCGTTAGAGCCGAAAACCGCATCGAGCCACCACGGCAACCACGCCGCTGACTATAGTGAGTTCTAATTTACGACCCTCTGGCTAATTCACAATTTTCAAAATACACAGCTTACGCTGCACAAGCTGAATTGCACTTTGTCACCGGGCGTAACGGTCGAAAATCCATCACACCTGAATGAACCCCACGGCGATTCGGGTACGTTCACGCTTCACCACTTGAACTCCACGCTAAATTGCACTCTGTGACAGCGTGTTAAAGTTGAAATTACTTCGCACATGACATCTTGGCATGCATACACGCTTCACCGCTTGGACTCTACGCTAAATTGCACTCTGTGACGCCGTGTTAAAGTCGAAATTACTTCGCACCTGACATCTTAGCAAACACGCCTCACCGCTTCGATTCCACGCTAAATTGCACTCTGTGACACCGTGTTAAAGTCGAAATTACTTCGCACCAGAAATCTTAACACGCATTCACGCTTCACCGCTCGGACGCCACGCTAAATCGGACCCTATTACAGGGCGTTAAGGCCGAAATTACTTCGCACCTGACCACCACGGCGACAGAGTCGAGCCGCGAGCCGATGTAAGCGGCCGTGACGCCGGGCGCGTAAGTCTCCAGCAGATGGGGCTCCGTCGCCTTCACGTACGGCACCGACGCCACCATCCGCTGCCACAGCGACAACAGGTAGTAGACAGAGTTCGGCGCGAACTGCCACATCTGCTGACGCATCGAACATTTACAACCGGGGAAACGTATAAGTTTGTAGACCTGTGAACTTTTGACTGCGGTGGGGCCACGCAACTGTGTTCTCTGTTGCACTCTTAGGCAGATCCTAGTACCACAACCTCACAGAAGACCGGCGTAAAGTAGATGTTACACTCCTGCGTTTCGTCTGGTGTGTGAGGTAGCCGGGGCCCACTTTATGAAAAGTCAATACTATTAACATGATGATTTATTTTGTGCCGACCTACAAAGTTCAAGAACAGGAGAAATAATGTACTTAGACATTTCTTTTTTGGAGGAGGTTCTCAATTCGACGGAATCATATTTTTTTTTGTTTGTCACCTCAGAACATTTTTCAGAGTGAACAGATTTTGATGATTCTTTTTTGCTTCCCATTCCCATGCTTTCCCATTTGGTCCCATAATAATTTCACTGGTATTGGGTCTTGGGCACCGGAGATGCTTACGGTACTCCCGAAAATCAGTTATGAAATGAACACACATGAGGGAGATATTTGAAGTCGGTTCTTCAAACGTAAAATCCCAGTAGCCTCGCTTCTCGGGTCTCCTTTCCCGGTCGTCGCATAGCCCGTCGGAACTGACCAACCAACGCCTTCCACAGAGCAAACAAAATAGCGTCCCCACCTGCAGGCTCTGCACTGTGAACTTGGCGATGAGCTCGATGAGGCGCGGGTAGTTGTCCACCATGACCAGCTCGCCGAGCTGGTAGTTGGACTTGAGGCGCGCGAGGAGCCGGCAGAACTCGTGGTAGTTGGTGGGGTCCGATAGGCCCTGGAAGGAGGAACGGGTGATTTTACTAAACGGCGCCGAACGCTATCTGTTAGCGGACCAGAAGTGGCCCTAGTTAATGGTCATACGCTACCAACGACAATATAATAGCGATGAAACATCTGCAAGATTTTGCAAAACCGGCCAAGCTCGAGTCGGACTAGCGCACGAGGGTTCCGTACCATTATCTATAAAAACGCCATAAAAATCATGTCTGTTGCATGCCAACTTAAATATTTTTTTTTAGTATTTGTTGTTATAGCGGCAACAGAAATACATCATCTGTGAAAATTTTAACTGTATAAATATCACGGTTGATTAAATACAGCCTGGTGGCATAAGGACAGACAGTCTTAGTAATAGAATCCGTTTTTACCCTTTGGGTACGGGACCCTAAAAATTATGAAATGTCTCCAAAAGCTCTGTTTCTGAGCTCAATTGTATACGCACTAAAACAACATAAACCGATCACCATTTATTTTGAGTCGACTTTGTATACTACAATACATGCAAGAAATATAATAATAAAAAAGTATACGTTTACTTATGTATGCGCGTAAGAAGTTTATACCTCTATTATCGTAACAAAAGAGAAATAACTAAAAATTTTCTAGACAGCATGACGATACACTCGCAACATAAACATACACAATAACAAATCTTTTTCTGCACTCGACTGTATGGGCGCAAAATATTACAGACGCACAAAGTAAACCGAAAACATTTAACAGAATTAACCGAAAACCATTTCTTCACACGACTGTACACGCGAAAGTTAAGCGATAAATCGACTTCTGCACTCGACGGTACGTGCGTCACGATGTGCGACGATACGTACTCGCAACACAATATAAACAATAACAAATCTTTTTCTGCACTCGACTGTATGGGCGCATAATGTATTACACTCGCACGATATAACCGAAAGCAATATCTACCCGACTGTACACGCGAAAGTTAAGCGATAAATTGACTTCTGCACTCGACAGTACGTGCGTCACGAGGCGTGCTGTACGGGCGGCCGCACAGGTTTTAACGCGGCGCACCTGCGTGTTGTCCAGTATTCTATACACGCCGGCCGCCAGCCGGTTGAGGAACTTGGCGCGCTCGCTGTTGCTGAACAGGCTGCGGCGCACCGAAGCCAGTTGCACCAGGCAGGCTAGAGCAAGGCCGGCGAGGGCGCCTCCGAGGGCGTGGTACAGCTCGAAGAACAGCTCGAGCGTGGACGGCTCGAGGAATGTGGGCCGCCACGAGGTGGGGATCTGTGTACAAAGAGCTGGCTCAACATGACTGTATTTTAAGTCAACGGAAGCGGGCAGACTGGGGATCTGTGTACAAAAAATAAAAATGGCGCTGTATTCAAATGTTAGTAAGTAAGAGCGGCGGTGTATGACTCGCGCACACATACACCGCCTTTGGTATAGTGGTAACAGAAACACATCATCTGTGAAAATTTCAATTGTCTAACTATCATGGTTCATGAGATACAGCCTGTTGACGGACGGACGGACGGACGGACAGACGGACAGACAGACAGTGGAATCTTAAAATTAGGTGGTTTTAACCTATGCGTATAAAACCCTGAAAATGGCGGTGTATAAAAATGGCGGTGTGTTAAAATGGCGGTGTGTTAAAATGGCGGTGAATAAAAATGGCGGTGTGTAAAAATAGCGGTGTGTAAAAATAGCGGTGTGTAAAAATAGCGATGCATACACTATAAATGGCGGTGACCAAAAATGGTGGCATACAAAAAAATGGCGGTAAACAAAAATGTGTTAAAATGGTGGCACACAGAAATGGCGGTGTGTCAAAATGGCGGCACCAAAAATGGCGGTGTGCCAAAATGGCGGTGCGTTAAAGCGGCGCACCTGCACGGTGCACAGGTCGTCCGAGGAGTCGTCGCTGGTGGTGCCGATGAAGTCGAAGGTGAGGCACGCGTGGGCGAGCCGCAGCAGGGCGGCCAACAGCGCGTGCCTCGCGCCGCCCGCCATCTCGAGCGGCTCCGCGCGCGCCGCGCCCAGCAGCGACCACGAGAGGCGGAACATCTCGAACAGCTGCGTGTCCCTGCGGCGGTACATTGAAATCAATTAATAAGATTTTTTTTTTATGACAAACGAGCAGACGGTACACCTGATGTTAAGTGAATGCCGCCGCCCATTGACATTGGGCTCAACCTTTTTGGATATTGGGCTCCGGCTACCTCACTCACCAGACGAAACGCTAAAGTATTTCTCATACTACTTATTACTTTACGCTGGTCTTCTGCTGCGTGGCTCTACCAACGTTAGAAAGGCCGTGAGTGGGTTGGGGTAAGTGACCCGACACGTTGCGATCCTCGAGGACTACTCGGTTAGAGAGGGATGTCGCCATTGCTATTTAGAAATTAAAATTTTTATAGTGCTAATCTCCGCACTTGAGATAAAACATTAAAATTTGTAGAAAATTCTGTCTGTTATTGTGTTGCTTAGTCCCAAACTAAGCAACGCTTGTACTAAGGGCACTAGATAACTAATAAACATACTTAAACATACTTTTCTTTTGTAAATACATACTTTTTATACGAGGGCTGTTTGATAAGTCGTTTTTAAAGGTAAAAAATATATTTTTTTTTTAAAACAATTTACATTTATTTCTCAACATAGTCTCCTTTGAGGGCCAAAAACTTATTCCAGCGAGTTTCCAATTTTTTTATCCCCTCCAGAAAATACGTTTTGTCGAGGTCTTCAAAATAGCAGTTTACACCTGCAATGCAGTCCCGATTTGTCAAAAATTTTTGCCCTCCAAGATATATTTTCAGATTTACGCCATTCGGGTCGTCAAAATGCAATGTTTATCGTTTCGTATAGTGAGCGAGTTTCGTGTATGACGACCACCGGGTAGGAATGCCGAAAGTGAAGAAATGTATCGATATATCGATATTTATAAAAATATCAATATCAGCCTCGATATATCGAAGAGAAAATATCGATATTTCCTTTTTAGGCCTTGTTGTCCAAAAAAAACGTATGCCAAGTTTTAAAATATTTGAATACGGATTCTGTCCTGAATGTGAAAAAAATATCGTTTATGATACGATTTCGATATTGAATAATTTATATCGATTTACTGGATCAAAATATATCGGCGAAAAATATCGATACAGTTAATATATTAAATTTGTGAATAAGAAATGACGTCACAGCCCGTCACTTCTTGCCTCCTAAAGCGGCACGCGCCACAGTTCATCGCTCGGCTGTTGAAGGGTGCAAGCGGTGACGTCACGCCCACCTGAACGAGGAGGCGATCTTGCGGTTCTTCGCGAGGGACCTGCTCGCGTCCGCCTCCGACACCTGGTTCATCTCAAGCACCAGCTGCGTCAGCAGCTGCACCCCGATCGTGCACATCTCGGCGGGACCCTGGAACATAACCAGCATAAGTCTACAACCACAACTGAGAAGTGGAGATGGCACTGATAAAAATGTGGTCATAATCAACATTTATTAGTTGTTAAATAAATAAATATTATAGGACACATTTTTACTCAACATTCTAGTCCCGAACTAAGCAACGCTTGTACTAGGGGTAATAGATATCTGATAAACGTACTTAAACAGACTTTTGTGTTGTAAATAAATACACATTATACATAATTATATGGAAAAAACTAAGTTCATCACAATATTTTTCCAGTAGTGGGGATCGACCCACTGCGCCAATCGGGCCGCCGAAAAAGTCGTTAAAATCAAAGCAAAAACTAAAAAGCTATTATAATATTAATGAATATTTTAATATTGATTATTTAAAATTAAAACACTATGTAAAGCAATTAATCGCTCAAGGCTGTTGTCAAGTGAACTATAATGTATTGTATAAATATTCATTATAATTCATTTCATAATAATGATGCTATTGCAAGTGATAATAGTAAAAGGCATTTGAATAAAAATTGTATGTAGTTACTATAGGATATTCAAAGGTTAGGTCTAAAAAGAACTATACAAGTTAGTTTTTAACTCTCTTGCAAGCGATTCGGTTCTTTTAAGTCCTTATAGTCCGGCACTAGGAGTGTAAACACAGGAAATGCAGAAATAACTATATCCAAAACTTGAAGCCACAAACCTGATAACAAATCTTAGTTTTTAAAATACATGTTAATGTTATAAAGAACAAGAAATTTTAAATTCCAAAATAAGGCAGGCTCTAACATAAAACCATACATGTTGATTCAAGGTTTCTTAATCATGTGGAACTCCGATGAGAGTAGAGAACCTCACATGCTGAGCAGCTTAGCGAGGGTCAGGTTATGGTTAGGTTGAAAGAGATGGGATTACTTTAAATTCAGTAATATTTATCTTGAAAGGCTGGAACAGGGATGTGTCTTTGGCAAAAGAAGTATCACAGAGGACATTTGTTGTTGAAATCATTGTACAAGAGACTCAAGATTTAAGGCATCAGCAGGCCCTCTGTGCAAACATCAAACCCGAGACCGGGTGTGCAACCACTGCACCATCGAGTCTGTACCCGAACTGAGCCAGTTACCTGTAAGAAGGTGGACACGTCGTTCATCACGTTGTGGAACACGTACTCCTCCTTCACCATGTCTAACCAGCCCAGCTTGGTGATTCGGGCGAACAGCGACACCAGAGCCTGCGGAGAAAATGTGGTTTAATATGTGCTTTAAAGTGTTCTTGGTGGTAAACTAATTCAAGAATCTGACATTTATCAAGCCATGTTTTAAGTTAAGAAAGTCACTTACAGATCACAGACCAACCTCTTTAAATTGTCAATTAATATCCAAACACAAAAACAAAAAAGTGTACTTTAGCTTGGCTCAAAGAAAATATAGAATCACCTGAACGACGAAGCTGGCCAGCTTTGGTCTGGTCGCTAGATAGTTGAGGACGTAGTTTCTGATGTCCAGACGCTGCTGGACCGACAGGCTAGTCGTCGACCTGGAAATTGATGTACACTACAGTAATTAAATAGAGCAAAGTAAAGTAACAGCCTATAAATATCCCAATGCCAGGCAAAGGCCTCCTCTTTTACAGAGGGTATCAGGGCATAGTCAACCGCGCGGCCCCACTGCGGAATAGCGAACTTCACATATCTTCGAATTTTTTTTTGTTATTGTTTCGAAAATATGCAGGTTTCCTCACGATGTTTTCCTTCACCGTAATTTACTGAAATGCTAATTAATATTTTTGGAAGAAAATAAATGCATAAATAATAATTATTGCTTCAGAAGATTTGATATTTGATTAGTTCATTATTTAATTAGTCTATTTGATTAGTCTACATGCAGATTATTAGGTGTAAAGTATTTTATGTATGCAAAATATTCTGGTGTTTGGTTTATAATTCCTCTATTAACTCTCTATTTAATTATAGCTAAGCTGAACCCAATGCAAAAAGAATTTGTAAAATCGGTTCATAAATGACAAAGTTCTGAGGTAACAAATATAAAAAATAGAACCAAATTGAATCTACATGAACCTGCTAATGTTATAAAAAACAAGAAATTTTAAATTCCAATATAAGGCAGGCTCTTATATAAAACCATACATGTTGATTCAAGGTTTCTTAATGAGATTCAAGGTTTCTGAACTCCGATGAGAGTAGAGAACCTCACCTGCTGAGCAGCTTAGCGAGGGTCGTCGCCGCCAGGAGTTGGGAATAGCTGGAGTCGGCGCGCTCAAGCAGGGCCTGGCACTTGCTGAGGGTGTCTGGTGACTCCTGGAGTGAACAGACGCATTCATAACTTATGGCCTCACTTGCTTATCTGGCTTTATTGGGTTTGAACCATAAAGCTCATATCTAAGGAGAAAAATTGCAATCACATGTTTGTCATGTAATGAATGTTTAACATAAATGATCCATGGCGATCGATGACTCCGTGGCGCAGTTGCCAAGGTATTGGCTTCGGCGTCGGGGGTCGTGAGTTCGATTCCCACACGGGACCACTATTTGTGTGACCCACAGACGGTTGTTTCGCATCTGGGTGTTTGTCCGCGTGAAATGTATGTTTGTAAAACGTCCTTACAGCACAGGATAATGTAATCCGAAAGTAAAGGCAATATTTTTAAAAGATAAAAAAAAGATTCAAAATGGACATCGATAATCTTCATGAGCCGTCAGACAGGTCCGTCCAGAGAAGTACAACCTCACAGAAGACTAGCGTGAAGTGGAAGTATTATTCGTCTGGTAAGTTAGGTGACCAGAGCCCACTTAATTAAAATGTGGCAATGCAACTGCAACTCTAAGGATATTGCAAATCCATGGGTGGAGCTTTTTGTCATCTTTTCACAACACAAAAAAAATACACTATCAATATGATTATATTATGCCTCATCTAGGAATGAAAGCAGGAGTATTATAGTGTATATACTGGTCCTTTGCTATACAATCAAACAGACAAATCAATACACTATTACCATTGACAATCCTGTACTTGTTAGTTGATCTCTTCTATTTAGTGTTTGAATATTGGATTCAATGCGAAAATGACATATGATACCTGGAAAGCAACCACCGCCTTCTCAGCCTGCTCCCTGATCCCCACATCTTGGGATTCATACAGTTGCTTGCAGAGCAACTCTATTTGACACACCTCCTGCAATAGGATTTATCAGTAAGTACAATGTAATGACCATTTAAGCTTGTTTATAAACAAATAACTGAATAAATTATGTATTAAATAAGTGCCTTGAAACACTGGATGGTACTCGTACTTAGTCTTCTTGATATTAACATACCTATTATATTCTAGGAAACTTTTCCACCTCAAAAGCTATAATGGATAAATTAATATTTCAGGACACATTTTTACACAATGTTTTTTTGTCAAGTCGCAAAACTAAGCAATGCTTGTACTATGTGTACTAGATAAATATACTTAAATATTTATATTTTTTTTCGTGAGTACATACAATCGTTAATACATATCATAAAAACACCTAAACACCGGATAAACACTATGCTCATCTGAGAAAAATAAAATAAAACTAAAAATAAAAGTTCAACTGAAATTTTAATATTTATTTATGTAAACTTTTACTTGCCTGCAAAAAGGTATTGGTGGCTTGCATTATTCAGTATCAAACATTTAGGGAAAATGATATACATATTATTAAATGGAAACATTTTAAGATATGGCTTCTGAATCCATCTCAACTAGATGGGTAAGCAGAAATTACGATTTCTCATATTCCACACACCCATATACATCTCTATCATACAGGATTGCTTTACAGTTGCAATATAAGGATTCATACCTTCAATTTTTCCATCTTGTTTACATTTTTTTTACTTCTGTTTCCATGGGAACATTAAAACAATAGTTTTATATCTTATATTTGTTATTCTTTTGTGAATACAATTTGGGTTGTTGTTGAAGACAGTACCATTATATGGATTATAAAGATATACAGGAGGTTCAGACTCGGCAGTATAATCGTTTATTGAAATAACAGTGTTTTTTAAAAAAAAAATGCCATTCTTGTGTGCGTGTTAGTTATGAATGATCGCGCGTAAAATAAATGAGTTGCGTTTTGTAAATGCCTGCGTAAAATGAATAGTTGAGTTTTGAGATAAGTTCAAATGAATGTAATTAATTACTTGAGTGATTTCAAATGTTTATCATTTTTTATATAACATTATTTATGTCTAGAATTTAATAAAAAAAAATGGATACACTTAGAAAAGCCACCCTGTATAAGTTATAAGGATGTTTTCTGTATTTCATTTCTTCTGACTTTCATAAATCACTGTGCCTCATGTTTGCTTGTAAACGGCTCGGTAAATGGACCGCTGAGCCTGCTCATGAGAAAACTCAACTCAAGATTATGATTTGTATGAGTCTGTGACTATACTATGTCAATCACACTAGCGTTAACAGATTTAAAAGCTTGTATGTATAATTTTAGTGAATGTTGTAATAAAAGCAAGTGCATGTACAATATGCGAATAGGATAACTAGTTTTTTCAAGTGCATGCACAATAGGGTAACGTTTTTTTTATCAGTAATTGAAATAAACTGTGTTGTAGGCTTAATTCATAAGGCAAAAATGAACCAACTAGTGTTCGTTAAAAACATCTTTCCAGGTACTACTGCTTTTGACTTCAGTTAACTGTCAGTTGTGCAAAAATTATTTTTATGTTTTACATTGATATTAACAATTTTTTTGGTGGTGTTTCGGTATTTTCTAATTGTAATATCTTTATTCAATATAGAAGCATTACACTTACTTATTGATTGTCAAAATACTACTAATGGTTCGAAAAAAAGCCGCTGACCTGAGAAGAATCGGCAAAGGAAACTTAATGTGATACACAAAAGTGTGATAGATAGGTTCGGGATTATAACTGTCTTAATAAATTTTGCTCAAGCATTTCACATCTATGCAGTCTTCATTGCCAGTGACAACAAGACAGTGAATAAAAGCTATTCCTATGTTACATATGCAACATTAAAGTAATATATGTGGTTCAATTATTTAATTAGTCTACAATAAAATTAGTTATGGAATTATATTGTAGTAAACTTTTAGTGTAAAGCCAAGTGTTTGAAATGAACAAGAAAAGTTTGATAAAATTATTTTGGGTATACTATGCTTAACCTTAGTTTTACCTAAAATTAAATACATAAGCACAGCTTAAAACTGTTTAATTCTAAATCCTAAATATATTTGTCATGCAATTTACTAAAAAAATATTACTATTTCAAAAGGAAGTTATGCTTTACTAAATTAACCTAACATGTTAATTCATTACATAGGAGTCCATTAGTAGGCGAGTTAGAGCATTGAATGTGTTATGTCCTGTATAAATGTATAATGTTCAAAAGTATCTTTGTGTGTATATAAGGACTGCTTAACAAGTATAAGTACTAAAAAAATGGTAAGACTTTCCATTGACGTCTGTCGAAGAGGTGGGGGAGGAGTTCTATTGCCCCCCTCCCCCCCCCCCCCCCCTTAAAAGGAAAAGTTGTAACCCCTTTTAGAGTTTTTTTTGACAAGAGAGTAATCTTATTAAGGGTCCCTTTTTTACCTTTTGAGGTATGGAGATTAGGAACCCTAACAATGGAAAAATTATTGTTTTCAGTGTTACAGTGTGTTATAGTGTTATTTTTGTGTTTGCCATTAAATAAAATCAATTTGCAACAATGACTAAATAATATAGTGGTATGGAAATAAAAAGTAAAAATTAGAATAATATAACAGTTCATTTGAAATGTTCAAATATGGAAAAATTCCCATTAACTACACTACATACAATATTGCAAAAATAATTAATATTCACTATTATTAATTTCAAAAAGTATGCATTTCCGCATGTTGAAACTTTGCATGTATGCTTACAATAAGGTAACTTTTCTATAAAAAAATATCAACCCTGAACTCGACAGACGTAAAATCAAATTCAAATATTTTTATTCAATATAGAAGAAGTACTACACTTACTTATTGATTGTCGAAAAATACTACTAGGCAATATACAAAAAACAATGGAATAGAAAGCACAAATAGTTGTCCAACAATGTAAACTAACAATGCATATAGTCAAATCAGTTGACAAAAACCAATAAAAGCCACTACTTCTTTGTTAGGCACATCTAATATCATCAACTGAATTTCAAACTCGATAGATAATAAACAAAATAAACAAAACATCTCAAGTATCAATGATATAATTTTAGCTTCATAAAATTCATTTCAAAGGTTCCTAGAAGATAAAGGATTTCCTCAAAGCAATAGTGAGGGGTTTTAATAAGGAATAGGAATGTTTATTATGTTAGTATGTATCCTGAACAAAATTTATTCATACACTTTTATGCAATGAAATAAGTTATTATTGAGCTTAGCATTTTTTTGCATTGTAAGTTAAATTATTGCAATAACATTTAATGGTTTTTAAATAACATTTATAGTTAAAATATATGCTTCGTAGTTTATTGATAATATAAACCTAGCACAATATTCTCTATTCATTAGACAAAATAATGCTTCACAACCGCCCGTTAAATTCTTTTCGCTAATTTGACATACCAACAAAACACTTTCACTACATCTTCAGAGTGAGAAAGAAAACTTGAGACATGATTTATGACAAAAATAATTCAGGCTCGGTAGCACGGTTTCAAGGGTATCTTTGTGTCAACACTGTTTGAAATATAACCAAAAAGCCGGTATATTTATGTTTCCTTTTTGTATTTATGTCATTATTTCGAATAAATAATGTAGGTAAATTAGTGGTTAAATTAAAAAAAGAATCAAAAAACTTTAATTAGAGGATCCGATACGCGGTACCTTGTTCCGAAATTTTAATGATAACAAATCTTCGGAGATAAATAAGAGAAAACTTTTAAACTGTACCAGATTTAATATTAAATTGGCAGAAACATGTTTTTTTATTAATTTACATCTAATTCTGTTAATATGTAATAAAAAACGCAATATTTTGATCACTCACCTGTTCTTCAGCCATCTTTGTTATTCTCTCGCATTTGGAATGACGTTTCGTTCTAAACTACAATTTAGTTTTATGATAAATAGTTAAAAGTTTTAAAAAAACATTATGTTAAACTTTATTTTGTGTTAAAATTATGTGATACAGACTTATGGAAAATATTTTTTTATGAACAATTATCATATTATACTTCGTAATTCACGGTATATTACGATTTAAAATCAAAGCGACCAAATTAATGTACAGAATTAATAAAATTACTGTTTAGATGTATTATCAATAAAAACAGTATTTGAAATCACTATATCATTCATTATGAAATTTATTTTAAAAAAAAAATATATACATTTCCTTTATTAATAATTTCTATTACCGTATAAGTCGTATTAGTAAAACTTATGCTAAGGGGTTTCGATCTTTTTTTTTTTTTATAAACTGATGTTTTTGCTTTCAGTCCCGAGACTATTAAAGCTTCATCTGACGCAGAACCGGTGGGCTAGCCAGAACCCACGGGTTTGGGCCCTCCGCTGTGGCTAGGGCCGCGCATGTGCTCATGCGTGCGTTTAACTACGACATGTCATCTAAGGGCCATCGAAGTTGCGGTGCGGACCGAGACCCCGATGGCTGTCGACTGTATTTTTAGCTAATCGGTGGCTGGGGGCGGTGAGAACCGCCCTGGAACGCGGGTGTACCTTGTGTACGCGTTGTGTTGGTCTCGCCGTGCTCGGAGGCGAGGGCGAACTAGTGTGTTTGTTGTTGCACTAACTGTGGGTGTAGTGTTGTCCGGCGGGACCCCCGGCGGTGGGGTCCGGCGTATCTAAGTCCCCTTCCTCGACCGGGTCGATGAGGACGTTTCGCGGGCGACGCTTGTTGACGTTCGCGTTTGTGTCGGGTTGGTAATTTGCTGCGCTTACCACCAGAGGGTTGGGATGATGTTCGGCTCTATCGAAGAACCGTTTGGTCAGGTCTTTAAAATATTCGCGAATCGTCGGGAGTCTGCAATCGCTGTGCAGATCGACGTTGCGTTGATACCACTGCGCACCAGTTGCACGGCGGATGAACTTATTTTGTACTATTTGCAGCTTGTACAAGCGAGAGGGTTTCGATCTTTAACAACAGAGTTCTATTGAATTATTTATTTATATTAACAGGATAGTCAACTATTGCGAGAGTCGTCTCTCGCAATACTTGGACGTTTTAAAACGTTTTAAGACGCTTTATTTAATTAAACTATATATTTGCCACCAGAGCTTACAGATCATACTTCATTTAAAATGTATACATGTACATACTACTCTTTTTTAAATAACATAAATAAATACATACCCAAACACTGGAAAAACACTATTTTCACCAAATACTATTTTTCCAATGGTGGGGATCGAACCCTTTGGTGCAAGAGATAGATTCACTAACCCCTAGGCTAATCGGTTCTACTAACTTATTATTTTAACGTTATAGTACCGTAATCGAACCACCAGAAATGGATATTACGGTATTATTATATTACGGTGGTAGGGCCACGCAGCAGCCTCGGCTGTTGCACGAATGGGCAGGCTCGTTCGGGTAAGTACCACGACCTCACAGAAGACCGGCGTAAAGTGGAAGTATAATACTTTCGCGTTTCGTCTGGTGAGTGAGGTGGACGGAGCCCAATTTCCAAAGGGTTGTCAACGCATTTGCAATCTTCGGCTGTAGCAGATGTCCAGTGGCGGCGGTATTCACTTGACATCAGGTGAACCGTCTGCTCGCTTGGCAACTTTTCACATAATTTTTTTTTTATCGGGATCCGCCCTGCGACTCAGCGTGTTGTGTCTATAATATCTCGCTGACGCTTACATTTATGAGAATCTCGGCACCCGTAACTGGATTGGGTGTGAGTGTTTATGTTTGCCTAGTATTAGACACATCATCATCATCATTTCAGCCTGTTTGAGTCCACTGCTGAACATAGGCCTCCCCCACAGACTGCCACGAAGTACGATCCTGAGCCACCTGCATCCATCGACTTCCCGCACATTTGCACAGGTCGTCACTCTCTCCATCTAGTGGGGGTCGTCCTACACTGCGATGGCCAGTACGAGGCTGCCACTCGAGAACCTTTCTTCCCCAACGGTTATCGGTTCTACGAGCTATATGGCCGGCCCATCGCCACTTCAGCTTGCTAATCCTCTGAGCTATGTCGGTTACCTTGGTTCTTAGACACATAGCGTCGGAGAAAATCATTAAATTTTTTAAAAACTGTTCATTGTTATAACTTTCAATTTCGTTATTATTTTTCATTAATTGTTTGATGAATGTATTGTGCAATCGTATTTTGAGATAGAATATATTCTAGTTACACTATTTATTTGATTATACAGTACAGATTACTGGTGCATATTGTTTCCTGCTAAAAGCTGACCCGACAGGTGCTACCGAAACCACAACATTCCTTCTCCTACTTAAACAGCATTCTAGCGTATAGAATATAAAAATATGTCTAATCGATAGTAAATCGGAAGCAATATCGTCCAAAACAATAAGGTCGTGGTAAAGACTTTGTATGGTTTAAAAACCTAGAGAGACCTTTAAGCTCGTGACAACTTGAAAAAATTTGTTTTTGCTAATCAAGGTGTAGACTAACGCCCAGTTTCTGAAACACTGATCATCGTAGAAGTTAACTTATCAGATGTCAAATGGCTTTTCAAATGTTATTTAAGTTGCCAAAAGGATGGTTAAACTCTCAGAATTGATCGGTATGATCATCTTAATGATCAGACTGATTAATCAAAGAGTTATGGATGTCGCTTTAAAAATAATGCATTACGCTTTTTATTTGCTGATGCCTTCGATCCTCTTCATAATGATGATACTCCAGTTAATCATCATCGTCATTCCTGCGAAAATTGCGAATTGATTAATCGAAGGATTGCTTCTTCGATCAATGAATTCGCAATTTCTACCATATCGTAACTTACAATAAAGTACCTTAAACACATTACTTGGTTTATAGTCAAGTAATGTGTTCTTACCTGTTGCCCGTCGCGGTTTCCTGTTTTAGCGTGCTATTTGCATAGACACTGACTGAAATACATATTACAGCGTCTCGTAGCCATCGCAACAGTAAATGAACACACGTCTAACGCTACTTGCCAATAATCATAAAAAATATTAACGTTAAACAAAATCCATAATTAAAAAAAATTTTTTTCAAACAAACTAATTAAGTAAAAAAGAAACAAAATTTGTAACATCCTATACAACTCGCGCCACAGCGTCGCATTCCAAGCCTCTCCTTCTAACAGTATGTTTTGTCTCTTTTAAATTCATTCAACCCATTCATATGCTTTGTGACCTTTACAAATGAACTTTACGTTACAGTTTTATACGTAAGGGTTTTCTAAAACTGTTTGTTTTGGAAAATTTAATAACTCGGTAAATATTGATGTTTAAAGAATGTAAATGTTTAATAAAATTTTAAAAAGTTATCCTGTATATGTGTGTTCATTTATTGTCGCGGTGGTAACGACACGCTGTATAAATATAAAAACACCCAGACTCTAGAAAAACACTATATTCGTCACACAATATTTTTCCAGTAGTGGGATCGAACCCACACCCTCTGCCGCAGGAGGCAGGTACACTACCCACTACGCCATTCGGGTCGTCAGTAAGCTGACGTAATTAAATGGCGAGAGTATGAGTCGCTTTGTGTAGGTCATGTGTTTGAGCCATTTTGTAAAAGCTGTAGGTCCTGGGGCCCCAGCAAAGATATATTATGTATACGATATGACTTAAGGACCTTCAAGAAAAGAAACTACTACTACCTTAAAGGGAGGCAACGCAATTGTGACTCAACCGATGTTGCAAGTGTCCATGGGCGGCGGTGATCGCTTACCATTCGGTAAGAACCAGCTTGCTCGTTTGCATGTCTTCAACCAACTGACTCGGTGGTGAAGTTTGGAAAGCCATTAGCTTCGGTGCCGAGGGCCGTGGGTTCTATTATATCATATGTTCTATTATATCACACACGGGATGAGTATTTGTGTGACCCCCAGATAATTGTTTCGGATTTGGGTGTCTGTTCCCAAGGTTGATGTCATGTTGGCGGCTGGTCGTAAGAAACGTAGCCAATAATATTAATACCATGATTCACATGTTGCGCCTACTCCACCGAGGTGGAATAAGGGCAGGTTAAGGTCCTCGACTCATTATTGCGGCAGGTGATATGAGGGCTGGTTCTTTTTTCACTGAAAGGTTAAGCTATTCAGTTCACAGAGGTAAAGCAGCAAGCGTTCACCATATCGCGTGGGCTAGTTATGTTAGATAACGCGTAATTCGGTTAGTATTTATCAATAACAAATTGTTTACTATTTCTCATTGTGAAAAACTACACTCTGACTTGTGCTTCAACTGACTCATATTTATTTTTTAAGTACTTATATTAATTAAATTTCACTAAACAGATTACAAATAATTGTTTTTATTACTGGCAGCGTGTAGATATGATGGAAAGTTTTTTTGATGAAAGATTAACAAAAGAATATTTGTCAGACAAAATGTTGAAAGCCGTATAATGCCCTGGGTTTTTACTTAAAAAATTACAAAAATGTAGATAATTCTTCAATATACCATAATAAATTTCGGTACATTAAGCACAAAAAAAATTGGCTAATTTCATAATAAAAATACCGTTAATAATTATGATCCCCCGGATACTAGAAAAGGATGTGCGACTAGCACTCCTAAAACTGGAGAAATGTGAGTATATACTAATTTATATTTATACCTAGGATGTGATAGTATACATAAAAGCAGGCTTAATTCTGCGACAAATGTTCAGTATAACTTAATGCAGTATAAGATGCTACTATATTGTGACAGAGACGCAGGCAGCACCTCTCTTCCACTTAAGGATCTACGCAAACACACATACGCGTCGGTAATGGGTACATTTATCCCACTTTCATTTGGTACATTTAGTCCACTTACATTTATTATGTTATACTTTACCTATACACGTCACTTAATTGTCCTTGCGACTGTCTCAACTGAAACTGGGGTCCACCAGGTTACCAATAGGATTGCTAGAAAAACTGACTAGAACTCTCTGGTTTCAGTTCCCTTCGATCAGATCCGTAAACTAGCGAAGGATGTAGCCGACGGCTCGAAGTCCGGTGGCACGGACGATGCGCACTGCGAAAAATGCGAGAAGATCGTGGCGAAAATATTTGCCATGGAAAAGGTACGGCCCATGGCTTTCACCACGAGCGGCAAGACGGACGAGGAAAGGCTGTTGCAGAAATTGGAGACAATAGACGAGCGGCCGCTGGTGGAGGCTGAACCCAGGGTGGAAAGTTTCGACGACCCGCCCAAACCGAGCCATGGTGCCCTGCGACCGTACGACGTCGCTATACCGAACCGGCGCAATCTGAAGGATGTGGCCTTTGACGAGATCGCCTCCAAGCTTATGAGTTCCCCAGTGCGGGAGATCGACAGGAGACTCCTGAATACCTACATGAATCCTCATTCGATCCATCGCACGACGTTGACGATAGAGCACGATGCGGCACCCACCAAGACGAAGGGAGTGGAAAGGGAATTCATTGCACCAAACATCGCAGAGACCAGAGCATTCGAACGAGAAGAGGAAGAGATTGCGGTCGACGGCTTTCGCGATGTGAACACTCCACCACACTGCCGGGAGTACGCTCTTAACCTGGTCGGCGAGTCACTCGAACGCACCTGGAAGGCGGAGCGTTGCCAGCCCTTGCACTGTGTCGCAGCATACCCCACTTACATTGAGAAGGGCACCGAGCGCTGTAGAATGTTGCAGCAGTTGGAGGAGTTGGGCACGAGTTTTATGGGCCCACAGCAGCTGATGCTGGTGCCACTGCCACCTAACGAAACGGCGATATCCAGCCGCGATTCTAGCGTACCCGAAGCGAAGCCGAAGGAGGAGGATGGTGAGAAAGCCAACGTTACCGCGATATCATACCAGACGTTGCCGCGATCGATTGGGCGTGGCAACCGTAAGGAAGGCAAGAAAGGGGACGACCTTGTCACGTTCTTTTCAACAGTGTCTGACAACTCTCCAATCAATGCTGCCCAGACACGTGCATTTCAGAAGGACACCATAGATGATGTTCCCCTGTCAGTTCTGCTGAGGAGGGTGAGACAACGCAGTACGATTGAGCAGGAGATGTACAAAAAGTCTGCTCGGTACCTGAGCAAGGGCCCGTGCCTGCCACCGTTGGATTTGCGGCCTCGGAGCAAAACGTGTCCACCGCGCCCCTGCCCCGCCAAGAGATCAACCAGCACCCCTAAGAAGATGCCCTGCCCACCACCCAAGAAGAACGTCTGCCCGCCGCCAAAGAAGACAACCTGTCCCCCACCTAAGAAGACTCAATGCCCACCTCGGAGGGACAGCGACCCCTGCAAACCACCCCCGCCGTGTCCGTCGAGGAAGAAGCCGTGCGGCCTGTTCACCGGCAACAGGATTAAAGAGACCATTAGTCTGATTCTGTGCTCCGGTAGTCCCATTTTCGGGAAGAGCTTGCTAAACAACGCAACCGTACTACGATTGCCGAACAGAGGCGCGGTGCAAGCCACCCTCTCAGCCCACGCCGCGTACCCTGCACTATGGGCAGGGACCACTGCATCGAGGCTACGCAGTTGGGGCGTTCTCAGCTCGCGGTTAAGGATCGCGTCGGCGGAAGCGGAGGGAGTGGCACTAGTGCGGGACTTTAAACCTTGGAGCCCAATTCCCTCGTGGCCTATGCCCAAGAAGAAGACGGAGAAAAGGCTGGTCTGTCCCAAGGATGGCTGCCAGCCACCCAAGCCTTCACACGGCCCCTGCAAAGAGGCGCCCTGCAGCGCCAACCCAGCAGGCTCCCAGCGCAAGTATGCAAACACGGACTGCGACCCGCAAGAACAAATCTTGATTTAGTAACCCTTTTTGGAAAGCGTTTCCCGCGCGACGAGGCATGAACAGTTTTGGGATTGCCGTGCACTGTGCACATTAATTTCTCTAAGTATGTGGACAATGATTGTTACGATTAAAACCAGTGAACAATTGTTTGTGGATTTAAAAGCCCCGAGCAATTGTCGCAAGATTATGGTTACAGAACAATCGTTGCAAAATTGAGGGCCGTGAACAAATATTGCAACAGTTGAAAGCAGAGTCTGCAGCATTTGAAATACTACTAGAAATTTAGATTTGAAGACGATTTGAGTCGTGAACATTTTAAATTGGGTACTTGTAACTTTGTAGAGCCGGATAAATAAAGAGTATCCATAACTAATGTCTTTATTTTACAAATATAGAAATAATATAATGTAAGTTTGCTACTTCTATATTTTATTATTCAGTTATCACATTCACGTCCAGTCAGTGGCGGACTTAGAGCCCTTCGGAGGCCCGGGGCGGTAAAGCGGTAAACTTTAAAAAGTTTATTTACAAAAGTGAACAAAAGGCTTCCATTCCAGTACAAAAGGCATTTGCAACATTTCAAAGATCAATTCGAAGTTCTAATTGATCATTAACAAAACGGAAGAGCAAACATTAACAGTAGCGGTAGTGAATTTAGAAAACCCGTGCTTCTCCGGTGGTCAATTGTATGTATGTAGCATGTTTGCGTGGGTTCAACGCCCAGAATCTTTAGATTCTATACTCAAACGGAAAGAAATAATATCGTTTTTAATAGCGTATTAAAATAGTGCTCTGTTCTCTGTAGTAATGTACATGGATGGAGACACAAAAAGACAAATATCATACCCATTTGGCAAACAAATTACACAGGTATACGACCTCAACGTTAGAATTGGTGGCAGGATCCACCAGATATTCACCGGTACAATTCTATTGATAACCTCAATATTTGGTTAAAGCTCCAGTATTTGGTGCACGTTGATGGTTTATGGTTGACATGGTTTATGGGTGACACTGGACCTGAAACCACTCAGATGATGCAGTGGTCCACTTTGGCGTTTCATCTGGTGAGTGAGATAACCTGGGGCCACTTTATTAAAAGGGGGCAATGCATGTGAAATCCTGAGTGTTGCATATTTCTATGATGGACGGATATCACTTAGCATTGGGTGCGCGGCCAAGTGCCAACCCGTTTACCACCTTTACACATAAAGAAAAGATGAGGTAAATCGTCCGCTTCCACTTATATATAACATGGCTTCACAGAAGACCAGTGGGGTCTTCTGTGAAGCCATGTTATATCGCTGGACAAGTGTCCCCTTTTAAGTTTTGACTTTGACAATGTTGTTATGTTTTCTCGCCGACTATTATTGTTTATTTGTTAGTAAGATTTAATATGCAGTTAGCTCAAGGAATGCAAAAGGTGTTCAAATACTTTTGATGACCTATATTTTGATAGGTAATTTTACGTATGACCAAAAATTGAGAACAGAAATTATAAATAAACTACCTATTAGGAAAATTGTTGTGGCCGACTATATGTCTTAGTTTAAAATTATGAAGTTAGTGTTACATGGTTCCACCGCATTTGCAATGTGTTGTGGTGCTTCCTTGATACTGATTATACATGCACAGCCCAGTCTCTTACTATTCCTTACGCCGTAATAAAAATTAAATATTTGTGTTCTAACTTATTTAGGTTCTCGAGAGCTAACGAAAAAAAAACAGGCTTAATATAAAAAAATACATTTATTTAATTATTAGAAGCACAGTGCATGTAAACCTGTGCAGCATGTATGCGCATATAGACATGCACCTCACTGCACATCCGTAGAAATACGGCGACGAGTGAACCGCTGACATGTGGCACGCATGTCGACATGCGCGCAGCATGCGCATATTAGGCGACATGCAGCAGCGTCTCGGCGTACACGTCGCCGTTCTCATTGATCGCGTGGCATCCGTAGTAGCCGCCGTCGGTCTTCTTCGCGCGGCCGATGTGCAGATCGGCGACGGTGCGGTTCCCCTGGACCGTCTGGCTTATGGTAAGGCCCTCGCGTTTGGCGACGGGCGTGGCGTTGTAGGTCCATGTCACCGCGGGCGACGGGATGCCGAGCACCGAGCACGGGATACTGGCCTCTTGGCCCTCCTTAACGGACATGTAGGTGGGCGGTTTCTTCTCGTAAACGGGCGCGCCTGATGGAAAAGCGAAAGAGTAAAGTGTCAGCTTGTACATGACGCACTGCTGGGCAAAGACCTCTGTAGAAAGTGTATAAGGGCATATGACGGAATAAACCATATTTGCAACAAAAACGGCAATAAAGTGAAAATATAGATAACCTATAAAATAATATGTAACCCACAGAAACAAACATAACTTGTCCCGTATGGGAATGGAAACTACAACCCCCGGTTTATCGTTGTCTAGCTTAGCAATCGCCGCCACATTTCAATATTAAAAAACCAATACTAAAATAACAATAGGCCGTCTTACTTATGTTCGTTATTAGAGAAAACATTTATTTTGCCCTCAAACAAAATACATATAAACAGCGTTTCGATGAATTTAAATACAAATAAAAGTTTGAATAATAAATATACACAACAATTGCGCGTTACATGGGCGTGCTAACTACTTCGCACAGGAATAATCCCCTAATCTGTTTCCCCAAACGCGTCAAAAGAAACAAACAACTTCAAGCATTTTCAACCGCCTTTACGTCAAAACGCCATGTATACAGGAGGCCACTCACTGACGACGGTGAGGTACATTGTGTGCTCCTTCCGCTTGCCGAGTCCGTTGTCCACGGTGCACGTGTACGTGCCCTGGTCCTCCGTCCACGTCTCCCGGATGAGGAGGCGCTTGCCCTTGCTCCTGTTGTAGCGGGTCACGCGGTCCTGGGGCGAATTGTTGGTGTCGCGGCCATCTTTGAACCAGTCCGGATGAGCGAGCGGACTGTGGGGAGTGACGGACATAGCTATGTAGCTTAGCAAGTGGTGTTGATGGTTACGTCACTTAACTAAACGGAAAATGTAAAGTTAAAACCGTTTCGTTAATACATTTATCTTATTCTTAAAATTATAATATGTTCCATTAACGCTAAACGCTCTCTGCTATATCAGGATATGGGCCCAGTATGCTCCCACGCAGTAAAGTTCCCTTTTAACTAGGAAGTAAATATTGCTAATACGACATAATATAGGCAGGTATTAAATGGAGATAAGATCTTACAGATGTTTGATGGACGATTAAAGGACAATATGTATACGGCCTATCGTTAAATACTTTTCACCCGCTCAGCATTTGTTTCTAATAAAACGAATCGAAAGTATACAAGATCGAATCAAAATAATCTGATGATGTTATTTAAATGAAATATTATTTTAAAATTTCAGACAAGTCCACATAGAATTGTCTGTAAATTGATCTATAACAATAAAAGAAAGAAAGAAGATAAATAACTATAACCCGAAGTAAATAATTCATGAATAAGTGACCAGGTTTATCTATTCTAATGTTTCTGCAGTTTTGACGCTACAATTTTTATACCCAAGGCCGACAGATGTAAACATAATCTGCATTCGGTGAATATAATACTACCAAAGAGCATTTCATTGCATTAAATTACCATATTGCATAAATCTGTAGGAAAAACATGGCATTTTGTACACCGATCGCGTAGCAAGATAAACAGTAGTGTCTCAGACTATTTCGCTTACCGTCTTTATATTATCGATGACATAATGTATAAACAAAACAAATGGCGTTTTTAAAATAGCCTTCGAAATATTGGCGCGCATTTATTTTAAACATGGCGGAAAGTAGGTTGACTTTTAAGTAGCATTTTTTTTTATCGTCGTTAACGCTTCCAAGTGCATTCTTTTCAGGCTGTTTAACATATCGTGCAAAAATATATTAAGGGGATTTAACAGCGAGTTTTGTGACATTTCTAAAGTAGTTTACGGTTTAAAGTCCTAGGGAAATTTTAATTATGCTTACGGAAAACGTTTGTCTGTTAAAAATTAAGTCAGTGTTAAGAGCATTGATTTATTTTATGATAAATTAGGTTTAAATCACAAGGAAATATTAAGCTAATATCTACGATAAAAATCCATTGTATTATTTAGTAGGTATATTTAAATTATATATGAATTTTTAAAAATAGTTTATAATTAATATGTTGGGTGAGTAATGTGTTTGGTTTTACTCGTGTAAATTTCATACGTACAAACATCCAGATCCTAGTCTGGTCATGGACATAACCCAACGCGTTCGGAAATCGAACTCGAAATGGACGCTTTACTAAAAATCTGTCAACTTTACGATTCCAAACGTAAAAGAGTTTCCGTTTTCCACTCACCTGCCGCCGAAGATGCAGTACAGCATGGTGACATCGCCGACCTTGGCGGTCGTGTTCTCAGTGGTGTACTGCTCGACCACCTCGCTGTAGTCCTGGCCCTTGTTCGGCTCCAGGGCCTCGATGTAGTGCTCCGCTAGCGCGACAGGCTCGGCCGTGGCAGGCGACGAAGCCAGGCACGTGTACTTGAAGTTGTCGTAAGCATCCGATGACGTCACGTTGGAGAACCACAGCGTGCCGTCGGGTGATACAGTGATGCGGCCGTCGGAGACCTCCTTCGAGACGTTCGGGTCCGTCTCGAAGCGGAGCCGCCACTCTATCTTGGGCTGCGGATGCGAGGGCGGGATGGGGCAGTCCAGTTTGAAGGGCTGCCCTTCGACGGGTCTGTGCCTCTGGACGGCGATCTTCGGGACGGGGAGGTAGGCCTTCGTGACGGTGATCATTCTCGTGCTGGCAACGCCGGCGTCGGAGGACGCGAAGCATTGGTAGCGGCCCTCGTCGGTCGACTTCGGCTGGAGGAGGACGATGGTGCCCTCGCCGTCGCGCCTGATGACGTCAGAGCGGCCGCCCCAGTCGAATGGCTTCCCGTCCTTCTGCCACTCGAACCTAACGCAGAATATACACGCGACCGATATATGAAAGCACAGGAACAGATTCTATTCAAAAGTATACAGAACAACGAGCCAATACATTGAAGACAAGGATTTATCGAAATGAGTCACTCTGCAAGTCCCCTGATTGCTGCTGATTGTAACTTTACAAATTATAAAAGAAAAAAGAGAGGACAAGATCGCAGGTGTCTTTTTTTATGTGAAAAGTTGCCAAACGAGCAGATGGTTCACCTGAGGGTAAGTGAATACCGCCGCCCATGGACATCTGCTACACCCGAGGGTTACAGATGCGTTGACAACCTTTTGAAAATTGGGCTCCGGCTACCTCACTCACCAGACGTAACGCAAAGTATTTCTTTGTCTGGAGAGGTTTAAACTAGTTAACTAGTTGATGCTAGTTTTTTTTTTAGTTTTATGAACTTAAACCAAGCCCCGTATAATCAGTGCCGGATTAAGCAAGCGCGGGGCCCGCAGCAAATTCGTTCAAACAGCCCTTGATCTGCTATGGGTTTTTAATTATATGAAGTGGTAAAATCAATTCAATACTCTTACTTACTTAGTAAGTTTCACTCAAAAAACTAAGGCTCAGGCAGAGATGGTGGGTTTAAATTTTAACCGCATGATGTAGCTCTCTTGGCGCGGGGCCCGTAGCGATTGCTACTCTTGCTACGTGGTTAATGCGGCACTGGGTACCTATAATTGAAGAAGTTTTGACTTCGAACTCACTTGACGTTCTGCGATGGGGCGGTGGTGGCGCACGGAAGGGTCAGGTGCTGCTGCGGGTCTGATTCCGCGAAGAGAATCGAAGCCGGGACTTCGGTTAAGGTCGGCGGTTGCTCAACGGGCTGCGATGAGCCTGTACAAAGGTATTTCCGCAGATGTTGAGTATGTGAATAATTAGACCCGATTGCAATAATCGATCACCACTGCTGCACAAATATTGTATATGAATGTAACGTGATTATAATATTGCTTGTTTATATGTACCTATATCTATAATGTATAAAGTATAGGTACTGTACACACTGCTGGGCAAAGGCCTCCTCTACACAGAGGGTATCAGGACATAGTCCCCCACGCGCCCCCACTGCGGATTGGCGGACTTCACATATCTCTTCGAAAAATATGTATTTTTTGTTATCATTTCGAAAATATGCTGGTTTCCTAACGATGTTTTCCTTCAGCTATAACCTATAACGTATATTTAATTACAAAAGAAAAAATGTGTTTAACTATTTTATTCGTGTACTTATTATCCATAGTACATGCTTTGATTAATTTGGGACTAGATAACGTTGAGTAAATATGTACTGGAAATTTTTATTTATTTATATCGTCTAGACTAAAAAGAACTTTTTTATTCGACAGGATTAATGAATCTATCCTACTAAGAATAGAAGAAAATCTTTTCTAGTTCGTAGTTATCTACGCATTTATTTTTTCATATTGTGTGAAAAAAAAATAAAGCGAATACATGATAATATTTTTAGGTTTGAGCGAATTAAACACGAATAAAGTCAAAATTGAAATACGTGCTTAGTTGTTATCATTTATAATTATACCTTACGGAGATGATAAAGATAGTCTTGATTAATTTTAAGAGTAGAAAATTGTATTTATTTAAATAATGAAACTCACACAAAACAGCAAGTGCTGCAAGCGCAGCGATTCTCTGGGCTACAGCCATTTTCTATACCTGAAACAAATAAGTAAGTACCGAAGATTAATATTTGCGTATTTATGTAATTACACGAGTTAACTCAAGGCACAGATTTTATAATTTACCAAGATTTTTCACCACACCCCGAGAGAATGACAAAAGGTATTAAGTTCGCCCTTCGTATTTATTGTTTAAGGTAATTGCAATAAAGAATAAATAATTAAATAAATTAAAAATAAATAGAAAGTAAATAAGGAACAGCATATACATATTTGTCTCATAACTGGGAAAAGACAACTGTTCAGAGAGTACTAGAGGTAGAGATTTTTTTTTTGTTTTGCGAGCATCCGGTTTGCCTGATGTTAAGTAATCACTTTTATCGAATACCGCTAGCTATCAACCAACCTATTATTAACCAACGCTTGAGGGTTGCAGCTGCGTTGCCAATCTTTAAAAAAGTTAGCCACTGTTCCCTCACTTGCCAAACGAATCGAGAATGTATAATAGTTTCACCCCCGCCGATCTGGTACTATATCGGAGGAGCCTGCCCAATCGAGCAATAACAGACCAGATTGCGGATGGCGTCGATTTTTTTTTATTTCTGCGACCGTGTTGTTTTTAAAAGGCTAGCATGTATATACATTTTATCAATATAAATCAGCTCTTAAATTTGCAGTTAACGATTTCATTGGCGAATATAACATACGAAAAGCGAGCGCCCGATTTGTCACCTAATCATGTTTTATTTTGTTAAATATGAAACAAGATAAGGTTGTTAGGGTTAGAAAGGCACAATAAGAAAATTTCACTGACACGTAGCGTCGTGATAATCTGATTAAAGACTATTGGTTAATTTATAATTGAGTGCTATTTTTATATGATTATTTCTTAAGTTCTCGACAAGGATTAGGACAACTAGTGGATTTTTGATATGATGTAATCGAAAGCTATTGGTGTAATAACTGTAAGCAAGTAGGATATAAGTAAGATAGAGAAGATATAAGTAAGAAACAACAATCAACTTTTTAAGATTTTTATGAAAATACCAGTTAATTTGAGCATTGAAAATAAAAAGTTAACTTTTAACGTAGTGTGCAGTTGACCGGTAAAATTTATAAATATAGAAAACAATTATCATTAGCGCTATTTTTTTTTAATTTTATGGATGCTTACAATTTTCTAGTAAAGCCCTTCGGATTCGGACCTCTACTTTCGATAAACATAAATGTAGATATACGCGAAAAATTAATAATATTTTAAGACAAATAAGATATAAATTTTATTTAATTATTTTTGTTACACAGAAAGTTTTTGAAAATAGCATCGATAATATTTTTAAAGCTATGATAACTTATAGTAATAATATTTAAAAACGTAGAAATTATCAAGATAGGTAATTCTAATTTGTTAATAGAATTAATTTTAAATTTAAAAATAAAAAACAGTATCAATAACTAGAGTAGGATAGATAAAAAATATAGGAATGAGGATGAACAATTAAAGGGATAAAATGTAAAATTTCAGAACGCACCGTGGCTTCACGCGTTGGCGGGAAATGCACCGATACTGTACAGCAACAGGGTGGCCTGCACTTTATATAATGGCGGCCTAGCCTAGTCATCAGCTGAACATCTTCATGTAAAGTACCGCGACTCATGCCTACGACCTTTAATGCGCTCAAGTTTATCCTCGCATTATTTTCATTTTGTAAATGGCGTTAATAATTAAAGGCGACGTTATAAACTAAAACCATCGCTCAGATAAATATTCTAACAAAGTGCTAGGAATATGTAATAGAAATACTAACTGCTATGTAAAAACGTTGAAATTTTCTTTGAAAGCAGGTTGATTTTTATATTCGAGTTAGTATTGAAACAAATACTATGCATTGTTGACGATTTTAAGAAAAAAAAACTGATGTATAATTTAAACCTAACTTGGTTTAAATTATAAGTACATCATTAAAAAAATATAATAAAAAATATTTTTTTACCTAAGTAACTCAAACTGTACTTTAGTTGGCGACCCGATTGGCGTTGTGGATAGTGAGCCTATCTTCTGCGCCAAAGAGTTATGGGGTCTAGTGTCCCAGACACTTGTGTCTATAGACAATATTTATACATAATATTTAAAAAAGAATATTATGAATTTAAAATTTTTATAGTGCTAATTTCTGCACTTAAGATGAAACATTAAATTTTGTAGAAAAAAGTACGAAAAGTTTTTCGCCGCTGTGGGAATCGAACCCACGTCTTTTGGAAATTATGTTTTAATATGTTTATACTAAAATTTCCCGAATTTATATGTAGTATGTTTATTATGTTTATACCTAATACCCATGGTACAAGTTTCTCTTAGTTACCTCCTACTTCTACTTATTTAGAAACTTGTACCACTTGTGTGCTTGAAACTTGTACCTTGTTATTCTAGAATAACGTTTATATAAAAATGTGTCGTGAAAATATTTATTTAGTACAATTAATCTCTTCTACAAACTAACAATCAAAAATAGTAGGGCAGACAGGAGCTTTCTACCGTAACGGGCATCCAGGGAATATACGAGTTATGTGTACATATGCAATTATTATTAATGTCGTCAGTTCGTGTCGAGTGCGATAATTTTTATATGAAAAAACTAGCGTCGAAAGTATGTTGAAACGTAATTTTTCTATTTATAAAATTTATTTATAATTCAAAGCATATTTTGTGTCTCTAGCGTGACTAAAGACCGTTGTGATTTTTAGGCAACTTACAAGACAAAAATGCATGATTCCTTGTAAAGGCATGAAGTCTGTTTCTATGGTAACAATAATTACTATTCAATATTACCTGTAATGAAATGAAAGCCTTTAGGCCCTGCAATGAAAGGTCACCAATTTATTACTAAATCGAAATTCGCCTAAGCGACATCTAGTGGTCATTTATGCATATAAGTGTAAAGAAAGGGACAAAAGACTCTAGGAATCTATATTTTAATACGTAAAGGGATATCTTTTAAGAAAATTTCGCGGACGGAAGAGTATGAATTTTCCCACACTAATTTATACAGAGAAGGAGTGCAGAATGCTAACATTTTTTTTATTATGTATAAAATTATACATTAAATCAATAAAAAAAACATTACACACAACACCATGTATTATATGCAAATTATACTCGAATTTCGAGCACTGGGTGACCACTAGTACAATTAAACCGGCTAAACTCAAGTCCAATCGGTGTAGGTATAGATTAGTTTTGGACCTTCATCGGGGTGAGTGGAATAAGTTCGCAGTGCGAAAATGTTTAAAACTGACAGTTTAAAAATGTCACATTACAATTCTAATCATCAAAACATTAAAGTTGAAACCGCTCGTTTTAAATCCCGCTGCATGTCGACCAATGAAATTGTAACTCCTTATTTTCTCTACTTATTTGTCGGTTGACTGGTAGAGAACACCTAATGGTGTTAAGTCCACCGTTCTACGTTTAATGTGCATAAAGTTTTAAATAAATAAAACTGAAATTTTAAGCGCTCACCACGCGCTCAGCGGTAAAGGAAAATGTCGTGAGGAAACATATTTTTCAAATAATGATAAAAAATATAATTCGAAGATATGTGAAGCCTGCACATGCCATGCAAAGCAATCACCGTCGACCATAGACAATAAAAATTATAATAATATATCCTATGTACCATAACTAGGATGAATCTGAGGACAGCTCTTAATAAATGTTGAGAACCGTCTAAAGCTTTGGTTGTAGAGCGTGCCAAATATTTAGTCAAATAGAAGTGTTATACTTCTATGTTTCGTCTGGTTCGAGTGAGGTAGCCGGGGCTCACTTTATTAAAATGAGGCAACGCATCTGCAACCCTCCCTACGGGTGTTGCAAATGTTCATGGGCGACGGTTATCACTTAACATCAAGCGATCCGCCAGCTAGTTTGCCACATAAAAAAAGTGTTAAGTACTTTAATTTTCTTGGTGTTCGAATCAATAGGAGCAATACAACTTAATCTAATATACTTTTTAATTAAAAATTTATCCAAATCCAGTTAGTACTTGACTATCATCCCACTGATGATAATAAGATGTAATGTTAGATGACAAACACATTGGCTCAGTAACGACATATTTCTTCTTGCCTTGAAAAAAAAAAGTCAAACTATTTATTATAAAAGGTACTAAGTATGTACCTATAACTAACTATTCAGCGAGGAAATGCATCTAGAGTTGTGCTAAGATTGTTGTTTACGTTTAGTTTTCTTATTTTTGTGAATATTATTAATTGAATATCGACGACCGAAACGAACAAATGGCGTAGTGGGTAGTGTACCTGACTCCTGCGCCAGAGGGTGTGAGTTCGGTCCCCACTACTGGAAAAATATTATATGATGGACAGTGTTCTTCTAGTGTCTGGGTGTTTATATATGTATAATATGTATTTATTTACAAAAGAAAAGTATGTTTCAGTATGTGTATCAGTTATCTAGTACCCAAAGTAAAGCGTTGCTTAGTTTGGGACTAGAGAACTTTGTGTAAAAATGTGTCCTAAAATTTATTATTTATTTATTAATATCAAAACAAATAGTCTATTAGCTCATCTAAGATTTAGATGTACCTACTGAAATCGCATTCGTCACACAAAATATAAAGGTATTCCCATTCCAAGATATTATTGTTCTAACGTATTCTAGAGTTTTCTTTATGTTTTCCTTATTATGCCTCCGTTACGATTCTTAATGGAATAAACTGCTTGAGTAATCCCTGACGCACGGCGCTGATGACAGGTGCTTTTTTTATTTACAATTGAATTAAAGACATCAATGACTGTTCAGCATAAGTCGTACCTAATTATCATTATTCAATGATTTATTAAACATTATTTTGTGAATGGAAAATTGTATATTTAAGGATGAAAATTTTGTATATGGAGATGTGGGGCAAGTTTATAATTTTACATGTTAATTTGTGCAGACGAATTCGCGGTTTGCAGCTAGTGCACAATAAATAACTTGAATATGGAAAAAAAAATCTTATCATTATTTTATTATAAATCCTTCCGTGACAAGTGACATATTCCTTTCCGGCACATCCCAATGGGATTTGAGCCCGGTTAAACGCAAGGATCGTTGGATTATGGGTTCGATTCCCATTTGTATGCGGTACATGTTATTTTTTGTTATGACGTTTTTGAAACGAATTTTAAAATTCTTTATGCATTTCGTTTGGTTTAAGTCCATGTAAAGTAAAGTAAAGGAAAATTTCAAAATCAAACGGAAAATGTACAGTGTGTGAGATATTTGAAGTCGATTTTGTTTTGTGAAGTTATACTTCATTGTCACGTTGAAAAAAGTAAGAGAGTAATTTTTTTACAAACCGCGCACGGACCCACAGCTACTAACTTCACGGTATTACCACGGCAACCAATAACAACTAACTTCTAACCTATCAAAATGTTTCCCCCATTTCCATGCAATTGATTGGAATATTGCGATGAGTCTAATTCTCTATATTTTCCTTACGTAATATGCTCGTTTCTTATGTGTCATAACTTTTTAAATATTTAAATTCTGTTTCTTTTTCATTTTTATACGATGTTTGAAGTTGCCTTTGGCTTTTAGAGAAAATTCTCTAATTTGTACACGTACCTGTGGCAGTGATTAACTATTATAGCCATAATCTACAAGTGAAAACTTCACGCATATTATCAGTATGTTATATTTCCGATAACGTTTCTAAGAACTAAACAATTGTCTCCATAACAGCGGCTAACAGGAAAACGAGCCCATGGTTCGGAACGGTTCGTAAAAAAAAACGGAGCGTTATATTTTTTATAGTTTGCCTATAATAGTCTTTTTTTTTCTCTTTTAATTGCGGCCGTATCCTGCCAGGTCCGCTGGCATATTATTTTTATTAATAATAAAGCTAACAAGGAGACCTTTGTCAACGCTCTATACTTATCCAGGCGTTTAATTTAAACGAAGAAACGATTTTCAATCATATGTTATATAATTGATCATGAATTCTTCTTTTTTGTGGTCCATGATTTTATAATTCTACACGGAACTTTCAGATCGATTCTAGCAACGTTATGGCTGGTCTGGTCAGATAACTGGAAATCCAAATCGTAAACTGAAATTACAAATCCGACGTCCTGGCCGTTTCAAAATGACTAACTATCCTACTTTTTCAACAGGACAACTTTTCAATTAAATGGGTTTTTAAATTACATATTTATTCGAGACGGACTAAAAATGTTTATATTATATTCTATTACAATTTTTTAAATTACAAGCCATTATCCTTATCTATCCTACAGATCACTATATCTGTACGGTAAGGATAATGTCAAGGGTTGTAATTATGACTCTCTAGTCATATTATTAGCGACATATAAATATCAGACGCATTAGCATTTTACTCTTACATTTAGTAATAAATATTAAAATGTAAAGCCATTCGATTTCTATATTGCTACATTAAATTGATAAATTTCCATCTGCACTCTCTAACAGGTATTTTCTCCGTTATTAACCGGCCAGTTGACAGTATTACCAGTACATAAGAAAATGTCTTTTTATTCGCCACTCAAGGAAATAGTAAATAAGGAAAAGGCGAATGCGCTTTCCTTGTTTCGCTTTGTGTCTCTGCGGTGAATCCCGGCGCCCGTGCGGGCTGATACCGTAATCTCATCGTCAATTAGCTATTTACATAATTGAGAATGTTTTCGTAAACGAACCGAAGCGTCCATTAAATCCAATAGTGTTACTATCGGAATATATTTACATTAAGTGTGTATAATAAATTACTAGATGACCATTTATATAAGCACTAAGTAATCCGTCTTTAATTACTAATTAACATTATCATATTTAATCTGTTCTCTATTCGTTCTTTTTTCCCTAATGTTTTTTTCCACGAACAACAGGTGGAAAACTATTTTTTTATTATTTTCGACCTGAAATTATAGGTTATATTTTTAGATTCGTTTCTTTGCTTACCTTTAAATATTACTTTGAAGGTCAAGACAATTATTTATTTTTTATTTTAATTATACAATTGGTGCCATTCTTTTTCATCCAAATATTTTTTTTGTTGTTGTTTTTTTATAAACATTTCCCTCCCTTTAGGATAACATTATTATGTGTTGTAAGGACGTTTTACAAACATAAATTGCACGAGGACAAACACCCAGATGCAAAACAACTATATGTGGGTCGCACAAATAGTTGTCCCGTGTGGGAATCGAACCCACGACCCCCGACGCCGAAGCCAATACCTCGGCAACTGCGCCACGGAGTCATCATTTTTATGAATAAAATATTTAAAAAAAACCCCCCCTCTGCCATTGCTGTTACTCTGGAACTCTTTACCTTTGGCTAATAAACGTGCTCAAGCCCTAAGCCCTAGATTCTTTTAAAAAACAGGCTAATGAGCATTATCTGTCTGTCTAGCTCCTCTCTATCTTTCGATGTCTCACTCGATCCCTTTTTTTCACTCTTAACTGTAAAATCACTCACAAGAGGTATGTTTTTCTTATTAATTTAATTTTTATTGCTACTTTCTTTTTATTTATTTTCATATATATCCTACCCATCAACAATTCCTTTTGGTAAATTTCTGAGGTTGCCCGGAAGAAATTGGTGTGTAGCAATAAGGTCACCTTTTGATGACCAACATTTAATAAATATTTTATTTGTCGTACTTTTTTATTTTTATTTTTTGGTGTACAATAAAGTATATTATTATTATTATGGAAAAAACAGTTTAAATGTATAGCAGAGTCATTGCGGTTAAACATTTATTACCTATTGAGATTGTAATGACGACACACTTTCCTTTAAAAAAAACGTATTTAAAATATTATTTTTAGCTTTAGTACCTAACTATTAACGTACGAGCTTTAATACAATAACATATTATCTTTAGAGCAATATATTATTATCCCCGATGTTCCATTTGATATAATTTAACATTCTGAATGCTGGTATCGTTGCGATTGAAGATTTAAATGTGATTACGTTTTTTAAATGACACTGTTTTTCCATCCCAACATTGGAAACGTGATATGGTTTTTGAAATTATAAATTACTTTATGATTCGTCATGAGCAGATCTATAGAATTTAAATAGATTCTAATTTTATCTATGGCTTTTTCATAGCTACGTACGTTTGAAGCAGCCATGGCTCAAAGAGAATGTAATCACTACGTTTACTACGTCATGGTTTTACAGATTAAATAAGTTTATCTTTGATTGCGCTTTGAACCGTAAATGAGTAAACTATTTATTTTATCATTTTCGTTACTTGTTATTTATTACTCACTATTTGTCTCTGACATGAAGCTAAGTATCAAAAAAACTGGCATAAAGTAGAAGGATTTATACTTTTGCTTTTGTCGTAAATTGTAACAGTAAGTAGAAACTCTGTGTGTGAAACTTATATATTCTTACTTTCTTTCCCTAATATCGATTTCTTTTTATCAGTTGTATTTCTAGCAGAAATACCACAGATAACCTTTAGTGTTGCGAGAAACGAGTTCGCGGTGTTATTTACTTTTTTGTACACAATTGCTATTGCATAGGGTTCTTAGATCCTTGATGTGTTGGTTTTCACGTTCAATTTTATTTTATTTTTAAGAAATTCCTTGCATGTCCATTTGTTTGCGACATAAAGCTATGATCGATCGCACGCATGGCAGTAAGTTGAACGCGGTAAAAGTAGTGATTATATTCTCTTTGGTTGAACGTTTCTGGGATTTATATGACGAATAATATCACATAGTCACGTAGTACAATATTTTTAATCGTTTACAATAATTTTATGTAAAATATAGGTATATGTTTACATCTCGCAGGACCGGTTCGGTACGAGCAAAACGCCTTCTAGAACCGTCTAGGAGACGTGCAGCAGGGTCTCTGCATACACGACCCCGTACTCGTTATATGCTCTGCATCCATAGTAGCCGGCGTTCCTCATAGTCACGTTCCCTATCTCGATGTGACCAATGCCTGGTTCTCCCAGCGCGTATATGACTGTTATCCGCACACCTCTTCTCTGGAATAGGGGTCTCGAGTTGAAGGTCCAGAAAGTTTCGGGATCCGGCTCGCCGCTGAAGCTAAATGTCACGGTGACTGCTTGGCCGACGGCAGCGAGGGTCACCGCCTCGGGAGTCCTCTGAAAAGCCGGCGCGCCTGAAATAGACCTTGAGTTTTTAGACCATATGTCCAGGAAGGAGGTCAAAGTCAATTCATTTCTTTTTAACCTTCACCCAAGAGCTTACAGTCGACAAACAACCTACAAAAGAGAATTTTTGTGATTACTATGAAAAGTTCGTTGTAGTCTCTTGAAGTAATGCGATACAAAATCGGCAGAAGTCAGGTGACATGCTAGTTAAAGCCGTCTCAGGCTCTACCGGGGCTGTTGGGAATACAAGAATTTGGGGGCCGGATGGAAAATAAAAAAGCTTTGCTGCATCCTGAAATTCACAGTTTTCCAGAAATCACACTTGGTATCCATTGGAAAATACAACCTGACAGGTTGTTATCTCTTGTTCATTTAATATACTGGCTACATGGCCCAATTGAAATCATTTTTCGACTTCATTTGGCCCATTTTCGAGATTGACTCGGCCGTGTCAAACAAATTCTCGAATTTTCTATTGATTAATTAATTTAATATCAAAAAATTACTGTATGCCGCCCTAAGCTCTAGCCTACCCTACTTAGCCCGTTGGTCAATCCGCCACTGCCCAGCACTGGGACTTGTATAGTCAGTTGCTTTACTTTTTTTATAACATCACTAATTTATATTCTCTAATAGTTTTATACATTAAGGCCTTTGATTATTTTATTATCACCAAAGTTGGGTTGATTGTTTTAGTTGGTTTGAAAGTAGATTATCTAGAGTCTAGATAATCTAGTCTAGATTCTAGACGTATAAATAATCTTTTTTTCATATTTATAGTTTTGCATCAGCATAAAATCTGTCAGATTTGTTTGATAATCGTATATAACATAATCAAACGCAAAATCTAAATATATTATAATTATATTCATTAATGTAATGTAATGAATGTTTAAAGTAATTTAAATATGTCTAGTATGGTTTTATGTTTATATTCTCATTCATAAAACATGCAAGTGCAAGCCAATGCCGTGAAATATGCCTGAGTATTATTTTACGTTTTTTTTGTTTGTGAGAAAGTGGCAAATTAGCTGGCGGTTCACCTGATGTTAAGTGATAACCACCGCCCATTGAGTTGCAAATGCGTTGCCACTTTTAAATAAAGTGGGCCCCAGCTACCTCACTCACCGGACGAAACGCAAAAGTGTAACACTTCTACTTTACGCCGGTCTTCTGTGAGGTCGTGGTACTTACCTGGACGGACCTGCCCATTCTTGCAATAGTGTTGCGTGGCCCTACCACCGTTAGTTACATGATAAGTTTTTACGGTATTGCTACGAATAAACATGGTTTTATTTTAATGGGGTTGTAGTTTTTGTAGTCTTAAATGTGTCAAGCATATAGCTACAAAATTTATGGGTTTATCTTCCTTCACAGACGTGCATATGAAGCTAATACAAAAAATCAAAACGTACGAAATATCTTTATTCAAATAGAAGCTTGCGCATTCTTTTGAAACGTCGAATTTTACTTTTAAATTGATACAGTTCGTACGTCACTTTCTGTTGAGAAGAGAGAAAGAAAAAAGGCAAAGAACCCAACAGCTGCTCTCTTTTAAAAAGATCAGTTCACAATATAACAAAGGTATAATATTCTTATTTTAGCCTGCGTAATATCAATAGTATTTGGCTCCACACATTGGCGACATCGAGATATTCCGCAATGGTGTAATAGGCTTTAACCATAAGTTTACTTTGTGTTTAAATTGATCAAGTGGCAGACTTAGTATCGACTGTGGGATTTTGCTATACATGCGCATAATTTGCCCCATGAACGTAATAGAACCTATTTAATTTTTGTAGGCAAAACAATGACGTATGTAGTTTGTCCTTATTTTTAGTATTCAATTTACATAAAATCTACTAGTAATAGTGTACTTGCCAAAAACTGTGAGGTACATGGAATTCGTCTTCTTTCTGCCCGCGCCGTTATTAACGATACAAGTGTATGTGCCCTGGTCTTCTGTGCTGGTGTTTCTGATGAGGAGTTGCTCTCCGCACTTTCCAGAGACTAAGGTACGGTCTTGTTGAGAGTACTTCAACCTGAATCCATCTTTCAACCAGATTGTTCTCAGTTCGGGACTGTGAGGGGCCAGACATATTTGCGATTAGAAAAACAAATGAGAAATCTACTGAAAGTCGTGAGTCTATAATAGGTCTGCCGGATAGCTCAGTGTGAGCCGTGATAGCTCAGTGTGAGCCGTGATAGCTCAGTGTCCCGGCGCTCACTTTTGATTCAATATACTCGAGCAACCAGTTCAAATTCCGGTGCCAGCACCAATGAAATTGTTTTTTTTTTTTTTTGCTGACTTATCACGTACTCAACGGTGAAGAAAAACATCGTGAGAAAACCTGCATATTTTCGAAAAACTTTTCGAAAAACATTTCGAAGATATGTGAAATCCGCCAATCCGCAGTGGGGCCGCGTGGTGTACTATATCCTAGTAGTAGTAAGTGATGCCCAAAATATAGAGGAGGCCCTTGCCCAGCAGTGGGACTTGAATAGGCTGATAATTTACTGCTGTTATGCGTGCGTCACAAAAAACTACTGGATAGATTTCAATTAAAAATGTTTAGTTTATTTCTTAGACAATTGGGCCCTTATCTAAACAAAAAATTTGATATCTTCATTTAATGTTAAAGTTATTAAAGTTTTAAGAAACAACGATTTTTTATAAGCGTGAAATTCGACCATAATCCATCATTAATTATACATGGTAGTGTGTTTATTGTTTTTGTTATTTATTTAATGTATTTTTTATGCATAATTAAAAAAAATGGTAGCATTCTGCACTCCTTCTCTATATAAACTATAAGTGCTGGAATTTTCATGATCCTCCGTCTGCGCAATTTTCTTAAAAAGGCGTACAAAGTTTTTGCTTCACGTATATAGATAAGCAACGTAGATACACTTGTAGATATCAGCTAGTTAAAGAAAACGTATAGAGGTTAAAATTATAAGTAAGCCTACGGGTGCTGTTTGGTTTCTTTGTAACACGAGCGATCGACCAGTTGTTGTCGACCCTTATGTTATATAATATACATATATCTTTATATGTATACACAGCGTGTCTTTAACATCGCGACAATAATTGAACACACATATAGGGGATAACTTTTTAAAATTGTATTAATAATTTACATTCTTTAAGCATCAATATTTACAGAGTTATTAAATTTCCCATAACAAAAAATTTTAGAACACCCGTACGTACAAAACTGTAACGTCAGTTCATTTGTAAAGGTCACAAAGCATAATGGGTTAAATGAATTTAACAGAGACAAAACATACTGTTAGAAGGAGAGACTTGTAATACGACGCTGTGACAACGAATGAAAAAGTCTCTGAATGTATGAATCAGTAGTTGTATAGGATGTTACAAATTTTGTTTCTTTTTTACTTAATTAGTTTGTTTGCAAAATATTTTTTTTAATTATAGATCTTTTTAACGTTAATATTTTTTTTTATGATTATTGGTAAGTAGCGTTAGATGTGTGTTCATTTATTGTCGCGGTGGTAACGACACTCTGTATATAATTCTTCTGTACGTGTGTTTTTCACTGAACTCCTCTTAAACGGCTGGACCGCTTTAAACGAAATTTTTTGTGTCTTCAGGTCGATTCGAGAATGGTTTAGATTCACAATTCGGTCCACTTCATTCTTTTTATTTTTTATTTGTAGGTTATTTTTTTTAAATTGTGTTATTTAAAAAAAATACTTACCCCCCCTTATAAATGCAGAAGAACTTGGCGACGTCCCCCAGCTGTACAGTTACATCCTCACTTGCAAATAGCTCCACCAGCTCGTTTCTCTTCATCTGCATCGCCACCTCATCATCTATATAATACTGGATCATCACCTCCGCGCCTCTAGTAGCCGGCGAAGACGCGAGACACGAATAAGTCGAGTCCCTCCTGGCTTCCGTCAGCCATAAACTGCCATATGGCGTCACGGTACCATTCAGGTCTTGCGATTCAGTCAGATTCCCGCCAGAGCTCAGCCTCCATTTGAACTCAGGGACCGGTTCACCGGTGGCCGGACAGTGCAGCATCATTGTCCGGTCTAAGGCTACGTGTTTCTTCAACGTCGTTCCAGGCTTCTCCAAGAAGGAGCGCTTTACATTTATCACAGTCGAACCGGCTACCCCGAGGGCGGATTCCGCGAAGCACTGAAACAGACCGGCGTCCCGGTACGCGGGTCTCATGAAAACAATGGTACCGTCGTCTCCCTTCGATAGGACATCGGGTAGGAGTTTCAAGTTCAGCGGCCTACCATTCTTCTCCCAGTGGAATCTGCGGAGGAGTTGCAAAAGTAAAATAGACAAATACAGGGAGGCTTTTCTAAGTGTATCCATTTTTTTAATTAAATTCTAGACATAAATAATGTTATATAAAAATGATAAATCACTCTAATTAATTACATTAATTTAAACTAAATAACATTCATAACTAACACGCATACAAGTTCGTTTCAAAAGTATACGGCGCATTTATGAATGACTACCGCATTGTCAACAAGTTGTTTTTTAAGGAATAGAATTGCAATTTAAAAAAAAAAAGTTTGTTTTATTTCAATAAACGAATATACAACCGAGTCTGAACCTCCTGTGTGAATTTGTGTCTGAACCTTAAGAAAAGCCACCCTGTACACAGAGACATGAGGTCTTTCTCGATGCTGCAAGCGTCTAAGTTTTATTCGTTTATAGTAAAAAAAGGAAAGTACCAGCCTATACATGTCCCACTGCTGGGCAAAGGCCTCCTCTATACAAAGGATATCAGGGCAAAGTCCACCACGCGGCCCTTGTGCGTGTTGGCGGACTTCACATAAGTATCTTCGAAATATATTTTTTTGTTATTATTTCAAAAATATGCGCGTTTCCTCACGATGTTTTCCTTCATCGTTAAGTACGTGATAAAGTCATCACTTAAAATCAACTAGCACTTTAGAAATTAGTAAAAAATGTTTTTTTTTTTTACTATAAATTCTTTTTGTTGTGGCGTCTTTTCGTGTCGGATGCCAAGATCCTCTTTGGGTCGCTGAGCCAGCCAAGTAAGTAAAAAAAAATGTTATTTACTGTAAGGTGGCAACGCTTCTGCAACCCTACGGGTGTTGCAAATGTCCATAAGCGGCGGTCATCGCTTAACATCAGGTGAACCGCCAACTCGACTGGCGCCACCTTCACACATAAAAAAATTAAAAAAAAAAACGGCTGTTTTGTTCTTCCCCAAGTAAAATTTTGGCCATAAGTCCACCTTCGTCCAATTTTTTTTCTGAATAAATTGTTGACGAAATAAATTGAACTAAATTTACAAGTTAATGCAAAAAATCCGTATTTACGTCATATTAGGGAGGTGTGCCGTCAAGGAACATGGCAGGGTAAGGTTCTGGGGCGGCTCTGTCACCAGGAACCACAACTTTGCTGGCGCTACCTTCAGGATTGGCAGTTGGTGTATAGTCTGCCCAGAGCCTGTGGGAAAACAAGAGCCACGCCATCAATTAAGTTTGTACAAGTTCTACCTTCATAACCCTAACTTTAACCGTTTTTAGGGTTCCGTAACCAAAGGATAAAACGGGACCCTATTACTAAGACTCCGTTGTCTGTCTGTCTGTCTGCCCGTTTGTCATCAGGTTATATCTCATGAACCGTGATAGTGAGACAGTTTAAATGTTCACAGATGACGTATTTCTGTTGCCGCTATAACAAAAAATAGTAAAAAACAATATACTTAAAAAATTATTTAAGTGGGGCTCCCATACAACAGTCATGATTTTTTTGCCGTTTTTATAGGTACCGAACCCTTCATGCGCGAGTCCGACTCGCACTTCGCCGGTCTTTTTGATTACCACGCCCAGAAACTGGAATAAATTATAATGAAAAAATAAAAATGAAAAAATGAATAAATAATGAATGGACAACGGAATAACATTAGTTTATTTAAGTACAGAAAGAACCGAAGGAATAATAGACATAGAATCATTACACAGAACTGATATGAGAAGAATCACACTGAAAATTTCTATAAAAACCATCTTGTCACTTGCACAGTATTACGAGTAATGATTTGACGACAATTATAGTTCGGCTTGTTTTTGTTCTTTAACACAATACTCACTTTAGGAAACTTTAAACTGAACATCCTCTTTATAGATGAGTAGAAAATACAAATTTTGTGACGTTCAGTGTTGTACACTGTCATTAAGTCGATATCGATACTTAATAAAAGCTTCGTATTTTTTGGCAGAAATTACGCGTTCTTTGAAAGGATTTGGGGTTTATTATAATTAATTTAATAGCTAGGGCAATGTTTTGCGGAGCTGTTGAAACGAAAACATAGAAAAACGGAATATTTTGGGTGCTACCATTAGTTTAGAATCCTACAAATAATCAAATCCAGACTTTTGGGGTTGAGCTGAGCCCTGGTTAAGAATGATATCAATTAAGACGTCTAAAGTTTAAGTACATGACGTGACCTTGAAAGCTGATTATTTTATACGTCAGGAATTTCTCTGCTCATTGAAAGTTTGCTCTGAGTAATGAAAAAAATTTTTTTATTTACATTCACATGTAGGAGACACTATGTTAGCAGTATGAATTCTCTAAACAAAAGCGCTGTGAAAACAAAAGACCACCTTTAAGACAAAATAGTAAAAAAGTATTTTTTTTTAATGTTTCACTATCAATTAACAGCCGAAATGAAAACCTACATTTTAAGTAACTCGGGACGGTGGTGGAAATAAAAAATGAACTGTAGGAATAAAATACACTCGGCGTAAAAAAAATCGCACATCCGAAAAAAATAATTTAAATACTATTTTAACACAACAGGCCAATGGCAATGTTGTGGTTGGAGGGTATCATTCGAAAGGTAATTTCATTAGCTTTCGGGAATTTTAATTGAGACGAAAGAGAAATTAAAGAAAAAGACAGGGTATGTACAAATTTGCAAATTAATAATTTAAAAAAAAACTTAATAAATACAAAAAAAGTTACTAAAATCTAGTGTTAATACGGGACCACATGTACCTCCAGGATTTCAGTAATGTACCGACCAGCATTTAATGACCCTTGCCACGGCCACCTCGAGTCCGGGAAACGCACACGAGTTCCGTTTTCCCGTCGACGGAAATGCCGCCCCAAAACATACACGAGCCACCCCCGTATTCGACGGATTTTTCGAAGCAGGGTTGTGTGAACCTCTCCCCCTGTCTTCTGTAGACCCTTCTACGTCTGTCATTGCAGAAGAGACAGACCCTCGTCTCATCAGAGAAGAGTACGGTCCGCCACTGTTCTAGAGTCCACTCGCAATGATTGCGAGCAAACTCTAGGCGATCTCTGCGATGCTGTGCAGTAAGTTTTGGACTATGGGCTGTTAAACTCTTTTCGTGTAACCTTCTTCTTCTCGTAGAAACACTCACAGATGTTCTCCGAGTTGATCGAAGCTGTTGTTGCAACTCAACAGCATTTGTAAAACGCTTTCGTAAAGATGAAACGGTCATCTCTTTCTGATGTGCACCGTTTTCTTCGAGATCCCGGTTTTCTAACATAACCACCAGTCTGCTGAAAACGTTGGAACACCCGTCGAACTGAAAAACGGGACAGGTTCAACTGTCGAGCAACGTCACACTGCCGCATCCCCGACTGCAATAGGGCAATCACTTGAGCGGCTTCTTCAGAGCTGGTGTCCATCTTTACTTGTTCTTACTTGGGTTACTTGTTCACGTGTGTTCACTGCAAAGACTAAATTACGACTGACCCATATTTCATTTTTTTTATTTTTTTTTTTTTTTTTTTTTTTTTTTTTTATTTTTTTTTTGGGCTGGATGAGCCACTGTTGGCCTTAGGGGCCTTTACAGTTCCGACGGACTTGAGGTGGCCTGGCACACGAGGCGCCTAGCCTGAACCTCGGCGTACTATTATTACGCTTTATGGTGACTAAGCTCGAGGGCTCCCGGGGGAGCCTCGGCTCGGGCCGTCACGCTATTATTATTACCGGTTTGGGAGGCCGCCAAGCTTTTAGGGCGCTTTGGCGGGCGCTCCATGTAGTGATCAGGCTCAAGGGTCCCCGAGGGGACCTCGGCTTGGGCTGTCACTCAGCACGCGTTTAGCATTCCGATTCGAGGGTGCCCGAGAGGGCCGGACCTCGGGGTGGAATGGGTATGTTCTTTTTGTGAGCGAAAAGGACGGCCGCGCTTTTGGCGGGATTGATTTCGATCCTCCATTGCCGAAACCAGTCACCGATGGTGATGGCTGCGGCTTGGAGGCGTCGATGGATCAATTCGGGTGTTCTGCCTGTGGTATAGATACAGGTGTCGTCGGCAAAAAGAGCAAGTTCTACATCTTTGACACGCGGCATGTCATTGGTGTAGAGAGTGAACAAGACTGGGCCCAACACCGACCCTTGGGGCACCCCGGCTCGAATGGGATGCGTAGTCGAACACACTCCCATATTTCATCCAGATCGACCCTTTTATACCCTTTTTAGGTGGTGTAACTAGCGTCCTTACTAACGAGCATTTGACAGTGTTTAGTTTTGACTCTCTATAATGATAAATGTTTTAATGATTTCATGATTTTTTATTAATAATGTAAAGCTATTCAAATACCCATTTCAAACATACCAATATTTATATAAATATAATTCCTTTTGTAGCCATTACAGCCATTTTTCGCGCAAACTCAGAGAGGTGCGATTTTTGTGACGCTGAGTGTATTATTACTGAGCTCGCAAAGTAATTATCGTAAGCGCTTTCATCTCCTTGGGAAATGTTAGGTTCTCTAGCAGCGAATAATTATGCTTCATCTATAATAAGGGAGAAAAGATTACTGCTGACAAAGGACGAGGACCGGTGGTTAACCGCATTATCCCATAGCCATATTGTACATCTAACCTCATACTTCAAATGGTTACAAGTCCATTTTTTTATTAAAGAAAAACAAAACAGACTTCAAATATCTCGCTCTGTATTCGTTTTATCATATGCCAATGAAATTAATATGGAATAAAAGAAATCATGAAAATCGGTTCACTTAGTCGATAGTTCTGAGGTAACAAACATAAAAAATACAGCCGAATTGAGAACCTCCTTCTTGAAGTCGGATGAACAAACATAATCACCACGAATAAGCAAATGTTCGTAAACCGGACGGGAGGATAAAACCAGTTAAGCAGGGTAAGTCTTAACAGGCATTGAGTAGATGACGCCGTGGCGCAGATGCCAAGGCTTCATCGTCGGGGGTCGTAGGTTCGATTCCCACACGGGACAACTATTTGTGTGACCCATGGATAATTGTTTCGGAGCTGGGTGTTTGTCCACGTGAAATTAAGGTTTGTAAAACATCCTTATCTACAACACAGAATAATGTTATCCTACAGTAAGGGCAATGTTTTGTAAATAAAATAAAATAAAAAAATCATCTCCTTCGTGATGTGCTCGGTGATGAAGGAAATCTGAATATGTAAGGAAAATTCAAAACATTAATGTAAAAAAAAATTGTGAAGTGAGAAAATACTCGCGTTGTTTAGATTAGTGGCAGGGCCACGCAACAGTTCGCCGTTGCACGATCCCGACGTGAAATGGAGGTGTTATACAACAGCTTTTCGTCTGGTGGGTGAGTGAGGGAGCCCGGGGCCCACTTTATTAAAAGGTGGCAACGCATCTGCAACGCTACGGGTGTTGCAAATGGCCATGGACTGTGGCTATTACTTAACACCAGGTGAACTGCCGGCTCGCTTGCAACCTTCTCACATAAACAAGTCGATTTAAAAGTAAAAACCGGCCAAGTCGAACTCGCGCACGAATAGTTCCGTACCACCTATACAGATAAATAAAATTGGAGTGTCTGTTTGCAATATTAAAATAACCGCTTTTTACTAAATGCATATGGATGTATACACGGTACATATACCAAAATAACATTTTTTACAATTTTTGACTGTCTGTCTGTCTATTTGTTGCGGCTAATCTCTGAAACGGCTGGACCGATTTGGACGGGACTTTCACTGGTAGATAGCTGATGTAATAAAGAGTAACTTAGGCTACTTTTATTTTAGATTTTTTTATTTTAAATTCCACGCGGACGAAGTCGCGGGCACACCCAGTTATCTATAAAAACGGCAAAAAATCATGTCTGTTGTATTGTATGGGAGCCATGTTGTATTGGAGTAATTTTTTTTAGTATTTCATTTACGGTGGTAGGGCCACGCAGCAACCTCGGCTGTTGCACGAATGGGCAGGCTCATCCGGGTAAGTACCACGACCTCACAGAAGACCGGCGTAAAGTGGAAGTAAAATACTTTCGCGTTTCTTCTGGTGAGTAAGTTGGCCGGAGCCCAATTTTCGAAAGTTTGTCAACGCCTCTGCATCGGGTTTAGCAGACGTCTATGGGCAGCGGTATTCACTTAATATCAGGTGAACCGTCTGCTCGTTTGGCAACATTTCACATAAAAAAAAAGTTGTTATACCGGTACAGAAATACACCATATGTGAAAATTTCAACTGTCTTACTATCACGGTTCATGAGATACAGCCTGGTGACAGACGGACAGACCGACGGCGGAGTCTTAGTAATAGGGTCCCGTTTTACGCTTTGAGTACGGAACCCTGAAAACGAATATACATATATATTGAGTTCTTGCTTCAAATACTTATGTACCTCAAGTTCTGCTGTCAAGTTCTTTATTCAAATTTAATTTACATTAATTTCGTCATCTTTTATCGATATCGATTCTATCTCATGGCAAAATTTAACACCACTGACACACTTCCGAAATTCAAAACCGCACCGTATGTGTCAAAAACAGCGCGCGAGTTGTAGATTTTCAATGGAGTAAGTTTATAAATATAACGTTATGTTGAAACTCGTGCGTGAAGCCTAAACAAGGATTTTAGTGTGATTTCCTCCATTAAGTAGGTAATTCTATGTTAAGTTATTTGATCTTTCCGAAGTATTTCGGTAACTTTCGGTTCCGTTTCATCGGAAATGTGTAGTTTTTAGGGTTCCGTACACAAAGAGTAAAACGGGACCCTATTACTAAGACTCCGCTGTCTATCCGTCTGTTACCAGGCTGTATCTCATAAACTGATAGATATATAGATAGAGTGATAGTTAGTTGAAATTTTCACAGATGATGTATTTCTGTTGCCTCTATACTAACAAATACTAAACAATAGATAGTAATAAAAAATATTTATGGGGTCTCCCCCATATAACAGACATGATTTTTTTACCGTTTAGTTAGATAATTGCACGAAACACTTCGTGCGCGAGTCGGATTCGCACTTGGCCGTTTTTTTTTTAATTTGAAAAAACGAAAAACCAGCAAAGTTCGTTTGGTGATGAGCGAACCTTAGTCACATCGATGAACATGCTCTTAGAATATAATTATTTATATATTATATTACAGTCGCATCACCGTCATCGCGTTAGTCATTCATTAAATGATCATATCAATGACTATGGTCCGCTCATCATCAGAACTTTGCTGGTTGTCCATTTTGTCTGATACAAATAACTGTAATGTCATCCTTAAAGACGGTGGCGTCTGGTCACTTCCCTAACGCCCGGTTGCAATATTCGATCTACAGATAGATTTAAGACGTATGTTACAACCCACTGGCAACACTGCTCAATATACGAGCAATAACAATTATACTTAATAAACATTGAACCATATCTGGTATAATATTATATAATAAACCATGCTTAATAATAATTTATAATTTAATAGGTCAATCTTATTAACTGTATTAGTAATTTAATAAGTGCATAGATTTGTAATGTAGTTGTGATGACTCATTATATTTTTGTATATAAACGCATAATGTTTCAGTAATAGGGACTCCCAGCGCCAACGCTCTCCGAAGTGGTAGTAATGTTAGCTCTAGTAATTCCCCCAGTCAGATAATAGCTACCGATCGAGCCGAGGTCCGGCCCTCTCGGGCACCCTCGAATCGGAATGCTAAACGCGTGCTGAGTGACAGCCCAAGCCGAGGTCCCCTCTCGGGGACCCTTGAGCCTGATCACTCCATGGAGCGCCCGCCAAAGCGCCCTAAGAGCTTGGCGGCCTCCCAAACCGGTAACAATAATAGCGTGACGGCCCGAGCCGAGGCTCCCCCGGGAGCCCTCGAGCTTAGTCACCATAACGCGTAATAATAGTACGCCGAGGTTCAGGCTAGGCGCCTCGTGCGCCAGGCCACCTCAAGTCCGTCGGATCTGTAAAGGCCCCTAAGGCCAACAGTGGCTCATCCAGCCTAAAAAAAAAAAAAAAAACAGTAATAGGGTAGAACACTCTTATCCTTTGTATAGGACGTTACTCTGTCCTTATACGTAGGAAGTAGTCTAATTAATATATAAAGTTGTTTACGCTATCCTCACTATTTATTTTGACCGACCAACCTACAGTCTTTAATACGTATTATGGAGCTAATGTCAAATAACTTTTGCTAGTAACCAAATCTATCTGTAGATAGAATATTGGGCCGTAAGGGTGCATAACGCAAAAACGTAAATACTTCTTTACCGAGGCAACCGAACCTCAATTATTCTTGAAAGTTGGTTACACCGCTAGCCAAAGACTCATGGGCATGGGCAATGTCCTGTGGCTACAGTTATTATCCGGTGAACCACCTGCTCGGCCTAAAAAATATGGTTTTAATACTGATTACACACACGAAACAAATATTTTTATGATACAAATATTACAGTTGATAAGCTATTGGTTTTAATATTGGAATTAATACTGGATTCCCTCAAGAGTAAAGTATTTGAGTGCCACAAATACTTGCAGTTGCTAAACTATTTTTAAGCCATAGTTGTGATTTTTATGTTTAGCCATCAGAAGGGTTTATAATTGGCAACATATATTTATTTGTCAGTGTCTCTGACGTTGAGTATAGTGTATTTTCGATCAAGTTTGTCTCACCCACCAGCAAGTTGCCATTATTCGTTTTCGAACGGTGGGAACTTTACTGAGATTCGTTAATAATGATAAAACGTATAAAGAGGTCAGACAGTCTGCAGTTCCGTCATCAGGAACCCGACTTGGACAAATCTACTGAGATGTGCATCAAACCGAGACGCAGACTCGGCCATTATGAATAGCGTCGTCTCCCAAGCAAATGTCGCAAGACGCAATGTCACCAAATGCAACATGCATCAATACAACTATCGCAGGTCAACACGCCAACATACAGCCTATCCGCATACACAGCAGACATCATCACCTCGAACCTCCGTCAACCAGAATCATACGATGCAATGATATTAGGCGCAGATCACCCCGCAAATACCACAAAACGCATTACTGCATATAGCCGCACGCATCAATGTGACTATCGCGTAGGTGGCACACCCTCACACCACACCAATATAACTCCGATCAACTTCGGCTCCAAAGTTTAGAATATACTCGGAACACACGAAGTGTCCAAGCATACTCTTTCACGATCCGAATGATAGTCGACGTATCATAGCGTAAACACTAAGACGCCAACCACCAACGGACCCCCACCCAAGCCAAGTAATAGCCAACGTATCATAGTGGAATACACTAAGACGCAAGCCACCACCAGACTCCCCAAAGTCAGATGATCAGTCGACGTATCATAGTGCAACACACTAAGACGCCAACTACCACCAAAACTCTTACTATGCCGAATGACAGCCAACGTATCATAGTGATGGTCACTAAGACGCCAACTACCACCAGCTATCGATGATATGTCCACCACTGAAGACATATCCATTCATGGTTCCACGTTTACCGTAGACCATATCGTCGTACAGAAGTACCACGCAACTCCATAGTAATATGTCTTATAAAGTCCCAAGTCATTCATTGCTCTTCATTATATCTATATATTCATTATTTTTTTCTCTGAGCCTTCACATATTATCACTTTTATTCATTAGACCTTACTTCCATATGATATTGGTATGGGACGTTCATACAATGTACTTTGACTATAGTACTAAGAGTCGCGATCGACCTCTGTACTTACATATATGCGGTACATACAAAGGGGTTCCCGCACGGTACATGATACTTCCCTTAGAAATCACTAAGTATGGAATTGTATTTAATGGACATAATAGTGATCGTATCTTGCTATATTTTTAATAAATATCCTTTTTTGAGTATTTTAAGTGATTTTTAACTATTTTTTATCAATTTTTGGTAATATCATTTTCTCATACTAACACTTATATTTCTTTAATTTAAGTATATATTATTAACTTTTATTGTGATTAAACGTTCTTAAACGTTTTATTTTCATCTTAATTGATCTTTATTATGACTAATTAATAATAATATTTATTATTATTAATAGGTCGTTACAACATCATGTAGCTTTTCTACGCTATTGCTTTTAATATTAGTAGTATTAGTAGAGCAAGATCGCAGGGCCACCAGCGGTCACGTAATTTCCGACGATCGAAGAGTGTATGATTAAGTAGTGTTAGTACGAATATGTATTACGATCGTTTGCCTAAAGGTAGGCAAAAATATGGATTTTCATTTAAAATACCATCTATATCAATGTTGGGCCCATCTCGTAGACTAATACCGTGAAAATTTTACTGACAAAAAATCGGTTAACATCGCTTGATCGTTGACTTAATATGAAACATTGAAATTTATAAAAGTGCAGAAATAACAAGATAAAAATTTAAATTTCATATAGCAACGCATCTTTCATTCGAATAATCGTTGTAAAACGTTATTAAACAATAAAATTAAAAATCAAATTTCAATTAATAAGTCCGACATAGTTAAGGTAGAATGGTCATTACCATTTCTTTCTTTACGTTTAAAATAATGCTTCTAAAAACTGGCAATTTTGTTTTTGATATGACAACGTGATAACCTAAAAAATAGATTTTTGTAATCATAACAATAGGAATAGCAAAGGAAAAGGTTTAGTAACAAATAACAAAGATGTTATTCCTATATTTAATAAGTTTTTTGTCGATCGCAGTTCAAGTTGTGTTTGTTGTAACGGCTACGGGTAAGATCTATTCAAACAGTACTTCGTTAAGTACAAAACATCTTGTTTGCAATATGTACTAATAATTACACAATAATTTTATTTCATATTCCTCTGTTTTCTGTTTACAGCTGCCGGACTGTACTACTTGGCAGAAATAGTAGAGGAATACTCTGTGATGGCAAAATACGTTATCACTTGGATGGTTGTTGTAAGTAATACGATTTAAAGTTACATTATGTAGATAGTTATATAAATCGACAGTTTATATTTGTTTACAGTTATAGTTTGTTTATTAATCACCTGTTATTAGATAGTTATAGATGGTCTGTTTAATTTTATTTGTTTTTTATTACAATGTGCTAAAATGCAATGGGCCCAAAACTTGAATGATCCTTATGCTTAACTAAATCGAACAACTAGATTTTAAGCTTATTTTAGCACATGCACCTCTTCATACACCCTTGAAAATGTGTTTAGATAATATGGTTTGTTAGATGTACATTAATAATAATGTACATCTAACCAAACTGTCCAATCGGGTTTATTTTGTATATGTATTACAATGGAGCCCTTTGAAGTGTGACCTCATCATGGATTATCATAACTTAGGATAAATGAGGTCAACATTAATTTACCTCAAACTAACAGGTTCATTAGGTGTACATTTTTATATATCAAGGAGCCCGACTTTAGCCCATGTTAGGTGTACTGTGTATCTATGTTATAAAGTCAATAAAATGATAGACTTTCTACAAGTTTTAATTTTTTTTTTTGTATTAAAAGTAAGTATTTGCATTTTTATTCGTGAATATAACGAGTTATGTCTACGTTTTGCTATTAATAATAAGAATTTGCATCAATTTTTACTTATGAATTATTTTATAACAGAAATTTTTCTATTGATTGAAAATTTTTAAAAGCTCAAAAAACAGTGCATTAATTTGTAGCCTTCTATTTACAAATGCATCCATTATACATATGTATACTGATATAATAAATGATAAATGATATAAAAAATGATTATGTATTTTACTTCATTTATTTTGGTGTCATAAATTTCTTATTGGAGAAACGCAGCAGCCACTTCTGGTATTTGATAAACACCAAAGTCATCATCATTTCAGCCGTTTGAGTCCACTTTTGAACATTGGTCTGCCCAAAAGAACTTCATGATAAGGCCTATGATAAACAGAAATAATGATAATTGCCGAATTCTTTGCCATCTTTTTTAAGGATTTTTTTTTACTTATAGATCACAGCTGGCATCCACATCGGGTTTATATTGTTTGAAGATCTGCCTCTTTACCTCAATGGGCTCGGTCTCACTCAACAGTTGCTGCATTGTGCGTTGCTGCGAAACTTCCCATCTGTGAGGGTGACAAGTTTCCCCTTTATTGCGGCTCTAGTTAACCTTGTCGCTCATCACTATATGGCATTTGCGTACTTCGGAAGTGTGTATTACACTTTTATGGAGGTGAGTATCCAACTGTCTTAATTTTTTTTATGTGAGAAGGTGTCTGGAGGTGAAATTTTGCCTTGCCAAAGCGAGCTGGTGGTTCACCTGATGTTAAGTAATAACTGCCGCGCATTGATAGTTACAACACCCCGGTTGCTGATGCATTGCCCCCTTTTAATAAACTGATTACTGTAAAAGTTGTCTATAAGTGGCAAAGGTATAATTGACATTAAAAATATTTTTATTTATTTGAACTGTTTTAACTAATTTATCGCTTTTATTTTTAATTCCTTTTTTAACACTGGTATAGTGATTGTGTACTATTATAAATAAAATAATATTTTTTGCTAATGACATCATTATTTGTATATCCTTTTAATATCGCCACTAGCATTGCCATCTTTTGATAAAGTGTGCCCCCGGCCACCTCACTCACTAGACGAAATGCTTCACTTTGGTGCTTACCCGAACGGTGTTCTTGGAGAATTGAAGTGAATTTGACGTTAATTATTCTATTTAACTGGCATGACTATTATTGCAGGTCTTGGCCTACTTCACCCTGTGTCTTTGGGTGGTGCCTTTCGCACTTTTCGTCTCGCTTTCCGCCAACGACTATGTGCTGCCTACTACTGGAGAGAGGCAGCCCCTTCTCGGTGAGTGCATGCACCGTTGGATATAACCTTAACTTTTTTCTTACAATGTGAAGTTGTAATACAATAATGTGTGTTAATATCAGATTTTTAGGATTCCATATCCTAGGATAGGAGCATACTAGCAGAGATATAGAGTTCCGTTTTACCCTAGGGTAAAACGGGACTCTGTTACTAAGACTTCGCTGCCTGTTTGTCTGCTCGTCCGTCACCAGGCGGCATCTCATGAACCGTGATAGTTAGACAGTTAACACTTTCACAGATTATGTTTTTCTGTTGCCGCTATAACAACAAATACTAAAAAACAATAATAAAATATTTAAGTGGGGCTGTGTAGATAATGGTACGGAACCCTTAGTGCGTGAGTCCGATTCGCACTTGTTCGGTTTTTTACAAATTATTTGATCGATTGAAATTACTTTTGCTACTTTGTGGCTGGGGATTATGATTTCCGTTCAATGATCGTGTGTTTGAACCCCTACGGCGTGTGCTTTAATGTTTAAATATACTTTATTAAGAAAGAATATTTTTTCCACCACAATCTCAAATTCAATCGTCTCACTTCAATTTTGTCTTAATTCATATTTATATTTATCTCGGTTCTCCCTCTCAAATCTAACTAAGATCATTTGATGGCTGATATAATATTTTCACCAATTTGCCTATTTGTACTGCTAAGTGTTACGCCTTGTACGCGACATCTATATCACAACAGCCTTGACGTTCCAGGTGACAACAACGTCGTGACAGACTACCTGTCGCGGAAGGCGAAGCGCTACAGCCTGCTGACGTTCTTCAGCTACGCGAAGGACTCCATACTGCCTCAGCGGAGCAAGAAGGTGTTCTGAATAGGAGAACATAGAGAGAATAGAGTGGAGAAGAGTTGAGTGAAGAGAAGTTGGGAGTACTCCAGAAGATTCAAACTTTGACAATGATGTCCAGTGGCGGAGATATAGATTTGGGTAGTGTTGGCCATTGGTTTGATTAACATAATAAGAGAAGTATTTGTATCATGTAAAGATGATTCTGACTAGAACTAGATGTCTTCTTAGTGTGATTTGTCTATGTGATATATCGCAACATCACAAGTTATTCTATCTATCAATGTTATTCTACAGCGGGAGCAATACTTTTCATCAAGAGATTATTAGACTTTACATTAAAAAGAAATGATAAGTGTGGTTAAAACCTAGTTATAGTGGCAGATTTTCTTACCTTCTTTTAGTTGCATTTTTTTACTCATCGAGAACATAAATATTATGATATAAAATATTCAACAGAGGTTAAAATGTTACACCTTGGGTTTAGTCACTCTCGGTTTGGACATGACTTGATATATTAATAATGTTTATGTAAGTGTCATTAGCAAAAAATGACATATTATTTTCCTGACTTGATATACAAATAATGATGTCATTAGCAAAAAATATTATTATAATATTTTATTTACACAATCACTATACCCGTGTTAAAAAGGAATAAAAAATAAAAGCGATAAATTAGTTAAAACAGTTCAAATAAATAAAAATATTTTTAATGTCAATTATACCTTTGCCACTTATAGACAACTTTTACAGTAATTAGTCTTCTGGAAACTACTTTTGATTCCATATCTCCAACTCTTCTTGTATGTAGCAGTTTGTAAATATAATTTAATTTCGGTGGTAGGTTTACAGTGTTGCTAGTCAATTAAAAGACATTTTAATGTTGCTAGTGTTTCGTTTAATGCTATTTAGTACCGTCGTTGTAGACTATCAATAATATTTGGTTGCAGTGTGGTGAAATATATTAAAGATTACATAATATCTTATCCAGGGGTTAAATATTTCGCTGTGGTAACACTTGTAAATTGACTGTCTTGTCGGTTTCATGACAACCAAATAAAGTTTAAATTCTCCCGCTTGTTGAGACTTCTATTAAAAAATAAAAAAAAAATATTAAATAAAAGAAGTTCTGTCTTACGTCCAGATTGAAACTGGTTTAGTTTTGTAGTTCCGGATATTATCAGTTTCTTAAAAACAACGTAAAGAGTTGTAAATTATAATCATTACATTATTATAAATAAAATAGTTTTTCTGTTAATTATTATACAAGACTGGTAATTATTATCATAGTTTTGTGTCATGTATACGAAATACAGAAGAAAAGATGTTTGTTTTACGTTTTAATCGATAACTCATATAAACTGATTGAAATAATTCTGAATTTTTTAGTGAATCGCTATCGTAATCGTATTAGATACGATCTTTACGATTAAATATTTGGCACATCACTGAAAGTATTAAGTCTATAATTTATTTATAATTTAAACTATGTTAGTGATTATCAAAAGACAGATTGAATATGATGAAAAATTTCGGTTCCTGTAATTTTTTCGGTTTTTGGTTACATTTCTTCTCATTGCATTAAATATAAATCTTGCTGGTAGCTTTCCGTAGGTAATAAACGCATAAAGTCACTTTGCTTAGTAATTATATTTGCTCTTAATGATTCGGTTCGATTACGGAGTCATTATGGTATTGGCTTCGGCGTCAGGGGTCGCGTGTTCGATTCCCGCACGGGACATTTATTTGTGAGACCAACTCATAATTGTTTCGGAACTGGGTGTTTGTCTACGTGAAATTTATGTTTGTAAAACGTCAGTCAGTAGGAATTATAGTCTTATTGTTGTCTGTGTATTGTTGTTGCTTGTCTCCCATCTCCATTAAAAAATTCTTACTTTCTAAAGCTTTTATTATTATTGCTGTAAAAGTATTGGAATTTAATATCCACGGTAAATTAACGACACTTTTTTAAGGATGTGCCAAGCCACCACAGACAACAAGATGCCGGTTGTTTGATTACTTAAAATAACACTAATACATCTAAAAGACACTTTCAATGTAGTTTCAGCCATTGGGATCTTTGTATTATTTCTGTAGCAAGTGCATTGTATATAAAAACCACTGGTATCAGATCTTATTTTTTTTAATATTTGTTCTACACATATTACTAATTAAAATTTTCTGCAAAATTCCTTGTTGGAAAAATAATACCTTTTTAATTTTTTTCGATTCGTTATTTCCACGAGGAAATGAAAGTTTACTAAAGCTCGACTCCGCTTTAAGACAGATATTATTAATATGGTATGTGATTATTAAATATTAATTTATTTATATGTTAGCTATTTATTATGCGAGGCTTTGTGCTAATTAAACTGCGATTGTTTTTTCCTTTAATTCCATTAAAATGGAGGGGCGCGAAAACAGTATTTCTGGGTCAGAACTCTCGAGACTCGCTATGGCGACGACATACTCAGTTTATAATATTAGTTATATAAATTTAATGTAATCTGTATAAATTGTATTGGTATTGCGCTATGACATTAGTTGTTCATTTGTCGCTTTTCCATGCGAGCTACTGATGTCACTATGCAGATGTGTTATATGACAGGGAATAATGCTCATCTACCTTTGAAAAGAGAC